TGTTTATGTGACCTAATTAGGTAAATCTTTATTCCGAGATTAATGGTTGCAATATGTAAAAAGTTAAATTTAAATTTTAAAAGACACCTAAGTAAGTAATTTAAAACCTAATATATGAAATGAAATTGAAACGCAGAGCGAAATTGATACGAATAGACTAGACTAGAAAGTGACTCACATCAAAGATTTACCTCGCAGTGCGGCGAGCGCGATTCGCGATATTTGCATTCAATTCGATTTTAATGCCTAATAAAGTATTCCGCGTGCTAGTTACACTTTTACCTACACTTTTACATGTTTTACACCTTGGAAAATGAAAACAGAAAGTTCATACCGCCTTATGAAGACGTCAGAAACTTAATAAATGGAGTAAAATTATAAAGGAAATACGAGTGTTTGAACGAACGACAAAAAATGTTTTGTTAAGTGAATATGGAGTTTAATTTGGAATTGGTTTGGGTTTGGACAATGATGATGTATTGTCAGGCATTCTCAAAGCGGTTCGGTTCATCAAAGTGTTCAAACTCTTCATTAAAAACCGACATGATCGCGGCAAAGCATTTTGACGCGTTCCGGTGTTTTGTTTCGCAGTTTACCAATCCGCTATCCACGAGACATGTGGTCCATTGTCTCACTTAGTCTACTCGAATACCAAGATATACGCTACCGCGATTACGAAACAACGCATTCATGGCGGCATGAATCAGTTTCAAAGCGAGTTTACAATTTGAGCTAATTTTGTGTAAATCGTTTGCGTTTTGACCCATGTCTTAAGTCTTAACGTTTTAGTTTTGTTTTTTGTTCTTTAAACACTTTGTTGTTATTATCTCTTGCTTGGGTTTTTGGCAATTGAACATGAATTGTACAAATCACGAGTGTACGTTTGTATGTTGTGTTATGTGTCCTAATTCTGCTTCGTTTCACGCTTATTTGGTCATTATTGGATTAGAATTTGTTCAACAGCCTGCACACGCCACACGGCTTACAAAAATTAAACTCGCGCTTATGATTTATTTAAATATTATATTACACAGAATATATGGTGCATAAATTTTGTAGGACGTAATATTATTTGTAAAAAAAATTGGCACGTGTTAAAATGTTTTGGAGAAACCAGCTATCAACCTTGGATTTCATAACTTTTATTTTAAATTATTTCAATTGTTTCTTTAGAGAACTTGAAAATTTAAATATTAAATATTAAATATACATTTAATCTTGAAACTAAAATTAGAATAAAACAATAACTGCTGACTTAAGTCAACTGAAAGGTATTATTCAAAGATTGAGCAATGTAGTAATTTTTTTTGTTTCCAACGTTTCAACATTTCAGTAAACTGGATTTCGTTTCTCTTCTTGTTTTAAATTCAGCTGTTGTGGTTTTTACAATCATCTAGTAATCTAAGCAAACAGAGTAAACAGTTATGTTGCAACGCAACAAAACGCAACGCGTTTAGACTTTAGTCCAGTTTGCTCAATTGTCCCGGCCAACAACTGCAACATTTACTCACTAATCATCTGTCGCATTGCTGTGTCATTGTCCCAGAAGACCTCAATGGCCTACATTATTACTTGTTTTTGTTTTATTTTGCGTAAATCTGTTTAAAAAAGCATTATGTACTAAGCCGGTATATTCAGGTCTTAAAATGGTACATTATTGTAATAAATTGTAACAAATTAATGATTTTATGTAAGCTAGTACATTAACGTGTAATAACTGTAATAACTAAATAATCGCCGAGTTATTACTAAGCATTGAAATGTTAAAATTTAAATTTTGACTTCAATGTTGTTCAAATCTGTTAAAAACTCATTAAGTGTTTTGTAATCCGGTATTACTAGTAATGAGGGTATTAATAATTATTTATATCCTTTGCATAATCAATCTTAATATCTGCAATTTTAACACTTTTTTTGTTATATTTGAGTAAATTTTGCGCATTTTAGATTAATAATAATATATTAATCCAGATCTAATAGATGTGTAGTGCAATACTGTGTTAATAATACACTTACGCATTGAGGTGAGGCTGAAGAGACAAAATCTCTTTGCCTGAACCAAGCAACTTTCTCCGGCACTCGTGGCACGGTAATTAAGTGTCGTAAGACGCTCGAATCGTAGCCGGTCGAGCGCAATTGCGTACACCAGTAATGCACATTGCCACATAAATCTCCAGAGCCGCCGTGACAGGCAACACACTCCATTCCTTATTAGTCGTTCATTTAGAAAATTCAATGCGCATTGTGGCATAATACCAACCTCTTTACTTATTTATAGCTAATCTCGTAGAGAGATTAGGCATGAAACAAGGTATCGGTGCAAATCGACTAGTAGCCGGAGGTGTACCGTGGCCCGACCGAGATGAGGTAAGCATGATAAAAAACTAACTTGCCTCATGTAAGATGTGTGTAAGTACATAGACGTTATAGACGCTATAGAAAAACATTTATTGCTCAGGCGAGGCGGTGCTCCGCGCGTTACATCCGTAATTATCTCGGCGGGTATTAGAACACATATTAGTTTTTGGCCGCGGCGTGCGGTAATAAAACGGGTACTTACGTGGCATCACTTTCAATTAAATTGCTATTCTCGATCGCACGCATCGCATAATCGCCCCGATACATCATATCACCGGCGCGGTAATGCATACGTCGATTACTATGTACTTGCGTAATGTTACTAGCGCACGGCATCGATAAGGAAACAAATTTTTAAAAAACATCAAATTGGTATTTGTGTCAAAAGCTTGTATTTTTTTATAAAATGTAGCGTATTATGGCATATATTTATAATAATATACTATATGCGAAAGTAACGTCGCAAACGAATTGATTAATTAATTTGATTTTGGTATACAGATCAATAGTACCTACCTTGAGGAAAACTATTTTTGTCGCAAAAATCATACTTTAAGGGTGTATGTCAGTTAACCAATTTTGTTAAATCTTGGAGTCAAGATTTTTTCAATCAGTGAAAATCAAAAACATGTGCTAAAAATATAACTGGAAGGATGCAAACTAATTGTGTGAAAATTAATATGTACATTTAATAATAATTATATTTAAATATTTTTAACCAAAATGAACGTGAAGCGCATTTAGGAATTGTTAATTTCTTTAAATTACAATTGAGAATTTTATTGGCGGAGTATTTTTATAAAATTTATGCGGACGAAGTTGCGGACAAAAGCTACTTGTTAATTTGAAGCAAGATTGTGCTATGATATAATTTATATGTACAATGATTCTCGTAACATCCGAAAATCTGCGATCACAAGCGTCCAATATTTATTGTGTAATTTTAATTTCTATCCTCTCGTGCGTAGGTTGTGCATAAAGTATAGATTACGTTAGTGCACAACAATATTTGTAGTGCACACGTGGATAAGGTATATTATTTAATATTATTAATAGGTTTAGTAAACAACGCAAAGTGTTTATATATTTTTAATTTGCTTATCAATTTAAGTGTATTGCACTCGGGCTATGATTTTTATTTATATTATGAGTAATATTTACTCACTTTTAATGCTTTTAATGATTAATCTAACCATTGTTTAACTTTTCAATCTAGAATAGTATAAGATTGTTTACATACGTTTATCATGTTAAATGATGAGATATTATTGCATTAATGTAGTCATCTTTAAATTTAACTCCTGCATCCTGTTAAACGTCTAAAGTTAATTAGAGATGAGTTTATAAGTTGTGCAATTAATTAATCATGCAAAGCGTTTCCTTTGCTGCCAGCTGCGGATAAAATTAATTTGTTTGACGCCCGGAAAATTCCAATTTCTGGAGTTCTCTGGACTTTTGGAGAGTTTAGACACTGATGATTTAATGAAAAAATAAACACGATACCCTCGAGCTAATTAACTTTGCATTCAACAAATTGAATGAGCGAAGAAATAAATTAATAAAGAATTATAAGACAAATTAGGATTATGTCTGCAAAAGAATGTTAATGATGGTGATTATGAATTGTGTTTACTATTACACTAATGACAGCAAATGGTAGGCTAATTTTTTCGATTTATAAAAAACACCGCGCCTTGGAACAAACATAATTAGTTGTAAAACTGGTTTTTAGAACAATAGCGATCGTGTGTTGTGTTTAATGTTTTGGCAGAGTCGTTAAAACTTGTTGATTTTTCTAACAGCATTGTTCGCGCTTGTTATTAACATTGTTTATATTATTTTATTGCAATATTATCGCGACAAGGAATAATTTTCTAAGAAATTTGATAATATTGCTTATATTGCGTCGAAACTTAACTATATTTAACATATAATATATTGTTTATAGTAAGTAGTACTGAATGACGCATAGTATTATTCATGTGTGGAACACATACAATTTTATCGCCCACTTGATTTAGAAAAAGCCAGATGAACAAAAATTTTATGGATTTTTACGTTTTGTGATTAGTTCCGCAAAAACATTATATATATTTATATGCCAGGAAGGAAGTGTACAATTTGTATACGCCATTAGCAGGCGCAAAAAAACAAAACTAGTTCATTACCGCGTAATCCGATTTTACGACTCCTACAACAACAACGATGTATAGAACTGTAGCCACTATAATTTTGTAATAGACAAATAACATTCACTTTCGCAATGTCTCCGCGCTCGTTCCTTTATTATTATTATTACAATTGTTAGGACACAATCACAAGAAATCGAGGAACAAACAGCTACAAAAAGTTTATTAACCAACGCACACAATTCACAACTTGCAACAAATAGTATTTTTTTGTTTGTTAAAGATTTACTCAACGTGTAATTTTATATTTTATCGATACTAGTAAATTTCACCGTATGTTAACGATCGAGTAGTAATAATTGATTGAAATTTCTCAGTTATCAGTTAGACTGGTAGGTATAATCGAATTTAAACCTACGCCTATCTACATGTCTACAGTCTATACCTACCGCAATATGCAATGAAATGTGTTAAATGACGTTTATTTTTAATGAAAACTGAGTAAATACTTACACGTATGAATGTTTTTTTCGGAAGCTCCTCTAATTCGACTTCCAATTCTAAGTCCTCGTACGCGCTGTCACATTTATCAACACTATCACACATGATGTTGACCTGACGCACCTTTTAAAATGTTTACACTTGTCTTCAAACAATTTAAGTTCGTAGCACAGTTCACATAAACTTTTAAGTTAATATAGCGCATATTGCGCGCACTGCGCATCTCATGACTCTCATCTCACTGACGTTTTTTATTTGCGTGCATCATGATCCGGCGCTCGGATGGAGGACGACGGACAGGTAGGATGGAGGTGATTGTGCGCGGCGTGGCGGTTTATAAATGCAACGAGCGTTAATTCATACGAGAGCGTACGTTGAGTGGCGTATGCAGAGCGCGAGTGCGGTGTGCGCACCGTGTGTATGTATACTCGAACTCGCACAGGTATATCGGTACTATATGTTGACAATCACGAGCAACGTGTGGCGTTCCAGCTTTGCGCACGGCGCACATTCATGCGAATAGACCAGCGGTAGCGCTGCCACTGCCGCGTATGGTTTATTGTGTTTCGGTTGTGTTCGGGGCGCCCCTTTGTTGTGTGTGCACAGCAGGTAAATGCGCACGGTCAGGTACACCTATGATCATAACTATGAAGCGCCCGGTGGTCGACTGGTGCTCGTGCACGATTGTTGAATCTAAAGTTGATTCTTATTCTTATGGATGCGTTCATTTTTTAGCTCAATGAGCACGACGTATTGCCCAGAGTAATAAATCGGAGACGTGATGACATAAAAGTAAGCTCAGTACAAACCTACACGGGTTTGATATAATGATACATTTAATCCAATCGAATTGGTAGGATTTCAGTAAAATAGAAATAAATATGAAAGTTTGCAATTAACAACGATTTATGCAATATATAAACAATAATTACATATTACACACGATAGGACATGATGATAGTATTAATATCAATTATTGAAAACGTGAAAATATAAAATCTCTATTGCTAGAATCGCATAATCGATTAGTAGATATAATAATAATATTCCTCCTCTCTTTCCACCTCCTCCTGCTCTCGTGTAGCCGTGTCCGCCTCTTTTAACGTCTCAATATTCGAGGCCAGAAAATCAATATCGTTAGGCAAATAATATACCATTATCTATACAGTTAATCTAAATTCTAAGTTTATAAAGCGTGTACTGTACGCGTGTACGGTGTTTGTGTGGTTTACCTCTTTCTGCGTCCGCGGAATAAATTCGTGAATATTGTGATTGATTGCATTGCATTGCTCATCTGATTGATGCTAAAACACACGTGCGTTGCGTTTACTTTTAAAATTCAGTAGTTATATCTAATAGTGTAGGATATGTGCGGACGTTTTTTTGTTGTATGGACATGCGTGACTTCTTTTCTTCCTTCATCGGCCGATCAGGCTAGCGTCATCCGCCACGCAGTTAGGTATTGCGTTGGACCACTTGCCGTTGCGTAGGCACTTGAGCATCGCGGCGCCCTTGAGGCTGTACGCCTCGTCGCACGTGAACGTAATGTTCTCGCCGATCTTGTAGTAGAACTTCACCAAGGACATCCGGCCGCTGATAGTTGTGCCCGGATATGAACATGCCTGAACACCTATGTCAAATGTCAAATGGCACTTTAGAGGATGTTTTGCTATTTTTGATCTGGGCTTACATTTCGGCAGTGGGCCTGACCACCTCCCATTATCTTGGCAGGCGATAATCGGTTGACCCTCCATCATGAACTCGTTGTTGCAATTGAACTGTACCACATCGCCAGCTTTGAATGGTTCGGTCCCTTGCATATAACCATTATCGGGTGAGCCTGGATTGTCACACTGGACCTCTGTGATAAATCACCCCCGCAAAACGGGTGTTAGATACATTTGGTAAAGATACGCATGGATATACGAAGATGGTTTAGGGGATCAGTGCATTTTAAAGTTAGTGATGCTGAGTGGGTGGTTTGTTTGATCATGAGGCGCCGGCGGATGAGATGCGTCTGACGCTGGTGGGGGGCAGGTTGGCTGGGCACAACATACCTACGCAGGCCGGAAATGGAACGGCCCACTCGCCGCTCGACAGGCAAACGGTTTCGTGCGAGCCGCGCAGTCCAAACCCGGGAGCGCAGCTGAACACCGCACGGCCCCCGACCTCCCTGGATACGACAGACACACGCAGGTGGCTCGGAAGGCTTCCGGCCACATCACCGCACTCGATACCTAGTGGCACCGCACAACAGCACATCTACCGTAACTAACATAACCTAACATAACCTACGCGCTATGGCTAGGGGCGCGCGGATACTTACTCTCGCACACCGGAAACGGTGCACTCCAGTTGCCAGAAGGTAAACAGTGAAGTTCATGACTGCCGATGAGCGCATTACCATTCACGCAGCTGAAAATCAGTTTGGCGTTCATCTTGTTGCTCTGCGTGTTTACGGAGAGGCCGCGGCGCTGTGGGACTTGCGGACAATGAATTGCTGGCGAGCAAAAATTTACAAATAATTGCGTTTTAATCATTTTTCGCTAAATTACCCTTGACCACGATCTCCACGGAGTGCGTGTGTCTCGCGGGCGTCACGCACGTAAACGTGCCGGAGTCGTCTTTGGACGCGTGGAATATTGAGAGGCGATACTCTAGCTGCGCATCGCGTTCGGGGTCTTCGGGCCAGCCCTCCGGATACTTTCGGTAATCGTGGCTGACTGTCCACTTTGGCACGCCAAAGCGGCGTATCCACAAACACTCCATGTGCAAAATTGTGCCTGGGTATACGATTAGTTTGCCGTCATTGGACTGGGCAATTGGACCTAATTGATGGCGGAACAAAATAGTCGGAGGCTTCTCCATGGAGTAATCGTTTTCTTGATTGAGCCCGAAGCAGGATGGTTTTGGACCGTCCCATTCTCCTCCCATACAATGTCTTATGTTTGGACCTGCAATATTATAAAATTATAAATTCACTATAGTTTGTACTCGTAAGTAACAAAAAATACCAATCATGGCATATTTTCCAATGTCGATGCAACGACTGACAAGAGTCGCTCCTGCGGGAAATTCCACAACATCCTCGCGGATGTGTTGATCATTATAGAAGGAAATGACGTTGGGTTCCTGGTTGCGGAACAGGCACGTGCTGTTGTTATTCCCGTGGTGCTTCTTTCCACCGTCCTCGTTTTCTGCAGAGCGAAAAACAAACAAAAAAAAACATAGACCGTGAATGCTGCGCTTGAATAATGCAAGCTGTGGTTATAGTCATTACCACAATTCAGTGAGCGTCCGATCCAGCTGCCGTCTTCGCACACGATGCGCCACGTGTTCTTCTCGCCCATGATACTCTCGATGCAGTTGAACGTCACCTCGGTGTTGTGTGGGAAATTGCGTTCGTCGTCGACAAGCGGCTCCCCATTACGATAGATGAGTGACCCTTGCACCCTGCGGATGTTAAATCATTGCAATTAGAATGCATCAGAGACGCTCTCGCCTCTAGGAAACCCACAGAATGAAAACCGAGCATGGATAAATTTAGATTATACTGTGCAAGAGTGCTATGAGTAATGAGATGTCATACTTTGCTGGCGGTCCGCAAGATTTGGCACTGCCATATTCTAGCTCGGTAATATCGCCGCCCTTAATGATATCCGTGCCGCCCATATAGTGCGGCGAGTCGGGACTTGGAAATGTAGAATTGTCTCGGCATGCTGGCCGACGTGGATATAAGTCTCCAAGAATACATTCGATGGGTTGGCTGGTTGACTTTGTGTATTCTTCGTCACATTGAAAGTTCACAAAAGATCCGTTTGATATAGTCAATCCAGCACGATATCCGGAAGAGTATTGTCCGTGGCTGATGTCTGGCAATATGCACGGGGCTGGGTTGCATTCGGGGAATGTGGTTGCTGTCCAATCTCCATGCCAACAGCGTAGGACACTCATTCCTTGCAAGTTGTAACCACGCTCGCAACTCACTTCGATGACGTCGCTGTTGGAGATTTCCGCTGTTTCATTTAAGGGTTCATCGTCGTGGATTACACTGGGTGTTACACCCATGATGATCTCTCCTCGCGACATTCGGAATATGGCGTTGTCTATTTCTGGTACATGACAGGGTACTGAAATTTTTTTCATAAAATAATTTCACTAACTATTTACCCGGTATGTTTACTTACATATTGTACACTCTGGTCTCTCCGGTTTCCATTTACCTCTAACACACTTTGCTGTTTTATTCTCCGGCAGATTTAATTCGTACCCTTTTCCACACGCCATTTTGACTACAGTCCCCGAGCTATAGGTGATATTAGCGTGTTTTCCGTGTTTGACTATTTCAATGCTGACGTAGGGTTCATTAGAAAGTGGCTCACATGGCATTCCCTTCTTTTGACGATTTTCTTCCTCTTGCTTTTTACGCTCGTCCTCATCTTCCCATTCGTGTTTTTTGTTACCTCTGCGTAAACTCAAGGAACCGGAAGAACCCTTTCGGCTGAGACTTACGGTTCGGGAACTTGACGTGCTTTTCAATGCGCGCTTCAAACGCTTCATGTATTCGTTGTGTTCCTTTAAATATTTAACGTCATCCTCGTCCATTTGGAACAGTTCGTCAATGTAGGAAGGATGAGCGTAATCTTCGTTTCCGGCGACTTTGTGATGTCGCATGTTTGCTCGGCGATATTTCTCCATGACAATTGAACGACGGCGACGACTCCAACGTAAACGAGGATGTTGACCAATGACACACCTAGATTTTAAATTATTTGATGGGTATGTAGGGTAGAGCCGCACTGGGTTATTATTACCTTGGCAGGGTTCTGGGACTCCAATGTCCACCAATGCAAGTTGCACCAGGTGGGCCTTCATTAAGAATGTATCCTTTTTCACAGTCATACATAATTTGCTTGTTGTTGATGACTTTCTTTACGTACGGTCTGTAGTCGTACAAACCCATATTGCCAACTAGTAGGATCTTACCATGTTCGACAAAACCCGGAAATGGGCAATACACTATTTAGAACATAAGTAATTAGGAGACTTCGATTGTTTGTATTATTTTATTTGGTTGTTTACCCTCTTGACAAGCTGGGATCTCGCCAGTCCAATTCCCGTAGGAGCATTCAATGAACTCGTAGCCCTTGAGCTCGAACCCGTCTTTACACTTGTAGCGTGCTTTCATACCGTGCTCCATTTTGGGTGCGATTACCATGCCATTTTTCGGCAGCTTTGGCAGATGTTTGCAGCGCGCGGGTTGACAATTGGGCATCTGCGTCCACGTGCCGTTGTTGCACGTGACGGGTGCGTAGCTGCCGAAGAACTCGTAGTGCGCGTCGCAGTCGACCGTCAGCGACTCGCCGTGTTGCACGACGGTCGCCTGCGACCCGCCTGACTCGTTCGCGCGCGATTCTAGCGTGATCCTGCCCTGCGACACCTGCGGCACCACGCAGGGCGCTGCAAGAGATGCCAGCACAACCCAGTTTTACACACACACACCCACACACAAATTGAAAAAAGTCAAATAGGTAAAAGGTTCCTAGTCTATTACACACGCCATATTTAAATATATATGTCATATATCTAGGCTCAACTTGTACAACTCTTGTACCAGTTATATTTACAGCTTGAATTAGTACAACAACACCTTGTGCACGTGTAATGGTGGTGGTGTGTTTGCTGTGTAATAGGCTGTGATACCCTTTCAGAGTATCTGGGTGAAAGCAATTTGCAGCAAGAAGAACACATGCATTAACTCTTTCACTGTGAAGTTAGGGGTTTTGAAGGGGCTAAGGGATAAAAAGACGGGTGTTATATTGGTAACGGGGTACTAAGAACAAGTGATCAATCATCGTAATCATCATACCTAAGCATCTAGGCAGCGGGTAGCGCCATTTGCCGTCGATCTGGCACACGGCCGACGAGTTCCCCTCTAGTTTCATACCTTCATGGCAGCGGAAGATAATGGAGGCGCCCAAGCCCGTGCCGCCTTCGATATTCTCTAGCCAACCGTTCCAAAGCCTGCCGGGATGTCCGCAGTTTATCTCTATTGTGCATGCAAGCAATTCGTAAACTCGAAAACGTTCGGTGGGTGGTCATCGTACTCATAGTATTAAATAACAACATATCAAACGAAACAAAACATAAACAAACGAAAAAAAACTAAACAACTTAGTAACTGACAACTAGGCTCGAGCTGGGCTACCTTTGCACACTGGTTGTAGGCCGGACCATTTCTTATCCGCTCCGCATCGGCGAGTTGCTTCCCCGGCTAGATAGTACCCATATTTGCATTCGTAGCTGACCACGGAATTGTAGCTACAGGAGGTGTAAATCGCTTTGCCGTGGCGAGGATTCTCAGGTGGGGAACATGTCACCGCAGTTACCACTATTAATCAAAATTAAGCATTTAGAGATTTGCTTCCGGAATTTATGTTAGTTTATTGTTTGTGGAATATGGTGGATATGCTAGAAATATAAGCTTCCTACAAGAAACAGATTTCTTTTGGAAAGCCCATTATATCTTACAAACGCAGGTGGGTAAATCCTTGGGAATCCACGTGCCGTCTGCTTGACAAAAGCGTTCGCTCTTCCCAACAAGTTCGAAATTCTCCGCGCAGTGATAAGTGATGCGACACCCATACGTGTAACACTCGCCGGCGTGCCAACCGTTGGGAATGTCCATCGGCGTGCCACAGCTACGCGCTGTAGAACAAAACAAGACAAGACAATTCAACCCTTTCTAGCATCATGCAAGCAAGCGCGCATATTACGTTCGCAAGATATATCCGGTCCATACCACGATGCTTGCCCGTCGATTGCCAGACATTTCGCGCGCGGAAATCCATTCGTCACGTATCCGGTATGGCAATAATACTGCAGCTGTGAGTCGAGGTCGAAGGTGACTTGCTCGGGAAGAGCATTGTGGCGTGCGTGGTCGATTGTCGGTGGCGATAAGCAGTAAACTATGAAAAGAAAAAACACACACAAACACATTTGCGGGGATTCTTTTAGGATGTCACCAACGTGCTTACTGTTCTGTTTGCAAGCAGGCGCTGTACCGGCCCATTGGCCATCCGCTTGGCACGTACGACTTTGCAGGCCAACGACGTGGTAACCGTGCTGGCAGGAGTAAGACGTTCGCGCGCCGAACAAACGCCCGCTGGCCGTCACGCTGCCGAAAGTTATTTGGTCCGGTTCGGGGCATTCACGATCTGGAACACGAGCCAGACCAGAAACTACTTTAATATCTTTGTCGGCGAGGTGTAATCCGGGGCGTAATCGCATTTAAAACATGTGAAACGTGAACAAAATACCAAATACGCCAAACGAACGTGACAGTATTGAGATAGATAGCTGTGCGGCAATAGTGTGAAGGCGCCGGGCACAAAGAATAAGTTTCTAATTATTTTCAGACTCTCGGTCAAACCTAAACTAACTTTGAGTACATATTATGTTACAGCGTAATTTCGGGTTATAACTACACCTTTGCATATTCTCTCGTAAAATATCAGGTAACATACAAATTGGGTCTCAGACCTTTAAAATTAATCTTGGCTGCCGTAACTAGCTCACCCTTTCCATGACGAAATCTCATTTACTCATCTTCTCATCTGTTATCTTCTTTCGGCTTTTACGTCCTAATAGAAGTTTATTGTATTGACTAATTGGTTTTTTGTGTCCCCTGAACACAAACACAGCAAACTAACTCGCATTCTTCGCGAGCGCTCGAACGAAATCGAAATGACCTTCTCTGGAGCGCGCCATGCTGCTGCTGCTTTTTTCATTTCCTTTCTTTTGCCTCCACGGCGCTTCGACGAGTGCGTTTGCTCCGGGCAAATAAAAACTTTCCGCTTAAGCACACGTTAGAAGCAGTAAATTCATTCGGAATCGGGCCGGCAAAGTGGAAACCGCTTGGGAAAAAGTTGAACGTGAAAGCGCATCCGGTCGAATTATAACTTTTCCCGGCAAACACGCGGTCGGGGCAGACCCTGCAGCGATGCAATATATTTTGTACCCACCTACATCCTTCTATACGCCTCAATAAATAATTTATCCTTTTGTGTTTGAGGCATGATCGAAGCCAATGAAAATGCACATATTTTATAGTATACCACTAGTACTATGAAACAAAATAGAAAATATATTCATAATATTTTTTATCCCTTGAAAATACGAGTATAAACCGAGTATAAACTCAAAGTGAGGATATTAAAAAGTTTTCCCATCGCTGTTCACTTACCTGGCTTAATGCAAGACATGCCACAAGCGCCATCGCAGAGACATTTCTTCTTCTTACTTTTGCAGTCCTCATCGGAGGAGCATTTCCGCAGGCACTTTTGACCCTATGCGCACAAACAAAAACAGAGCGCACGGATGAGTGTTTAACAGGGTGTAAAAGAGGGGTTTGGGTAGAATGGGAGGAAAATAATTTGTCGGAAGTTGGAGTGGGCTTACACACCAATAGCGTTGCTTGTTCTTCGTCGCGCGGGCATAGTGTCGATGGAGAGTTACGAGGGTTTTTGTAGATTTTACCATCGTCGTCGATTTCCGTTGACTCGTCATCATCGTCCCAATCGTCATCATCGTCATCGGGTGTTGGTGTTGTAGACGTTACCGTTGATCTACGTATGCGTCGAATGTTTAACCCATCGACTAAAACAATAGAAACAATAAATTTAGGAAGGTATTAGAAAATATTTAAAGCCGGAAAATGTGAAAGTAATGTGAACATTACGTATTTAAATTGTCAGGTCGAGGGTTCCATGATTAATGTCGGAATGTAAGCCGACAAAGTATTTACATAACGTTATAACGCAATAATGAAATATGTATTTGCCCAAGGATTTTTCACTCCCGAGCGTTGGGAACGATATCAGGCACGCAAAGCTCGCTCTGAGACTTTTTCAGCCCTGAGTAAAACAGTGGAATAACAAGGCAAGAAAAACAATGTGAAATTTTAGTAATAATGCTTTGGAAGTTTCAGCTTTTTTTGCTGAAACACGCATGTATCATAATTACGAACAGCGGGCAAAAAATTCTTACAAAGCATTTTTATTTTTGTAACACAATGCGCTAAATTATTATAAATTATTATAATCTTATTACTGTGAACAATTGCAGGGTCTCTAATGTCTCCACTGTTTGTATCTTCTTTGTAATCACTGCTTTGCCTTTTGAAGTTGAAGGCATGTGATTACTCTCGGATTCGCAGTGTTTTCTATCCCTGCCTGTTTGCATTCTGCATAACTCTTGATTGTTTTGGTTTCAAAGAGAGCTAGGCAGGCAGACAGACAAGCAAGTCAACAACGAAACAATTCGGATGCCGTAACCAAATCTATTCTTTAGTACCCCTGCAGAGTGCCATTCCCGGCTATTTCTACTACTTGTCGTTGGTTCGCTTTAAATGTGCAACGATAAAGCTATTCAGGCTTTTCTTTGCATTTGCGTTTGTGTTTGCATTCTCATTCACATTTGCAATTCCGAGGACGAATGGGATTTCTCTCGCTCTCACACAGCGAACAGACTAACATTTAATAAAACATTGTAAAGGCGCGCGCGGTACACGGGTCGCCTAAAAGTGGAAATTGAGCACGGGGTGCACCACAAGGATGTGCGAATTGTTGTCGAGTTGAGAGTGCCAAACGTAGTCGCACAAGCGTCGCTGGATGCACACAACTGTAATATCACGCGCTACCTTTTTGCTTTTTGGAGGTTTTTATCATAAAAAAAACTGGGTGTTCAAAGTTTGAAAGTGTGAGGTATCTAAAGTATGAAACTTGTTTAGCAGTAAAGTTTAACGTTTTGTATGCTTGGCTGTCTAAAATTGGTTTGAAGTTTGAAAAACACGCATAGGAACTTGCACTCACGCGAATTTATACCTTACACTTTGGTTTTTGGCGTTAGGAGCAGAGAAACGCAAGGAAACGATATATTTCCAACAATAGTTTCAACATTATTTATGTGCGTGAGAAACCTTTGGTGGTTGGCGGTGTTGCTAAGCAGAACGTACATCATATTCCTTTTTTGGCCAAAAACCGGGTGTTGAACAATAAAAATTTTGAATTTTTAATTTACAATTACTGAAATCAATTGAAGTCAATAATTGCATTAGTAGCAACATTATATAACTTTATTAGACACGTGGGCTTTTTATTCATCCATCTATTTGTTATAATTTAAAGACTATTGTAAACATAAAAATAGTATGACTTATATAATGTCTTGACATTGGAAAAAATCGTGAAAAAAGAAATCGTGTAAACGTAAACATAATGGAGCAGCTTTGTTACGCTCATTTATAACACTTGGTAGCGGTGATATATTAGCGCGCGTTATGCGAGTGTTCCGAACACATCGCGATATAAACCTGCGCCCGTTTGTTCGCTTGCTCGCCCGACTATAAATAAATTTCACTCCCTAAAAGAAGCGAAGCGGCGGCGGCGGTGGCGGCGTTTGCTATTCTTGCAATTTCTTCGCGATATTTCATGCGACGATAAAATGCTCGCGCCTTTCTCGTCTGGTAATGAAACATCTGAGATGAATGCTTTATTTTCGACAGCGACACATATACACACACCTAAGCTCAGCGAATTTAAAGCCTATTCATACACAGATGGCCTACTCGACGTACACACATTGATATTAACGTCGCCATCAATTCCTCTGCGTCGATGAGGGCGAATTGGTGGCGAAATATGCGCGGACGCGTGACTCTTGAGCGACAATGTACAATCGAAATTTCTTTTTTTTGACATAAAACCCGCGCGATAAAAGCAGTGAGCGACAGGAAGCGGCTTAAATTCGCTACGCGCCATGCTTCGAGGCTTAAGGTATAAAACCTGGAAGCCGAAAAATACTGCTAAAGGTAGTAAATGGTTGCATGTGTGCGCGCCTATGTGATGTACGTATTTTCGGGCTTATCTTGACGACACGAGGACTGAACGATAGCGTTCCAAGATCGATTATGCTTTTTAAAATCACGCAAATAAGTTTTCTTTTTGCCTTGAGGACTTACGCTTTGATATTGAATGAAATGCTGCGAAAGTAATGGAACGCGAAAATGAAAGGTAGGGGCTATGTTATTAAGTCAGCAAGTGAATAAAGCGTTTGGGAAAATAAGACGTCAATTCGGATTCGAGACATTCCCTTGAAATTGCTTTAAAACCAGCCACGCGTTACAATCTCAAAGCTGTAGATTTTTTAGAGGAAATCCAGGTATCCAAATAATATTTTTATGTTTCTGTAAGAAAAATCTATTTTTACTCTAAAGTACATATTTTAATTTAGTATTTGTCTAACACTATTGATTTCTTTATAATTGATTTGGGGTAAATATTAGGAATCAATTTAAAAATAAGTTTTCTGATAAGAAATGTTATACCACTTTTCGTATTCGACTCTCACTCTTCGAATATTTATGGAAATTCAGATGAGATTTACTTTGCTGTCGCGAAAATTCCTCCGCGCGTAAATCTCGAGAAAATCCTCAATCTGCTTATGTTTTGATGTCAAGGTTTTACTGCCTTTCAACACGATTCAATTTTTTTGTGTCAATAAAATTGATTTGCCAATAAATTTTTGTTTACTGTTTTAAGCAAATTGCGATTTCGAGTAAACACAAACAAAACTAATAACACGATACTAATTGGAAATTTCTCGTTAGCAACTATAAAACTAGTTAGTTGTTACGTTCAACTCATGAACTTTTGGCATTCCCTCTCTGTTTATATTACAATTTTTCATTAAAAGCATATAATCCCGGTTTTATTATGTGCTTTTTGTATATGCTGTGATTTTATTCGATTTAATGGTAATGGCTGCTGTGTTTTGTTTTTTGGCACGCGGCAATTTGGCAACATTGCAATTATTACATGCAGAATGCTGATAACAGCTTTTGGAGTGCTGCACCTGCACCTGAAGAGCGTAGCGAATGCAGACTATTTGAAAGCATTGCAGTGTCGGTATGCAAATGCGAATTATTTAAATCGTTTTAATTACATTCCGCTTTCCGTGGTAATTAGTATTCAAAAAATGATGCAGATATTTTGGCTGCATAGTTAATTCCAATTTTAATTTATGCTTAAGTGCTGACGTCATTCTTCAACAAAACAAAATAAATACATTAACAAATTTGAAATGATGAATGACTCTATCGTGGTTGAACAGTGGTAGGTTTGTGGGATGTCATTTCTACCAGATGCAACATCTCTTGAGAGCTGCCACTAAATAATTCAGGATTTTATGGTATCAAGAAGGATATTATGCGGAATTGTTGGAAAATCGATAGCACTGAAGCAAAATAAGAATTATAAAGAGTTTTTTCCACTGATGCAAAGTGAGAATATTAAAAGTCAACATAAAAGGACACTTAAAGTATGATGATAAAAACAAAAAAATCTTCTCAGTTTTGCATATATTTATCCTATTAATGGAAAACTGCCCTATTTTAATATGCTACTAGATACGAAATATGCATTGTAAAATGTATTATTTTTATTATTAATACAAATTTAAATTATTGCAATTTTTTCCACTTAACCACTGATTTGTCGATTAACTACCTTGAGCGTTGAAATATATCATGAAAATCAATGAATATCATTAATAACACCCAAATCAAAGTCGCTACAGCGCCACCTCAACACCCGCCCGGTGCGGGTTCCAACGATTAATAACAATACGTTATTTATTAACGTCGAACGACGGAAAGTTCAATTTGTGTGCCCTATTTAAAACTCGAACAGATAGATTTGAACAATGCGCTAAATTTATCGCCCGTTTATTTATGACGTTGTCATTAGAACGGTTATGGGCTTTTATTCTCTCCCCGGCAGCGGCGTACGGATTGAAAAGAGGTCGGAATAAATGGGCGTACAGGGTGATTATTATCCACGGTTTCGCACGGTTTGCACCCCGCCTCTTTATTGAAGACGGCGACGACATCAGCCGAGCAGTTTGGTGGCAAAGCGGAAAGGAGGAAAACGCATCAAGGCGCGAAGCGTGCATATCTCGCTCGCTGGACGTTATCGGTGCGCGGCCATCAAACATTTACGAGAGTCACATTTTCCGTATCCCATTTCCACGTCATTTCACGTGTATCGAGATAGTCGAGGACGAGAAGGAGCTGAGGCAAATGCAAATTCGACATTGTTTGCTCTGCCACGCCTATTTTCACTTGCGACGATATTGGCTATTTCAGGCCACCAACAATAGATACATCCTTTAGAAATATTATGCACGGTTGGTTGCTTACTTTTTTGTCTCTATTTTATACACTTTTTATAACATAATTCCCATGCTTTTTTTAATTTATATGGAAACCCGGAAGGACGCGGCGCATTAAGCGAGTTCAAGTTTGTCCTCGTTCCGCGGGTCGGGGGTGCTAAATTGGGTTAAAGAGCGCGATTCGCGACCGAGATAGGCGCACCACCTCCCTCCCACTTTTTGCAGCACAGTGTGTTGCGTTTGCATTTGCAATTCAAAACTTTTCGCCCAGGAACGCATTGAAAGTTACGACTTTCCTAACACAATTTACTTTTCTTTTCATTTCTTTCGCTGCGAGTTCATAAACTCATAAACTCCAGCATGAAAAGTTGAAATTCATTTTTGTATTATGATTATGTATAAATATAAATATCTACCTATAAATTTGTTTAACTTGGTGGTAATTGTATCGCCCAGTTTGTACGCGGCGGCCGACAAAAAGGAAAGCAGTTACAAAAGGCACGGGTCGGATCGTGCGCCCGCTGAATGCACGCGTATTTATAAATTCGTGTTTATAACTCAGACGGAGCTTATGTTAATTACTTCTAAACCCCCCTCGTTCAACACATTAATTCAAACAACGCATTGCCGCACGTTTAGGTGTTGCACAGTTTCCTCGACTGTGTTTATGTAGTACTACTTCCGAGTTGACTTCGGGCTGCAACTTGGCGTAGGAAGTTTGTTTCCCGGGGAGCAACCCTGCGGCCGGATGTAGTTGGAGATGAAACCGCCTTCACCGTCACCACCATGTAATAAGGTATTAATTTCTAGATGATGTAGGGTCAAGGTTGAATGCGGTGCGGCCGCATCAATACGCACACTAAGGGTGGGATGAAAAAAAAAGGAACGTGAAAAACGACGCGTACATCGTGATCAGACTTTGATCGAACGCTGGAGCGTATTCAATACGTCACGTTTGCTGTCCGTGAATTGTTAATCAGCGAAAGGGATACAGGGATGGAAAACAACAAACAAACAACAACATGAAACAAACAAAAGACACGCGGGCGGATGCTGTATGGTATCGGAAATGAAGAGTTGTTATCGGGATGATGCATGTTTTGCGTCCTACGTTCAAAAATGGATAATGTAAACCGGGTTGAAATGAATTCCAATTAATAGAAAGCCTAGGGCTTGAATACCTACGGGTTCAAAATCTATGTTTATCTTATCCGCTTGGATGTTCTTAACAGAGTTTTTAACTAACAAAGGAAAAATTGTGCGCTGCTGGCAACCAACATTGCATAAAAATAACAAATGAAACATTTTGGATGATTTTACAATCATTTTAATCTAAATATATACAGTAATACAATAAAAACAGAATATTTCATCAGCTATAAATCAAAATTATATCTTGTGGGCGCAATTACAAGACAATTACTAAAACATACGGCATATGTTTTTCGTAATTGTCTCGTAATAGCATTAAACCGAATATAATAAGCCGCAGCTCAACGCTGCAAAACCCTTCGAATGGCTTACAAAAACATATTATGTCGCACTGGGTAAATACATCATCTCGAGATGATACCGCTGAAGCCAGCCCTTTTGGTAGAGAGTTAATATTTATTTATTCTAATATGGCAAAATCTCGTTGCGAAATAATATCATTATACGTCATGGCGATGCGATAGAGAAGATGATGGCGCGATAGCGGCAATGGCAGCAAAGGGAATGTTGATTAGCGAAAAAGGGAGGCGGCGCGCCGAGAGATAATGGAATATTCATAAAGCCACTCTATACATTTCGTAATAACCTGCAAGTAGAAGCGCACGCGTGTATGTGCGCGACTTTGACGAGTGATAATAAGTAATAACATTTTGCTAGGAAATTTGGCTGCAAGCAAACAGGCGTATGGCATGAGAAGTGGTAGGGAGTTAAGTGATATTATTTGACATTATTGCTACTTGAAACTTTGTTCATTTCAAAATTGTTTCAGAAAATTTGTTTGAACAATTTTTTCTGTCCTTAGAGACGGGAAAGTGTCATTAAATAGTTTTACGGCGCTGACTGAAAAATTCTACGCTTAGTAAGTACGGAATACATACATTTTAAATGAGTTGTTTACAGTTTGGTGACAAAGCACAAGTTGTGAAAGTTTCTAAATTAACGCGTTGCTAACAGAAGAGCTTTGCTTTGAAATATTTCCGACTTAATTCAACAAAACAGGCGCACAATTTCGCTAAACGCCCTCAATAGAGTCTGGAGAGCTTTACATTAAAACATTAAGTAGGAAAGTTTTTAGTTTGTTGATAATATCTTAATTTTCCCGCAAACTTTTCCTTTGTTTGCCGGGGCAACTTCCGTTTCTCATTAAATTTTATTCTAACGGCAAGAGATACGACATTATCTCATTTGCGTTATTATTATTTTAATAGTTAATAGAAAAGTTTTTTAACTTACCTCCAAGAATGTAGACCGCAACAAGCAGATAGATCCAAAATTTCGCGTTCATTTCGTGTTTTGCGGAACGCCCACTCGTCGGCACAAAACTACGCGAAAGTCAAACAAGTTGTCGGCATCGCGACACAATCGAATCAAAACCGCGCTCGTTGTGGTTGTTGCGTCGTTGCGGTAATACCAGGAAGTATCAGCTTTTCTCAATTGCTTCGCCTTTTGTGTGACAATCAGGGCTGATGGATGCACCGCATTTAATGCGAGCGCGTTAAGTGTATTTGTAGGGCATGTGCGACGACGAAGTGAATTCGCGCGTCGAGCGCGGCGCGGGCGGTCTGATCGGCGGCGCGTCTCTTCAGAAACTGAGCGTCGCGACGCGCAAGAGAACGCCCGCGCGCGCGGCGCGAATGCCGTCGCGGATGCGCCTCTTTCGCAGGGACGACTTTATATTCAGCAAAACGCATTGGGTGCCGCCAGTGCACAAAAATAGATGTTATGTCTTCGCCAAAATGCTCTGCGTTCCAGCAAAATAGCCACAGGTATTAATAACAACTTTGTTTCTGTTTGATGTTTGTTTTTTCGTTTAATACAGGCACTACATTTGTTTCCTTGTTTAATTTGTACCAACAAATGATTGTTTTTGTTCATTATAACTTTTACAATGGCCGCTTTACAATTAAGTTAGGCTACCAAATTTACCCAAACATGAAATTTGTTTGTCATGCTTGTCGTGTTCTCACGATTCGCACGTTTGCGAGTCCACGGCTGTAGGTCATGTTGATCGCATATTTTATTAAAATGGTTGCCTCGGTTTTGGCTTACCAAGGGTAGTAGTAGCCGAACTAAATCTCGCTACGTGCTCGGATGAGTGCCACCGACACACAGCTATGATCTAAAAATACGACGCTGGGTCGCACTGACGCACAAAAGTAAAAAAAAGTCAAATCTTTATCCCTTAATATCATCCTCGACGTATTGGAAGTTATCAGCTCCAAAAAAATTGCTTTTAGAGGTGAACGTGAACGTTACCAACGTGCATTGAATGATAATCAAGAATAACCTAAAAATTTCAAAGAAGTTGAAGTGGATTCAACGCTGAATGGGTTAATAGGTACTTAACACAGATTAATTTGGCACGCATACTGTATATACTTTATATACTTCCTGTTAATCGAAGGTATACAATAATGTAACAGACATTTATAGTTTGTTTTTGTTTTTATTTATTTCTGTACGTATTTATTTTTATCCGTACACTTATTAATTTATGATTAAATACAGGTCTGTTCATGAAATTCATGAAATCATCTGATGCGGGTTGTTTACCATGTTCATATGTTCATCCCGTAGCGTGGTAGCCTACATGCAGGATACACAGCACCAGCAAATTGCGGATAGCAATATGAGGTGAAATGAGGCGTGCATGATGCGGTGTTCATGAGTCCTATGTGCCAGCGTACATGAAAAGGGTCGCCCGACGCCTGAAAGTCTTCAATGTGCAGACAAACACTAAAAATATGTCAAGTTTACCCTCTCGTCACAATATTCAATATAAATCCTTTTAGTAAACTCAACTTTAAATTTTAAATACAAGGGAGCCAAGGAAAAAATGTTTTTGTAAACTTTATATTTTAATTTCATGCAATTAATTATTTTTGTGCAATGAAACTTTAAAATATCATTTATAAATTAGCCGAAGTTAATTGTTCTAAAGAAGAATTAAAATTCTCGAAAGTATCCCGAAAAATTCTTTAAAAGCAATCATTTAATGCAAAATATGTTGAAACTTTATTTATTTATTTAGATTTACATCTACCGTATAATGATTATGAAGAATGTGAAAGTGAACGATAAAAAGAATAAATAAAAGGACGAAGGGCTCTACGACCTGCGCGGTAAAACGCACCCTTGCCACATCTCCGCTACTTTGAGGCGCGACGAAACGTTCGATTCAAATTCTGATTCGCAAAACTGCCGCCGTCGATGTACGATACCTGCTGAACATTCCCATACTCATCGGCCGATACAATACATCGCACTTATTATGCGTTGCGCGTTATCTGCGTGTCACGAGCTCGCTGTTAATTGGAAATAAAAATTAGGTCACAGTCGATCCGCAATCACTGGTCACCTGATATGCAACGCCGCCGCAGTTGTTGTCGTCATATGATAATCAAAGGTAAATATTTACTACTCGTCCGACGAATTGCGTGGCGTGCAAGTGTGCATCTACACCGAGTTCCGCATTTCGCACGTTGCAGATGAGGCTGTTATTATAATATTTACTTGACCGCTAAATATAGGACTACGGGTAATTCCGATTCGATGTGATTTATTGTAAACCATACCAAAGTAGTGTAGAAACAAAGTGAGTATTGATCTACATTCTATTCTTTACTTACCGGCCGAATACTTTATCACACGATTATCACAAACGTTTTTGTTGCAGATTGTTCCAGTTAATCATGGGTGTAAACAGCAGCAAGAAACTTGCTGCCAAGTGCTCATTTCTTTCCAAAGATGAGCAGATAATTGTCAGTCAATCATTTAGGTTAGCAAGCAAGAATTCTGAAAAAATAAAAGAGGATGAATTAACTGTAAGTTTATCAATATATTTTTGTTTTACTTATACTAATTTAATGTTTTCAGAAACTATGGGGAACACAAATGGATGCAAGATTATCTCAGTACATCAATAATTATTTATTTGGTATTGGGGAAGCTCGAGTAATGACTGTAGACTTGGAGAGATTTGCTGAATTATTTGTTTTCTGTACTAGAGGTACTGTAGATGAAAAATTGAAGGTTTTGTTGATCTCATTAGGCAAAGGAGAAAGTGATAATGCAAATGTTCCTTATTTATTGGTGAAAGAGGTATAAAAACAGATTCTAAGTTGAATGTAAAATAATATATTTTTTTATTTGCAGTATGTTGAGAGTATTGTATCATCTTATATGAAGATACAAAAGGTGAGCAATACAAAGCAGTTTAAGAGCTGGCACTCGAAGGGCTGTTTTACATCGCCACAAAACGTACAACGATTTGCTGAGAGTCTCATCCATGAGTTAGCCACAGGCGAATTGATCACGCGACGCGCGCTTGAAATGTGGTTACAGGGCGCCACAGAGCTTGGCCAGTTGCTAATTTTTGTCTTTAAACATCTGTACAATATCTCGCATCGTGAGAAAGGTACTCCTAGCGATCGTGCGGGGGCTGGTGTCGTTGGACTGGAAGCCGAAGCGCCCATCATTGATGCCGAACGCGATCGTAGTTTGGTGCCAATTTGCCGTGGATTAGACCTTATTCCTTCGTATCCTAGTTTGCTTGACCTCAACCAGATCGTCTTCATCAACGCACACTTGCCGCAGCAGTATCAGCTGGAATGGCGGTTTCTTTTCTCCTCGGAAATCCACGGCGAGTCTTTCTCAACGCTTATAGGTAGAATAGTTAATCAGGGACCATCGGTGCTTATTCTAGACGATATGAACGGCTGCATTTTTGGTGGGTTTGCGCCCAGTAATTGGGCGCTCGGACCGAACTTTTTTGGCGATACTAGCAGCTTTCTATTTACGCTGGCGCCAAAGATGCGCGTGTTTGAGTCGACTGGCTACAATCAGCACTTCCAATATTTGAATTTGTATCAACAAACTATGCCGAATGGATTGGTAAGTAAAAAATAAATTCACATAGTTTTCTTTGTTTATTCAAAAAAATTATTGCAGGCAATGGGCGGTCAGCACGGTTATTGTGGTCTCTGGCTAGATGAGGAATATGGAAAAGGACATACTAGTGAATCGTGCACTACATACAAGGAATATACGCAGATGTCACAGACGAAAGAATTCCAATTCCGTCATTTAGAAGTATGGGGACTTGGACAACCACCACCAACACCACAGGAGCGCGGCGAGCGCGTGCCTGGTATGAGCGTGCTCGACGGCAACCCCGAGAACAAGGCGTTGTTAAAGATGGCTGGTCGCACTATTTACAGCGAAGGTTTGCAAGAGCCACCGCGCGAGGGCAATTAGACCAAACGTTTAACATGTATGCAATATTTGCTGATTGAAGTGCCAAACAATTCCACTACAAAGATTGTGTTACAAAATACTAGTCACTTTGGTTTATCTAGTTCTAAAAAAAACTCAATTACAATGACACTTCGAACAAAGTTAAAAAAAAGTAAACCTACATGGCTCACCGCGTATATATTCGATTAAAAGACATCTTTGTCCATAATTACAGGAGTCACACATTCAGGAAAAATTCAATTTTAAGCTTCATATTGTTGTTGCTTGAATTATTAACATTGTTAGGTTGATTGAATTGATTCGTAGGAGTTGAATTGCATATCTTTGCGTAGCTATTATTGTTCGTTTTAATAGATGAATTATTCTTGTTATTGTTACATTGTTCGTTTATATAGTTTATAATGTGGTAATTGCAAAATTTGTTGCTAGATGTTTGATTGAGTCATTGCAGTTTGCATTTTGCTCTTTCGACTCGGTTGCGGAACATTTCCATCAAATATATTTGTAATTTAGATGTTCACGAACGCCGTTTGCATAATGAAAGGACATACCGTCTTACACCAATAAACATACACAAGTCACATGTAAACACCGAACACCATCATCTTAATTCGAGTTAAAAATCGTTGATGTTGTATTTATTATATTGAAATTTGGAGATAATCGAATACGCACAAGCTCTGTACACCGCAAAACAGTCATTACTTGTATTAATGTGTTGCAATTATTTATTTTTAATGAAATTCTAAAATTTACGCGATAATTTTTATTATATTACGACTACGAGTGTCTTCAAATTAACCTGGAATATTATCTGTCTAGGAAGTGCTCGGGTTCCTCCATTGCCACCCAACGTTTTATAACTGTTTCTAATCTTCATGCTTATAGTTTGATCATCTTTCAACATATGAATTGTTTCAATCATTCCATCAACTTCAAGAATTTTTATTTCCGGATTGTATGGAAAGTCGGTACCACTTGCAAGATTACCAAGTGTTTCGATTGGGTCGAAGAAGTAGACTGTCTCAAGTCTAGCTTCAGTTTCTAACGAAGCGGTTTCGTCTGTAGGATGTTCTTCACTGGTCACGGTTTTTGAGATGCTGATCTCCGGTAGTGCATCTCCTTCAATTGGTACTTGTTTTTTTCTGCTAGAACAGGGGAACACTTACCTATTGAAGGTATATCTGCGTTTTGTATGTTCTTCAACAAGAGCCTCAATAGTTGCTGGAAGAACTTCCTCTGAGAGAGAGTCCTCTGCAAGCGCCAGTTCTTCATCGGCCATTTCCTGTCAACTCTATGGTCAACCGATTATTGAAAAAATAAATTATGCGTCATAATTGACTGTCAATGTGACGAGTTAAACAATCTGTATATTATTCGTTTTTACTTTGTACTATTTTAAAGATGTCGGTTAAGGAAGATACTAGTGATGATACTTTAGAAAGCAAATCTGAATCGGAAATTAATAAAGAATCTGTTAGTGTCGTAAATGTTAATGATCAAAAAGATAGTGATCCGGTGGATACTGAATTACAAGTTGAAAGCGCTTCTCATTTAAAAACTGTTGATGAAAGCTTAGAGGCTCCATTGAATGTGCCACCACCATCGCTTGCTGATGCAACATATCCAATTTCAAAAACAGATGAAACTGCGGAAGGTTCACTTCCTTTCGCAAGCGATGGTCATGGTGGAGATGCAACTGAACAAGAACAAATTGTGCCCGAAGAAGAAACAGAAACGGAAAATATAGCTAGTGAAAAACACAAAAGTCGCAGTCCAGGCGATATTCATCTTTATCCGCTGTTTCACTTCCTACGGCACCATTGGTTGTGCCACCAGAAATTGTTTCTGATGAACAGGATGAAATCGAAGAAAATCACAGACAACTAAATTCTAATCAAGTAGCTTCTGAAATGTTTTATGATCTTATCCAAACTACTCTTAAGCCACAAGAAGAACGTACAGAAAAAAACACAGATGATGATCTGTACATTCAACTATCGGAAAGTGATCAATTAGTCGCTTTTATTGAAGCAACACTTGGTGCACTTGCTGATGATATAGAAATGGGCGAACGAGAGTATATCTCTCACAAAGAGGCCTACTTTGGGATGACATATTTCTTTTTGCAATTCTGTGGTTTCCGTATATTTTTGGCTAACATTGACGAAGCAATTGCAAAGAACAAGAGTCTGAAGGAACTAGCTCATCTTATAGTTGAAATTGTGGATAATGTGGCGAATAATGCCGAATATCTCCATTCAGATAGTGATCTTCCCGAACACATAGCAAAGAACATTATATGGCAAATACTTAACTCTAATATGATGCAGCGCAGGTATAACGAACCAGGCGGGGTTGCTCAGTGGCAGGCAGCCGACATATTAGATGAAATTTTAGACACAGTCATTGCCACTGAAGCAGAAGCAGTTAAAACAAAATTTTTAAGCAAGCCTACGCAACAAAGCACTACTGAAATGGTGCTGATTCTTTTTCAATATTTAAAAACAACTCTTAATAAGTGTTTATTTATAGAAAACATTAGAAGAACCTGAAATCTGTCGGGAATATGGTGGGATCTTCAATGTAGCAGAACACTTCATTTCAAGTTTATTTGATAAGTCGTCTCAAATCGTATCTCATCATAATGCCAAGCGCAAGGAGAGCGAAATCGGCAGTAGACCTTCAATTGAGAACAGTAAACCCTTGGTGACTAAACGACAGTCGATTCGAGCACGACTTAGCGCCAAGAGTATGCAAAATATTGACAAGTCAACAATAGCAAACCCTCCGTTGATTTATCCTCAAATTGAAAATTTTACTGAAAAGATCGGCAAATACGTCATAAATGACATCATAAACAAGTGGAAAACCCAAAGCCTCAAGGAAAAATGGGCCTTTTCCATTAAGTTCCTTATGGGACAGAGTGATGCGTGCAGTGACTTTTATATCTACGAGGCAGTTTTTGGTCTTCCTACACCATTGTATCCTGTGCCGCAAGCGACTTGTAGCCTGATCTTTACCATTGAAGTATCGAGGGTCAAGCCGCGGGTTTGCCCCATTAATGTTGGTTGTTTCTTTAAATTTTAATTCGTGCATTTACAACGTTTCTTTATTGATAGGTTTCGTATAAAATTGAGGGAAGTGGATATGTGTTTGTTCCAGAAGAGTATGTATTCCAAGAAAGTTGGTTGCTTAATGTAATCAATGCAAAGATCAGACTTTTTAGTCGAGTACAGTTTTAAATTAAAAAAACAGATATATAATAACTGCAATTTTATATTTAATTAAATTATCATTTGTATCTTTATACAACGTAGGGGTATTGCACCCCTCAGCATTATAGCAGAAATTAGGGGGACATACATCAGACGCCTTTCTTGACGCGAGAAACTGCAACCGAGCCAAAACAACTGAAGAGTAAAGAATTGAGACCTTCGACTGTTCTACTTGACGCCTCAGGCACGACCAAGCATGATGATGGAAACTGTTGGCACCTTTGAAAATCAGTCGTATGTAATAGAAAGTTTGAGGCACCAGGGCAGGCGTATTTAGCTTGTGTACCCTCTGCGTCATTGTCCAATGCCTACGAACTGGATAGGGTTTCCTAAATAATTATACGGTGGAATCCCGGTAATCCGACAAACACTTTGCAGGGCATTGTCGGATCAGCGAATTTGTCGGATTATAGAGTGTTGCCTAGGACCCTCTACAATCCGGAACTTTTCACAAAAGAATACCTTGTAATCCGACAAATTACAAAGCCAATGATATGATTTATTGAATTAAACAACACAATAGAAAAATTACGTTTTACATATTATAAAATTTACACCATTAATGCTATAAAACTTACAAAAAATATGCAATAACTTTACATTAGGAAATACGTACATATTACAAGTTATAACGTACAAGTTATAACTTGTTCATTCACGCATTTGCGACCCTTGTTGTCGGATTACAAGAGGTGCCGGATTAAGCCGGGTCCGAATTACCGGGATTCCACTTGTACTTTACTAGCGGACCCAACAGACTTTGTTCTGTCCAAAAGATTTGGAATGTGGCAGTTTTTGTTCCTCCCCATTTTATAGTCGGTAGAAAAAAAATTTCTGAACGGAACCGTCACCCCGGTGATAGGGCGGTTACACGTTCTTTGGCCACCCTTTCAAGAACAAATTATATTAGTGAGACCCACTAAAACACTCCGAATTGTGTCACATGCAATACTTAGAGATCATAGAGAATTAAACACTTTTTACAAAACACGAAATGAAACAATCAAACAAAAATGAACCAAAGTAAGCTACGGAATTAGTTTTGTTTATCAGATGACAAAAGAAAACTCTGTAGAAAACGCTTTGCGCAAAACACGATATAAAACAATGAATCAAAAATAAATTGAAGAAGGCTGCGGAATTTGTTTCATTTATCTGTTGAAGAAAGAAAACTTAGCTTTTCCCCATTTTCCCGGCAATTATTCGAAATTTTCTGGCCGTAAAAACCACCCTTTGACTTTGTCAAACATTAAAAAAAAGAATTGGCCAAATTGGTCTAGGCATTGTTGAGAAAAGCGGTTACCAATACATTTTGCGATTAATTTTTATATTATAGATTAACACGCAAACTAAATTAGGGAATATAATATTACTTTCGGGAAAACAACGACGGTAACCTCGTCTAAAAATAATTAAATGCTTTGAATAAGGCCTTACAAAGGTATGACAACGAAAGTTACCATTGCATTTGAGCTAAACATGGATCACAGATAAAGAATGTGATTCTTGCAATCTATACTAATAAAGTAATATAGGTAATTGTCATATGATTGATAAAGTTATTCTACAAGTTTACAAAGTTTATTTTACAGTACCCTAAAATGCTCTACAAGAGTTCTCCTCCATGTTCGCAATAAAAAGTTGTAATTTTCAAATTTTGCTTGCAAATTCTAAACAAATGATTAATTCTCATCGATAAATCTTGATAAAAGTTTTCAATTTTTAAAAGTTATCATTTGCTTTTGCCCAAGAATGAATTTAATGATTTCATCTAAGCCAGATCACTCTGTGTTTATCATCTACTTTAAATCTTAACTTGAATTGTATATAGTTAATAAAAAATGTATCAATGAATTTATATTCATTTAAAATCTTCAATAAGAAATGATTTGGAATTTTTACTATCTTAAAAATTGAATTATGTAATAAAAATTTAGCATAGACGCTGTGTAATAATGTAGGTGAAACTTACGGCATGCGTAGGCACGCGTTTGAAGCTCGGAGTTTGATGGTGTTTCTCCGCGTGTGCGCTCGACTATAAACGAAGCTATAAGGGAAAGAATAAAATACCGGGCAAGTCGGATGATTTCTAATTTTGCGCCCCAAATAGGCAAAGCGCTTAGCCCGAGCCGCGCTCAAAACTGTTTCACCAAAATGCGAGCCGTGTCTTGGCTGGAAGACATGAAGTTGCTTCAAATAAATATTTCTATGGTTCGAAGCATAAACGCATGTCTTTTTGACCAAAATTAATAATAATAAACAAAATATTGAAGCTCTATCTGACGCGTAAGTAAAACATCGGCAGTTGATACAATGGGAATTTCTAAAGTGGCACACAAATGCGTAGGCACCAAGGGGAAGTGAAATCCCATCCGAAGAGTAATCCAAGGGCGTACAAATTTAACATCTTTAATATGTACTAGGATTCAAACGCGTAAATTTAACATATGCGAGTAATAAATCTGTATTTGAAATATTTATTTATAAACTTTACGTGAATATTGGATTTACAACTTTTATATTTTGAGTTAACATGTTTCGCCCAGAGGGCATCTTCATAAACAGTTTATAAAAATTGTAAATCCAATATTCACGTAAAGTTTATAAATAAATATTTCAAAGATACAATAGATTACGTATTTGCAAAAGAAAGTAATATAATAAATTTGTGTTTTTCCAAAACTTCCAAATGTTTCTACCAAAGGGTCGATGCTCGTTGCCTACGCCACATATCAGTACGGGCGGCTTTGCTAAATACACTGTAGCAATGCGTACACTCTTTTTCAATTCTTCTCATTTAATCTCTGTTCATTTTTATATTTCTTGCTACATTTTTTATGTGTTTGTCAAATAACTTTTATGTGTTTACTAGCGGAAAGACCAAATGCTTAAATAATAAATGTAAGCATTCGGGTAGTAGTTCCTTTACCCCGACTGAATTCGTATTTTCCATTAATCCGTATTTTCAAAACTTGGACCTTCCCAGGTATCCACTAATTTTTTGGTCCATCTTTCACCCTCATAAACCAATTAAATCTCAACCAATCCTGTCCAAGCAAACCATGTCACATGACCGATTTTCTTTCCTTAAATACCGCAATTTTGGAATCTAAGAACAGTTCCTACTTATCTTCTCCCAACTCGTCACGCTGCCCGAGGTGAATCTATTCATTAAATTATATGTGTCTTGTGTTTCTTGAACTAACATTGCTACCACGATTCGCGCACCAAACCACCATAACTTTTCGCTATTATGACTTTTGCACGTACAAGCATTATTGACAGTGTCGCCACCGAAGACAACCGAAGTCAACCGGTTGACAACGCTCCAGGTAATTCAATTTCTCGCCCGGAATCGGATTCTGTGTAATTCCATCGACTGTGCATCATGCGGATTTGCCTTTGTCGTGAGACAAACATCGTTGGACGGCTTCGTTTGGCAATGTCGGATCTGCGACTCGAGGAAAAACATACGTGTTGGCTCCTGCTTCGAGGATGAGCAGCTTCCGCTCATCACCACATTACCTGTCCTGGGTGTATGGGGCTTCGGGCACGCCGCTTCGGATGATAAAACTCCATGCAGAGGTATCGGAGCAAACCGATTGGCGCAGAAGAGCCGCCATGCGATTATGCTTTTGCGGGAACGAAGCCCACGACTTCTGGAAGGTTTCCTGGAGGAGAAAGAAGACTTCACTGTTGTTGAGCTCGACAAAACAATGCTTTCCAAAGAATAATATAACGTTGGTTGGGTTAAAAATCAACAGTGGGTTTTTGGAGGAATTCAGCGCGTAACGCGAATGTGCTTTCTTAGGGAGGTCCCGAGCGAGAAAGCTACCACACTTCTTCCAATAATAAAAAGTAGGTACTCACGAATTTCTCTTAAAGTAAAATTGAGTGTTATTATGGAGATGGGGGGTAGGCGGTTGGGTAAGGTAAGGTATTGTCTTGGTTTGGATTATCTTTTGGGGGTGGGCGTGGAGTGTGAAGAAGGGTATGACAATACGATTTGTTACGAACAAACTTTCAGTTATTTTCAGGCAGTGTAGTCCCCGTAACCACCGTAATGACCGATTCATGGAATGCATACAATACGGTGCGCCCGTAACAGCCCCCCATACACCCGCAGGGTGTGGAAGTGTTCTGGTCTCGATTAAAAATGATGCTGCGCGCAAGCCAGGGAGTTAAGCATCAAGTGCTACGGGAGCACCTACAAGAATTTGCATGGAGAGAGATGAAACTCCCACTACGCAGCTCATCACCTAGCTCTTACTACTTTTAAGAATTAATACAATAAATAAATAAAATAAAAATTAATACAACCCTGAAGACTTGCACTTCACAATAAAACCGATTCTCTGCATTTTCATCACTACAGTGGAACCTCGATAAGTTAAACCTTACTAAGTTAAAAACCTTGGCTTGTAACTTAAAAAATTTTCTGATTCCCTTCCCTTGACAGCGTAAAACCTCTATTACTTAAAGTAAAAAATCTCGGTAACTCAAAGAAATATTTAGAACATTGCCCTTGCTAATTTCAAAAAAATATTTTTGTGACCTCTATAACTTAATTAAAGTTTTATTATTGGGCAGGGTCGATAAGAAGGGAGAAGGTCAATTGGTCAATTTTGTGGGAATCTCCCACCAAACACATGTTCTAAAATTCCCAAATCAAAAATTTCCAATCTATCTTCAATTTTTGCTTTACTACTGTTGTAAATAGATTTAGTGTCCCATTCCTTATTTCTGGAAATTCCTAAAATCGGCCATACAAGTGCGAAGTCCGTTTACAGTTTGGCCAGAATTCGTTACTCAATCAGCTATGTTTTCTCTTTGATAATAAATTTCGCAGCATCTCACTACGAACTGATAAACAATTATTTACACCCCGCTTTAAGGAACACAACCTTTTAATTGAATTAAACAAACAGATCAAACAACAATCCTTTTCACTCACATTCCCGAAATCCATGAACCTCGTTACGTTAAAAATTATATTCTAGTAACCTCTCTAATTTCAATTCTCGATAACTTAAAACCTTGATAACTTAAATTTTTATTCGCTTCCCTGAACTTTAACTTATCGAGGTTCTACTGTATATGTAGACAGTTTAGGTTCATCTTACGTTGTTGCCCCAAAATCAAACTTTGTATGAGATAATTTTTCAAATTTATTAGGAAAAAAAGATAAATATACTATTTAAAAAAATGAAATTATAATCGTTTGAAATCCGATACGATTTTCGCGGACAGAAATAAAGTTAGAAGAGTATTTCATTTTCTTCATGCAATGCGCTGAACCTACAAATGGCAGATTTAATTTTTTTTGCGACTTTGCTCAACCAAGGAGTACGTACCATTTGACTTGAGGGTTTAGACTCTAAAGTTTAGTGTCTAAACTTTAGAGGGTTGAAAGAGTAGGTTTATTGTAAAACATGAGTCCGTGCTACAAGATTACGGCAAGGAACAGGAAATAAATAATTTTATTCAATGTTTTCCAAACATTGGTTTCAACTTTATAGAAATATAAATTATTTTAGGGTAGGTACTACTTGATGAGCTACTTCCTGAGAGTTTTGAGAGTGCTCTTTCAACTCCTATGTGCAATTGTCTTTTGAACTACAATATGAAGCCATGGCACCTAAAATAATATGTAATAATAATATGGTTCTAAATCCATACCACATAAATCAGTTTAATATTCTCCTGCATTTATTTATTTCCGCGCATGTGACTCCTGTTTGTTTTCGTTGCAGCGAATAGACCAAGAACCCCCAAATAACAAAAATTAAAATTTATAAACTTTGTAATTATTTAAATTACAATTACAATTTATTTAAAAAAAACTGATGTTAGGCAGGACCAACTTATACAATTCAAATCAAAAATCACTACATTTCACGAGCAAAACTAAAAGGTGCAAATGCGCTGTAGTACGACGCTGCTGTTTTCCTGTTATTGCGATTGTCGAGAGACGTATTAACGGTAAATCGTAAATGTGGATCGTGGCGTCCGAATTCTGAAGAAAGGGTGCATTTAATATTTACAGCGCAACGTACATAAGTACACATGTAGGTACATACGTACATGCTGTCTGTAATCTTCCGTTAAGACTATCTGAAAGAGCATTCAAAACGGACGGAGGTGCAGACAGAATAGGCGACTAGGTTATGTTATAGCTTCACGAGCGTTCAGTCACCAAGCCAACAGGTACAATTAGTGGTCCAGGAATGTTAAAATCAAACAAGTAAAACAGAAAGTTTTATACATTACACGCTATTAAAAAAAAGTAGGCGCAAATAGCAAAAATGGCACAGTGGATAGGCTACAGTGTTTCAATTACAAGCACATACAACACTTATCAAGGAGAAATTGTGAGTGCCACCAATTCACATATCACACTGACAAAGGCATTTTGTGATGGAGTGCCTGCATCTACACCAAGCATTACAATATTGTAAGTTTTACACTTTAATTAATACTACAATACCTAATCCATATATATTTTAAGGGCATCTGAAATAACAGATTTAAAATTAATCAACAAGGTAGAAACAGCTCCAGCCAAAAATGTTTGCTCAACTGTCTTGATAACAAAGCCAACAGTCAAAAGAGCAGGAAGAACACAGAGTGGATCTGAGACCAAAGTGCAGAATGGCCACAGCAGTACACCAGTGGTAAATAAGACTAAACCAGTTGAGATTCCACAGTCTAGCCAACAATCACATTTGGCTGACAGTTTGCCTGAAGCAGGCAGCTATAAAAATTCAAATGCTACACCAACCAACCTCAGCAAAAAGGACAAAAACAAACAAAAACAATACAGTAGAGGTTGGAGGGATGAAGCTTGCTTTGGTTCACCATTGGATTCCAGTTTAACAAAAGATTTTGACTTTGAAAAGAATCTGGCCCTCTTTGACAAACAGGCTGTGTTTGAGGAGATTAATTCTCACAGGCCTGATCTAGTTAAGCATGGAGATCAAAGAAAACCAACCAAGTTCAGGCATGATGAAAATATAATAGCAAGCTTACCAACGACACTCAGACAAATTATTGTTCCTACCGATGTTTACGAGTATGTCACTGATGATGGTTTGGTCATCCCGACGATCTCACGCGCTCTGCGGAAACGCCTCTGGGTAACTGCCGAACAGGTAGGCCTAACGTGGGAACGACGCATAGAACTAATGGGCCGCGCGGCCACTGAAATGGCCGTACAGTTATTGGGTGGTGCACACCGCCTTAATCCGCAGAATACGCACCAGTGGCCCACCGTGGCGTTTCTCGTTGGACCTACTAAACAAGGTGCAGTGGGAATCAATGCTGCGCGGCATCTCGCCAGCCAAGGTGTAAAAACCATCGTGTATTCCATCCCCAACGAGACAGAAATCAACCAAAAAGAGTTATACCTCTATAAGTTGACTCAAAATAGATCCTATATTGGTTTAAGTCAAGTTCCTCAGAATGTGGACCTCGTTATTGTTTCTCTATGTGAAGATGGCGAGAATGTGAAACTTTTCTCGAACGTCTCGACGTGGATAAGTGGTGTGAAGGCACCTATTCTGGCATTGGATCCTCCCGCTGTTGGAACACCTGGACTCAACGCCAAATTCTCTCTTGTGCCCGTCCTACCGTTGGCGCACTCGCCCAACAACGGTAAGATTTACTTATGTAATCTTGGCTTCCCGGCAGAGATCTTTTCACGAGTTAACATCAAATACAAGTCGCCGTTCGGACCGAAATTTGTTATTCCGCTCCATCCGAATGAGTCTTGAGCATTCTAAGCTGTAGGTGTGCAATTAGTACCTGAGCATTTATTTTATACAAGTGATTAATATTTAAGAGCAGCTTGTAATTGTATGTGTCATTAAGACAAACACTATGGCCACAAATAACAAAGTTCATTGTTGTTTCTCTCGATTGCATTCTTTCCGACTGTCTCAATAATAAATATTTTAAGCACTGAAAACGAGAGTTAGTTTTCTTTTGATGCAAATAAATGGCGTTTATACTTCGAAATACACTTTGTGCGTAACATATTTTATACTTGTTCACTTTAAATAATGATTAGTCAATACAATATCATTCGCTTATTTATAAATTTCACTTCAAGCCACTCAAAATTCCGAATCTTATCCCTCGCATTCCGCCATCATCGGTCCATTTTGAAAATCGTGCGTTTACCTGATGTCTTGCGATAAAACTATTTTCAACTAGTATAAATATGTACATTTTATCTGACTAGTACTGTATATATCTTCGTATAATATTAATATGTATATAAATATTCATTACACAATAATCAATGTTTCAATAATTTAAAAAATCATTAAATTATGCTCACAACTCATTTGGAAGCCCCATTTGCGTACAGGGGGAGATTTATCAAGTCTAATCGCGGAAATAGAGTAAAATACGACATAGCATATTCTTCGGTGTTCGGGATAATCGGTTGTTTGCGAATACTATTGATTAAATTCAGTCTTGATACATAATACTTTGGAATCTTTTGAATGATGGTGCGATATTATAAATATGAATATGCATTTTTAAGTATGTGTGTTGTGAAAATAACATTCTGCTTTCTGATATTTTGCTATAATCGCTACGTTTGTACTCTTCTCGAGTGCGAATGTTAACGATTCTGTTTGTCTTTTGCTTTGTTTATAGTTTTGATTTAATTGTCCTAGCTACGATTTATCGTAAGTTAATGCGCTACTATTGTTGTTACGGCTTTGTACACACGTATATAGTCAATAAAACAAATTTCGCTAATCAAGCAACATCCACGGTCCAAATACAACAGTCATCGGCCGTCCCGCACCGGCTGCGCTTGGTCTCGCCGGACGGCCGCCAGCAATCACATGAAATACATTTCTACAAAATCTCTAGTAGACAGCGGATGTTACTTGATCAGCGAAATGAACCCGCTTCTAGCTAGGCTGAGGCGGCACCAGCATATTGTTCGGGTGTAGAACGCTGACGGGACGACTCCGCGGCTGCTGTTGGGCACGCTTTAGGTCCACCATGTCGCTTTGCAGTACTTCCATATATTCCTTGATTAGCGTAGCGATTTGGAAGGCTTGTGCTGTGGTTAGGATCACCTTGCTCTGCTTGCACGCAGTCCCGGTGATGATCATGAGGCAGTTTAGCGCTGGCGAATAGCTTAATATAGTGCTGTATTCATAAGTACAAAGAGTATTACGCGAGCGATGTTCAAGAAGATGAAGGCCTTTTTGATCAACTGCAAGCCATAGAACTCTAGGCCAATTCGACGTAAATGATTGCTGTAGAAACAAAAAACAAACAATAGAATATAAAAAGTCGAATTATGGTAAGGTAAAATAAGACCTACCATGACATCGAAAATAGTAGCTTTATGCAGAGGCCAACTTTGAATCAAGTTCAAGAAGGCTTGTTTTGCTTCCGACGCTGTCATTCCACGAAGAGATTGGTGATGCATTGCAACGCCTTCCTGTGGTAGACCCGGAACAAGTCTGGCCGGTAAACAATGACACGCGATTGTTCGATAATCATGTGGGGTTTCTGCACAGTCACCCAACTCAAGTTGTGCTTGTAATGCAGTCAACATCATCTAAAAATTAAAAAATAAACATCAAATATGAAATTTTTGTAAAAATCAATTTGCTTACCGCTTCTTTGTCAGTAATTGGAAATCGATCCGCTCGTAAATCATGCAACACCTGATGATACAATAATTCCTTCTCCACCTGGTCGTTCAAATTAATGAACGTATCCATAAACAAGTGCTTCTTAAATAGGAAGAAGTGATGTTGTGGTCTTGCGCGTTTTTGTGCAGTATTTGTGTTATTTGCAGCTGCAGACGCTGCTCGATAGCGCTCCCATTTTGCCATAACATCAGCAACCTTTTCTTCGCTAGCCAGACTTCGCTCAGAGTTACCCAACACTTCATAAATTGCATAACCCTTCGCATTCGTGCTCAACCCGATTTTATCTCGCACGATTTCCAATACATCTCGTGCTGTAGCTGAAGGATGAAACTCCACCGAATGATATTGCCCGTCCATGAAATGAAAACGTGCATATACTGGTCTTCGATTGATAGTGCAAAGAATTTCTTCTCTAGATGGCGGCCATTGGCGCCTACGAGTACCTTGCGTTTTCGATAAACATTTCTCTGCAAAACGTGCAAACTTTCCTTCCTCAGTTACGTAGTCCGAGCTACATCGTTTGAGATGCGCAATTAAGTACCGACGCATTGCTTTATGAGGTGGAAGAACTACCGAGCAGGCTAACGACAACAAAGCCCAGTGTCGTAAATTAACCCGTGAGTTAGGGTCAGGGTGATCCGTCGTCTGCTTAATGAGTTGCAGATACAATTCGCACAAAAGCGATTCCTTGCGCATGCAACGCTCCAAAATCGATTGAAGTAGCGTAACATGCTCATCTTCTGCTCGACGAATTGCTTCGCCATTTTGACCCAATCCAGCATAAGTTAAAATAATCTGAAATACTTGCAGCATAACTTGCTCCTCAGCTTCCGGTATGCGACTGATGCTGGTCTGCATTGGCTGTCTGCTAAATGCCCAGAAAGAATAATGGAAACCTTTATAAGTCTCGCCACTATCACCGCCATGTTCTTGGCGCAGTTTGTCTAATTTGTGTTTACTCAATCGCCGGAGAGTATTCCTCAGGAAATTACCAGATTGATCTACTGGTTTGCGCATAATGTCATTATCAATTAACGCGCGACGGCAATTCACAAGATTGTGATACAATCTAATTCGATCTTCATTGGTCATAGCTTTTACTTTCTTTTGCGGTGCTTCGTTTTCAGTTATCCAACCTGCTAGAGTTGGGCAATAGCTAGCAATCAATGAACCAATCTCACCCTTTTGTGGCGTTTCAAACACAAAACACTTGTGATTATTATCATTCATATGACGCTGCAGAGTGATGGTAATAAAGCTATCACTAGGATCAAGCATAATGCTCTCGATTTCGTGATAGGGGTACTCATTAAGCACGAACTTGTCGTCCGGCTTTATGAGCATTATGCCGTTGCAGCTCACACCGAGCACGAGCGTGTTACCGTACGACCAGTAGCCGCGATATGTAACTGGATACATAGTGGTTCCGTAAAGCGGGTATTGCATGACGCAGGATAAATAGAGTGCTTTTGCTGTTAGTTCGGTGCGTCCGGCTCCATATTGTCGATGAGCATGAGCGATAATCGGAACCCAAACATCCTCACCTCGTGTTCTACTGATTCGATAGGGTAGGTATGTATCAATATCAGTGTAGTATTCCAATTTATTGTTATCTTTGGGGTCGCCGAGTGCTACCTGAGCCTGCAGACCAGCCAATTGTAGAGCAACTTTTTCGGTTACGGGAAAATCATCGCTCTACAATCGATAAAATAAAAATTTTAGTTTATAATTATGATTACGATGTAGATATCTACCTTCACGACACTATGGACTGCTTGAGCATACAACAAGTTAACTTCAACCGGATCTTGACTGAGTTCCCTGTTAGATTTGAAAAGGCGGCGTTTAAAAATAAACCTGTTTTCACCACTACTAACACCCGCGCCATTGCGTCGTCCCATAGTCGCCATTCCCGTAGCGGAATTAGCCTTGTTTTGCGTCCTGTAAATGTCTCATTAAATATTTTTTTATTTATAATCTTAATAAAACTTACATTTCCCAGGCTGCGATAACATCGTACAAATAATGATGAGCTCTCACGTGTTCTTCGGCATCAGCGCGACTTTGATAAATTGCCCAACCTTCCAAAGTGCGCAAACCTAACCTTTCCGCTAACTTTCTCGCAGCGTCTCCTGCTGTATCAGTTGGATGTACATCGATTGCTTTCGTTCGGCCGTCTAAGAAGAAAAATCTGCACACAATAGTCCCCAGTCGTTTCATTGCCTATTTTAAAATGAAATAAGAATATTACATTTAATTGCAACCACCATGTTTTTACTTACAGCAACTTCAACTGAAGATGGCGGATGTTCCCGCACAGTCACCTTGTTATTATTGCAATTATCCAAACACCATTGCACATATTGAGAAATTCTGCCCCCTTGAGATAAGTTCTTCTTTAAGAATGATACAAAATACTTATAGAGATTCTTCGACGGTTGGAAAGCCACCACGCAAAGACAGAGCATCAACCAGACGCGCTCGGTGGCTTCCGGCAGTGGATTATTGGTTGCCTGGCGCACGCACTGCACGAGTATTTCATCCCTGAGCTCTTCACGTTCGAGAGCATGTCCAATGACGCTTTGAATCACTGCCAATTCGCGATCATTGTTGAACTCACCGCGAATATACTTGCAAATATCGCGGAAAATAGTGCAGGCAATGTTCACATTGTCGGGGTCGTACATGTGAATGTGCGAATTCGGAATAGAACTACCTTTGTAATACGTTAACATTTCATATTTAGGTATCATTTCAGCAATGGTTCGTTTTCTCGTCAGCGTGGCCATGATGGTACCCTCTGGACTTCTTTCATGTGCATTGTAAAAGTTCTCGGCAAACTCCAGCATGTCATGTAACACTTCCTCCGAGGTAGTTTTTTCTTCTTGGCTCTCGGACAGTTCTTGGAGTTTCTTATCAACACGGAATTTACGACGTGCTTCACGTTCAACATTCAGTGCTTCTTGTTCTTGATTGTACCGCCATGCTGGCGGTCCAGCGCTGTTGCATCTGGAAACTGGAGGACTATGATGTGGTGAATCCGATGGTAGTCTTGGAGGGGCTGGCAGAGGTGGAGGAGACACACACGGCGGTTCATCCCTTGGTAGTACCGCTTCGTATATAGGCTCATTGGTGGACTTGTCCACAGGGACATCTTCAGGAATAATAACTGGTGGAGGTGGAGGAGGTTCATTTGTAACAGGAGGTGGTGGTGGTGGTGGTTCCGTCGGTTCAGGCAGTGAAGGCAAGCCCATTTTAGGCGGTGTAGGCACAGTCAACTGCTCTTGGGCCAAACCTTCTAATTCCTGTTGAATTACGGTTTCTAATTCAACATCCAAGTCTTCAACCAACTCGTCCATTTTCGTACCAATCTCATCGATAATTTTATTGGGCGGCTGACTCTGGTCAGACAGGAAGGCAAACAGATTGTCCAAATCGACCGCCTCGGTGGCGGTTTCCGTTAGGCGCGGCTTCATCTGTTCTGCCATGTGGGACAGCGCGGCAATTTCCTTCTCGGCCGCCCTGCAATCCGAATTAAATTAATACACTCTCAAGTTCTATTTGATCAAATCAACGAATTACTTACTTTTCGCTCTTCTCAAGTTCCAGTTTCTGCTCCTGGGCAATTGCTTCGGCTTCCTTCGCACGCCGTTCCTCCTCTAATAGTTCACGCTTCCTCATTTCCTCCTCCACTCTGCGCATCTCCCGCAATGCGGCGGCGACCTCGCGTGCAAAAACGCCGCGCAAGTGGCTCTGGATGACGATGGCGGCGCGTCGCTTTTTCAGAAATTCGATGCGACTCTTCCAACCCTTGTAAGCGTGTTGCATCCGCAGCACGGCATTGCGCCTCTGTTGATAATCCTTCTGCGCCGCAAAACGTCGATACGTTTTCTGAATAAGGATCGCCTTAGCCGCCTGCATCTTATTTCGGGTTTCCTCAAGCGGTTCATGCACGTGCGAACGCATGAACACTTTATTCTTACCAATCTGCCACTCAGTTTTGGGTATGTTGTGACTTTCGATGAGAGATTTACAAGCGGCGCGTGCATCAACTGGCAGTCGATTTTTCGATAGGCAGTGATATCGGGCAATGAAATCGTTAAAATCCATATGGATCGGGAAACCTTCCTTTCTTATACGAATAATATCTAACATTCCGAGATATTTCAATTGGTCTAAGACTAGTGTATTGTCGAAATGATTAGAGTCTTTGTTGGCATTTGGTTTGATGCAGCGCACGTACCACGGCGTCGTGCTTTGCAATACGTCTACCAAAGCCTGCAACTGATGTCGGAACGTGTCCGAGACAGTAAGCTTACCTTTACTTGTACCCCGTGACACAGTAGTAGCGCCATTTGCTATTAAAATTAGATTATGTTAGAAATCAGCTAGCCTCTCAAAAATATACCAAACTCTTACCAATTCCTTTCGCAGGGCATGCATTTAAATCCTGATAACTGGACAAATCTTTTACGAATTCGCATGTGCTTCTCGAAAGAATGTCAAAGAAGACGTCCTGTTGCACGTCGCGGTTTTTGTCCACAAAACCTTTTACGTTATAAAGCACCCCACCCGCATAGTGCCGTACGCCAAACTCGACTTCCCACTTTCGCTTGTCCTCCCCCTTGAAGTAGTTCTCGTGCGCTTCGAATTCCGCATGCAAATTCGATATGTACGAAGCGTCGCAACCGCGCGGCATGTGACACTGCTCCGACAACAAGCGTAGAATACATCGCGGTGGTTTCTCCAACAATTCCAGACACAGGGTGTTGTCCGTGAACGCAATATGATTATATTCAATCTCCTCTGCTTTATACTGTAGACAATAAATATAAAAACATAACTAAACTTCCCTATTATATGCAAACCAACTTACAATTTCTTGTTCCAAAGCAAACACGTAATGATTAAAAAACTTGTGAAGTTTTTCATTCGTGTAATTAATGCAGAGTTGTTCAAACGAGTTCAGAGCAAAGTTCTCGAAACCAAAGATATCTAAAACTCCAATGAATCTAGTAGCGTCCTGACCTGGGTTCGTGCAGTTGTTGATGTGATTGATCAACCACGCAAAGGTGCGCGAGTATAACGCCTTTGCCATCGCATGACGATTTTCACCGGCCTGCGAAATAATGTGGGTTTAATTTCCATGTCGCATGCACACAACAATTGCAAATTACCTCTTGGAACTTAAGTGGAATCTCGGTGATGTTACCTCGCACATTAATCTGTCGCACTAGGACAACCTGTTTTAACTGATCTTTGTCTAGACCCAAAAGCTCCGCAACGATTTCCAGTATGTTTAAATCTTCCTTAGTTACGTCTGACCTTTCACCGTCAATATCCTGAAAAGCCAAATTTCCCAACCACAAAATGGCGGACAGTGTCTGAAAAATCCCATTGCACATATTCTGAGGCAGCTGCAAGACATTAAACGCCAGCCGGAGATTATCCAAGGATTTCTCGTCATCATCTGCTTTATTCTTCCCAGATTTGTTTAAATAATTATAGAATTCAACTGGTTTCAGGTGTAATTGTTGCATTAGCTCCGGATTAGTCTTGGCACCTTCAATCAACTGATAGAATACATGGTAGTTTCTTTCATTAGGACCCTGAAACGTAATCCGAGACTGCTCCAGCAGGTAGTCCTGCACGATGCAACCCGCAATCATCCATCGGGAATCAAAGCAAACCTGCATAAACTTTCCAAAGCGACTCGAATTGTTATTTCGGATCGTTCTCGCATTACCAAACGCTTCCAAAATAGTGTTTGCTTCGAGGATTTGTTGCTCTACCCAAGTGGAAACACCACTGGTTACAGAACACAAGTATTGTAGAATAAAGCGGGTGTTTTCGGTCTTGCCGGCGCCGCTCTCGCCGCTGATGACGAGACTTTGATTGAGGTGGCCTTTGCTATGGTGCGGGTTCTGCAGGGAGACGTAGGCCGCTTCCGCCAGGGCAAACACGTGCGGTTCTTCAAGGCCGAGTTTTTTGCCGCGATATTTTTCAACGTAGTGCTGGAAAAAACATAAAATATTACAAAACCGACAAATGATAAGAAAATTAGATCATTTAATTAACAGTACTCTTTCCTAACGAGTTTCCGCCGTAAATGAATTCAAGTGACACTTTCTACTCTTTCATTCAATTTTAATCTGTGACTGAGTTTTGAAAGTTTAATTTTGCAGTTTCTTGAATTAAATTCATGCGCCGCGAAATGTATCGCATTCATTGTTATGAATTAATTGTTAAGAAGAAGACCGGATACTTAACAATCATGAGATCGCATTGTTTCGCGTCTCGCTGTCGGCGTGGGAATGTGGGAAAACAAATGCTTAATACTTTTTAATACGTCTAATAATAAAAAAGAAGTAGGTGCGCGGCGTCACGCATAATGAGTTCACAGGGAATTTTTCGTCAAATCGTAAGTAGATAACGGCCCCAACTTGAACACAACTTAAGTAAAACAAGTCGTAAAAGGTTTTAATATGTTTTAAGTAATAAAACAAACAGATACCCTGTGTCTGTGATCAGTTCAATCGATTGGTAAATCGTTACAATAAAAACATTCGTGTTTCATGCCCGAACGCAATTTTTCTTTTACATTGGTGAACGAACTGAAATGGCTATATAGCGTGCTACACTCTATTTATGCAACCAAAACGACACACTAAGTTATGTTATGATGCTATCAAAACCACATAACCTCAAATGAGTACACGTTCTATTTTATAAAAAAAACGCCAACTAATCATAAAAATATTTTAAATTCATGTGTGTCTTTAACTATACAAATAGATATCCCCTTGCATTCACTATCAAAACAAACGCGTGCTCATCTCAGTGCATCTCCGATAGCAAACTAAGCATTCGAGCAAACACGGAAATTCGATACTGTATCTACTGTGTTCTACGGGAAACAAAGAGAAAAACGGATGGCAATAGTCGTTAAATAAACATAAACATGCGGTTAACATCAACATAACATTGCATAAATTTCGATAAAGTTCTTTGCTAGTCATAACATACATTCATTCAGAACGTATTCCATAATCATTATTATAATAGACATTTACTGCTGGCGGTTTTATTTTCTAGTATCACAAATTAGTTAAATGTCATTTAACTAATTGTGTAATTATAATATTCGTGGGATTGTAATTTAATTACGTAACTTATTTAACATCTTGTATAGTAGTTTCCTCTATTTATTTAGACTTTTTAAAGACTTGAAACCCGCATGTTTAAAATTAATTTGTTTCTAAATTAAGAATTACGAAGTGCTGTCACTAGTCGCGAGTCCAGACACAGATTGCTTTCCGATTAGGCTGTAGTTAGTTGCGCGCAGTTGAGCATCAAAACAAAATAATTAATTTTCCGCTCCACTCTAACATGATTTTAAAATGCGTTTTTATCGTCATTGTCTTTGATGTGTTGACCAGATGTGTTTTTATCTGCAAACCATGCACAGGCATACTATGCTTAAATTGATTTTTAAACTGCCCAAAACCTAAAACTAAACCTCAAACAAAAAAATTACATTTTGCTTTTACTTAGACTTTTGTTATTATTCCTAATTTTATATGAAGCCCCCCAGAGATCGCAAAGCCCGAGCCCCTACTTAATTAGAAAACACGCCAATGTTTTCAATGCGGAAGTTAAGCAAACATAAAACACGCGCCAACGCGACATGAATTATAAATGCAAACAGACGAATAAATGCGTGAATATGATTCACGAATGAAAATGAAACTTCCCTTTTTAATGTAGAAAAAAGGCAACATCTAATTAATATTCAGTGTGTAGTAAATTTTCATCGAGTTTAATCTAACTTTATCCGGTCCTGTGTCACTTGAATTTGCATTACGAGTGGATCAACCGAACAATACCATGTGAATGTGAACGTAGAATGTTAATGTGAGTATGTGAAATTAAGTGCTCGCACTCACCTGTGAGTAGATGTCGACGGCCTTATAAGGGTTGACGGCGACGAGGATGGATCCGGTGTATGTCTGTGTATAATCGAATTAAGGAAATAGCAGAGAATTAAAACCGCTGGATCATCAAAAAACAAGAGACGTACAAAAAAATCAGAACCGTACTTAAACATATTTTCTATTATTATAATCTATAAATATTATTTGCGTTATATGAATGAACTAGATTATCTAGAAATTTTGTTTTCATCACAATATAATTTGATTCCACCCCAATTCCGATCACAACAAGGCACAAAAAAATGCTTGAACGTCTCGCTACTAGAAACTAAATCGTTCAATCAACCGGAAATTGCCCCTCAAATTCGCTGAACGCTGCAACGCTTTATAACAAAAAAGGAAGGAATGTTACCGAAATTATGTGTGTCATAAGGTTGAGTGTTGCAGCAGACGCCCTTGTGGTTCATAGCGTTATTTCTTGTTAGCAATTTGTAACACAGCAAACAGTAGTGAAGATGATTTAAAAGAAACTATACATAATATTTCAAATTACGCTGGTTTGCCTTTGCCATACGCAAAATTACTTTAAAAATTTAAAAGAAATATGAAGTAAATGTTCATGTGTTAACAATACCCTTTGATTATAATGACGCATAATAAACTAAATTAATCTATTGTATGTTACGGGTTGTGTGGTTCAGTGAAAAAAGAATACACATCAACTTATTTCACTGATGTGTGCCTCATAACTCATAAAAATATAGAACTGTGAAGGTGTAGCATATGGAGCATTCCTGGAATACCAGAACTATATTGGAATTTTTCAGTGACTCACTTGAGTCACTCACCATTAGCTTTAATCTGTTTAAACGATTACACTTTCAATTTAAATTTTCTAGATGATACACCTGAAGACCGTAGCATGTCAGGCTATTAATGTTTTAACACGCCCTGATGCCCGTGATGCGTGCCCACAATACAAACCCAAAAGGGTGAACTCTGAACACGTACCATATAGACTCAACAATGTAAACTTGTTAATGCATCCAGCACGCAAGGCTTGATGAACATCTCCCGAGTCTAATCGCCCAACAACCCACAAGAGTGTTAATGCTGTTAATAAATTTCAAATAATGCATGCGAATATGTACATGCCAACTACCGCGAGCATGGTCGTATCGAGTTACTTAATGTGTGATGTAAACTTACTAATGTGTTATAAATGCTGAGTAGTCGACAAGTAGTTTTTTTAGACTACATACTCGGCGGGGCATACAAAACAGAGAGAAAAACAAAAACCGTATGCACAAACATCTTGAACACCAACGACAAACTCTTATAAAAGTGATAAAATTTAATGTGGAATTTATTGCGCAAGTGTTAAGTGAAAATTAACAAAAATTTGAACAAACAATTTAAATTGCCGCCGAATCGTCCAAAAAGGTGAATAATATTTAGAAAATAATATAATAGTATAACGCAATGCTTAATTTCGTAAAAAATATTTAAAATATATTCCACAAAATACAAAAAAAAAAACACCTCTTAGTCGGGTAATATCTCAAAATATGTTAAATTGCTAATTATAAAGAGTTTAATCTCATTTGATGAATATTTAAACGTTAAATCAATTAAAAAGAACAAAAACTATGATTATTTAAAAACTTCATTGTTTGTTAAACTATAAACGAAATAAAGTAGTTAATTAAAACTGAATTAACTCATCATAGATGTATTTTCACTCTTAAATTATCTCTTAAATTAAATTTCACTCTTAGCTAACTTTTAAGACAATACAAAATTCAGCATTCTGAATAATCTTGGTATTATATTTTTAGAAAGTGAATTCTTGTAGTAGTACTCATACAATTGTCAGTTGTCACTTTCGAAATAGTTAAGGATATAACGATAGGCAAGGAAATAAAATGTATCGTTTCCACTTGCATCATCGCATTCATCGGTATCATTAAGGTGCAGGATGAGTCACTCTTTCGCTGTTCTAATAAACTACTGTCGCACAGTTGTTGCAATGGTATCGCTCGCACGCTATTATGACTTCAAGCCTCCCCTAATCGTGACAGTTTAGACTCGACGGCACCAGAGAACAAAGATGACATTATCCGCTCAAATGCTAATCATTTTTCACATTGCTTAGCCCCTGAGTAATATGTTAACGAGATGGATAATAAATGATAGATAAGTATAAAAAATTCATTCCTTTGTAAGTATATTAACAAAAATGATGCAACCGCAGAAGATAGCGTCACCTAATACTCAATATAATAGAAAATAAAACATGAACAAGTTGTATGTCACTCATCTTTATAATAAACGTTAGCATGTTAGCACCCTTGCCACTAACATAAAAACGCTGTTCATGAACTTCCTCCTACCCAGTCACCGTAGTCGAATGCCTGTTTCCCCTTTTGTCTCTCACTCCCAACTGTTCCCAACTGCCAAAGCCTACTAAAGTCATCGAAACGAAACGTCGCGCAACAAGGAGACAAAAGGTAGAAATGAAAATATGCCCAGCCGAGCACAAATGGCCGGCGAAGAGAGCAAAAAACACCGCACCGAGGGCGACGAAACAAAAACCACCGCGTTTACCACACGCCAACGTAAATACAATCGCACTTATTTTTACATTTATGTGGTGGCAACAAGTTATAATTACAATTATGTCCTTTGCTTCCTTTTTAAGGCTTTACAAGTGAGAGACGAGTGGTGCTTGCGCGGAAATTCAAAATATGCGGAATAACTAAATTCTATTTACGTCTAAATTTAAATTTAGCTGTGAATGAAAAGGATACGTATATGCGATCTTTTTCGTATCGCACTCGCAGGTTTTGGTTGATGACCTCTTCGTCCAGCGCCGTCAGGCGCGTCATGTCCTGGACACCATTTTCTGGCACCACTCCTGAAACCAACAATACAAATAACTATGAGCAATGTTTAATGATAATGACATTGAACCTGATTCAATTAGGTTCACTTCCGTAGTATAGTTAAACAACCGTATAAACCAACATAAATGATTTTATCAAAATGTTATCGAAACTTGATAATGTTGCAGTAGTGCATGTTTATCTGCATAAGTTACACATACATTCATATTAAATAACAATGTTTGAATTAGGCTGACTGCGTAAATAATAATAAAGTTCGATCAGTTCATTCTCAGGTATACATTGAACGTCACAATACACTCAATATACCATTCATTCATCGTCCGATACCGATGAACTGGTAAACGCAAACTGGTAATAGTGTAATAACGAATTCCTTCGAATCGTATGAGTCACTTCGACGACACAAGGACGGCAGACTCACGGTGTCTCGCATTTTCGAATACGAGAATTCCGAGTAATCGTAAAATCCGGATTATGCGCGATTCCGCAATTCTGCTTCTCTCCTATGATAACATCTAACAATACTAAAAAATAGATAAAAATGTACCAAATTGGCCGAATGAGAAAAAGTTTTACGATTTATTCAACGATTTATTCAATTTGGCTAAATGTCTTCATTATGACATATTGCAGTGGAATGTATATGATTGAGCAGTTAAACTTTACGAAAATATAATAAATATTTAGATTATAGCAGCAAATATTTAATCAAAACCGCATTAGTGCGCCGCAAGTGTCGTGATTGTTTGCAATTTATGGCAATCGCCATTGAAATGCAATTTGAGTTACTAATCAACCGCCGCAGCCGCAAGCAAGAATGCAAACTCATAAACCGAGTAGAAATATTATCAAACATTAAATAAATCAACCTAAACAACACACGCCAATTATAGTTCTGCACGCCGTATACGAGTTGTAGTTGAAACACGTTTGTGGCCAATATTTATAAAATAACTAGGTAATCATCGCTGTCTTTTTATACAACAATTTAATTTTTGTACTTTTCTTAAATGTTTATACTGTATTATTAAAGGAGTCATCTGGCCATTACACTTGTGAATGACTTGTGAGCTCCTCAGCTGGTGGCAAAACATGCTCCACATGCGAAAGAAACGAAAATGTCGTGCGGGTCGGTCGCCCCAACGAATAAATAACCCTAGGCGTATAAAAAACGGATGGTTTGCGTGCTGTGTGCGGGAAAAAAGTGGTTGCATCATTCGCGCGAGTTCAAAATGCACGGCGATACGCTGCGATGCAATGCAAATGACAGGTGGAAACTACTTTTATATTCCTATTGTTCGCTTTTCACTCGCGCGCAGTATCTTCCCTTCGGCAATTTTTTTCCCTTTTATTTATTTTGATTTCTATTCACGGATACGCGCTAGTTAGGTGCGCATGTCAGAACCAATTTCGTATTTGCTGCACGTAGGGATTTATTTAAAAATTCATGAGATACTATCAAAACATAAGAAAAATAACAAAACAAAAATATCAGAAAAGTGGGCAGATTTTTATCAGTTTGTCACAAATGGAATAAAGTGAATTGTTGCGAATGCAACTCCAATAGTTACGAGTATATCAGGACTTTACCGGAAATAGTTTAGAGTGCAAGCATGATAACTTGACCTGTTTCCTTATCAGAAAAAAAATATATTTATGCGAAGTATGTTTGCAAGTTTTTGCCAAAAGATTTTTTTTTAAAAGCCACACGTATAAAAGCATAAAATATGCAGGTGGACCGCGTCGACTGTCCGAACAGATGCAAAACACCTGTTCCCACCCTTAAGCCCTACTGTCACACAAACTTCACCAGAAATCCCCGTCACAAGCCCCGCAAACTTCATTTTAAACTGTAATTATTCAGGTAACCCACTAAAACCCCGAATTACCAAGAAAACCTTCACAGCCATTCATCCAAATCTTATGCAAAAAGATTTACGCCCAAAATAAAAGAAAATGCTGCCTGTGTACGCTCAAAAATAGACGTTATTCAAATGTTACCCCATTTCGGCTGCATAATAAGGAACTATCCGAAAGTGACCCAAGGGTACATTACCCTTGCAGTCGGATAGAGCATAATATGCCTTTGCAGCACTGTGAGCGCATGAAACAATCGATAAATTTTCGCAAAACTCACCGACGGTGGAAAAATCCAACTGCACCATGATGTGGCTGGTCAATTTCCGCACCGGCACGCACCGAACGCGACACAATTCGCAACACTTTTCTTTCAACAATCGCCCATCGTCGTGCGGGGCGCGCTCGCTCGGGGTGGGTTCGCAAACTGGGGCTGGGGCTCGACCGGCGCAGGAAGAGACCGCGTGCGCACACTCGCGTGCGATGACGACAAAATACACGCGCACACCCTGCAGGCCCGCGCGAAGTACACTGCACACAAGCAGAGATTATATCCCCCGACGAAGACGCGCGAACAGCAAGAGAAGACACGCGTGAGCTGTATGTTAGGAGTGCAGACGCCGATAGCTCGTCGCTCGCACGCGCCGCGCTTAACTGAACGGAAAGCAACCCTCTGCGTCTTCGTCTCTCGCATGCTCCCACCCCGCGACGGTTCGATAAACAACTGCCGGCTGTTTGCACTCTCCCCACTTCAAGAACGCGTGTGTTACCTAGTAACGAACATATTAATCCGACCCTGTGCACAGCAAATGAAATGTTTGCATTAAAGTTAGGTAACCAAGTATACACCAACAAGTCAATTCCAAAATTGCGACAATTCATGTCAAACGTGTCTGAAGTTTTTATTTTGATCACAAGTTGGAGAATTTTATTTAATAAAATCTGGCTAGTGGGTTTTCAGCGAAATGAAGACGCGATTTAACACTTACGATATCGTCTGTAGCGTCACAGAGTTACAAAAGTAAGCATTTAGGTTACCTTTAAAATTTCATAATTTATTGCAATTCTTTAATTATATTAATTTGATTGTCTTATCAGGTATGTAGGAATGCGAGTGAATAATATCTACGATGTGGATAATCGCACATATCTTATTCGGCTGCAGAGAACCGAAGAAAAAGCCGTTTTACTGATAGAATCGGGCAATAGGTTCCATACAACAAATTATGAATGGCCCAAAAATATGGCACCCTCTGGTTTCAGCATGAAAGTATGAAGCAATTTAAAATATTTAATTTTCTTATTCAACCTTTGTAATTTTTAGTTGAGAAAACACTTGAAAAACAAAAGATTAGAGAGTTTAACACAAATGGGAACAGACAGAATTATAGATTTTCAGTTTGGAACTGGGGAAGCTGCTTATCATGTGATATTGGAGTTGTATGATAGAGGAAATGTTGTGTTGTGTGATCATGAAATGACAATATTATATGTGTTGAGGACTCATACTGAAGGTGAGAATGTCAGGTTTGCTATTCGAGAGAAGTATCCCCATGATAGAGCCAGGGAATCAGCTGCACCAAGTTTAGAAGATATTAAAAAATACTTGGAAGGTGGAAAACCAGAAGACAATTTGAAAAAAGTACTCATGCCTAAACTAGAGTATGGTCCTGCTTTGATTGAGCATGTTTTACTTAAACATGGCTTTAAGAATACAAAAATAAAAGATTTTAATATGGAAACTAGTTTAGGAAAGTTGCATCTTGCTTTGACTGAAGCAGAAAATGTGTTGTCAGCAGCAAAAACGAATCATTCCAAAGTAAGTTAAGAACAATTGTCTAAATTACTATTAATGTTTTGATACTATTAGGGATATATCATACAAAAGAAGGAAGAAAAGCCAAACCCAAACTCTAAAGCAGAAAAAGAATATTTTTACTCAAACCAAGAATTCCACCCAATACTCTACTCACAGCACGAAAACCTACCTCATCAAGAATTCGAGACTTTCAATCAAGCCGCCGATGAGTTCTTCTCGACCTTACAGGCCCAAAAAATCGACTTGAAATCTATGCAACAAGAACGCGAAGCAATTAAAAAACTCGAAAATGTTAAAAAGGATCATGACCAACGCTTGCTCGCACTAGAAAAGACACAAGAAAACGATAAGATCAAAGCTGAACTCATTTCAAACAATCAACAACTCGTTGACAACGCAATTATAGCCATCCAAAGTGCCTTGGCTAGCCAGTTACCGTGGACCGACATCGAAGAGATGGTTAAGGATGCAGCGGCTAAAGGCGACCCGGTAGCAAAGCACATTAAACAACTTAAACTGAACACAAATCATTTTACAATTCTTCTCGCGGATCCTTACTACGAGGATGAAGAAAATGCTCCACCACCGCTTGTGTTAGTAGATATTGACCTGGCATTGACTGCGTTTGCAAATGCGAGGCGCTACTATGATCAAAAGCGATCAGCGGCTAAAAAACAGCAGAAAACGATTGAATCTTCCAGCAAAGCGTTGAAATCGGCTGAGAAGAAAACCAAACAGGTTTTAAAAGAAATGCAGACCACAACAAATATTAACAAAGCAAGAAAAGTATATTGGTTTGAGAAATTTTTCTGGTTTATTAGCAGCGAGAATTATATGGTTATCGCAGGTCGGGACCAACAGCAGAATGAACTTATTGTGAAAAGATATATGAAACCAGTTGATATCTACGTGCACGCGGATATTCATGGTGCATCTAGTGTGGTGATAAAAATCCATCAGGGAAACCGGTACCGCCAAAAACATTGAATGAAGCTGGGACAATGGCGATTTGTTACAGTGTCGCATGGGATGCTAAAGTGTTAAGTAATGCGTATTGGGTCTTTGGCGACCAAGTTAGTAAAACTGCTCCGACTGGAGAGTATTTAACGACGGGTAGCTTTATGGTTCGAGGCAAGAAGAATTTTCTACCACCATCGCAGTTAATTCTTGGACTGGGATTCTTGTTTAAGTTAGAGGATGGTTCAGTAGAGAGACACAAAGGCGAAAGGAAAGTTTTAACAGCTTTGGAGGAAATGGACCAATTACAAGTTACCAGTGAAGAGGGAAAGGATGAAGAGGAGATAGTTGTATCGGATGGAGATGATGATGAAGATAATGATGAAAAAGAACCAGATGATAAACTAGAAGACATTTCGGAAGAACCAGAAGTAAAAATCGAACCAAATGAAGATGTTTCAGATGACAGCAGCAGTGATGATGATTTAAAGTTTCCTGATACTCAAATCAAGATTAAACATTTTCAAGGCACCACAAAGTAATTCTAACAGAATTTGTACACAGTCATACTAATTATTTTTTTTAATTTCAGGATTGATATTGATTCAAAAACTTCTTTATTAGAAGAGCATAAAGATGAACTTGAGGATCGCATCGAAAAGGCGAGACAGCGAAGTCGAACTGCCAGTGAAGCAAGCACAAAATCCAAAGTATCCACAACAAGTCAAGAAAAAGAAGTAAAAGAACCGAAAGTAAAGCAACCACCGCCGAAACGTGGCCAAAAAAGTAAACTAAAGAAAATAAAAGAAAAGTACAAAGATCAAGATGAAGAAGAACGCGAATTGCGCATGACAATTCTTCAGGTAACTCAAAAAATACAACAAATCATTCTTGTATAAAATAATTAACATGTTTTGTATTATTTTGTAGTCGTCTGGTCCATTAAAGAAAAATAACAAGAAGAGCCAGAAGATCACGCAGGCTGCAGAACAGCAAGCCAAAAAACAGCAAGCGCGCCAGCCGCGCATTAAAACAGAGCAGGAGTTGCAAGAAGATGATGAACCCGTGGTAGCTGCCGATGTGGACATGATCGATGCACTTACAGGTTTGCCTGTGGTTGAAGACGAGCTACTCTTTGCCGTGCCAGTTGTTGCACCTTACAATACCTTGGCGCAATACAAGTAAATATTATTTTATATTTCCACAAAGTTTTAACAATTCCACCTTAAACTTATACCTTACAGGTTCAAAGTAAAATTGATACCAGGCACATCAAAACGCGGTAAAGCTGCAAAAACTGCAGTGAACATGTTCCTACACGATAAAACAACATCGCAACGCGAGAAGGACCTGCTCAAAGCAGTAAAAGACGAAACACTCGCTCGGAACATCCCCGGCAAAGTGAAACTTTCAGCGCCGCGTATGCAAGCTTTACGAAAATAATAAAAAAAGTTAAATTTTGTTTGTTATTAAAAGATTTAACTAGATATAAAAGTTTTAAGTTAAAAGCATTGCAATTACCTTAGAAACCAGGATCCCATGTTGTTTGCTGTGGTACCTTGCGTTTTTCATAGCAGACTAACTTATCACCTTGCTGAAAATCTATATTTTTGTCTGATAGTTGCAAACCACACTCGAGATCTGTTTTGATTGAATCAACTTCGCTCTTGAGATGGCGCATGGAACTCAATGTGCCTATAAGATGCAAAATTACTAAGTCGTAATTCTCTTTGTATTAAAATTTACCATCGTAAAGCACTTCATCATTGCGCATTAATCTATATAATGCGTTACGTTTAAGTTGTCCCTTGACACATCTGGAACCAGCGACCGGAATCTTCTTTTTGCCCTCATTAATATCAAACTGTTGCAAGACTGTAGCTTCCCCAATAATTTCTTCCACTTCTTTTAAGGGCAGACGGTTGTTAATTTCTTGTTTCACGTCGTCTACTAATTTGTAAATAACATTAAGTGATTTCACAATTACTGCTTCGTTCGATGCAATATCAGCAATTTTTTGGGGGCAATCAACGTTGAAAGCGTAGATGATCCCGTTGAAACTCTTTGCTAACTCTACGTCTGATTCACTAACCGGACCAACGCCGTAGTGTACTAAATCCATTTCACAATCCTGTAAATCGTAGGTGTCTAAAGTATTTAAGATGGCCTCCAATGTTCCGTTGACATCGGCTTTTATTACTAGATTGAGTGCTGGATGACCATCATCAGGTTGTAACTCTTTCTGCCGTGGTCCTGTAGCTCTTAACTTATATCTACCCATGCGACGTTTCATTGCTAGTCGTTCTTGGTATTCTCTTTGATGCGCTTCCGTCTTTTCCGCAATGGCGCTTGCGATATCTTTGCTTTTCTCTTGGAATTTTTTATGTTCGCGGGTTTTTATAACGTCCCTGCCCTTCTGTTCACTTGGAACTTGCAAAACCACGTCTCCAGCCGCTGGCAGATCTCGCCAACCTTCGATTTCGGCCGGATAACCTGGTTCTACTTTATCTAAAATAGTACCATCCGCTGCTCGGAGTAGTCGGACTTTACACAAACATGTATCGGCAACCAAAATGTTTCCGCGTTTGAGAGTACCTTGTTGAACAACGACAGTTGATAGCTTACCCCGGTGAGGATGTAGCTTACTTTCAACAACCACTGCTTCTACTGTACCTTTCGGATCGCTACCCAGCTCTAATAATTCTGCTTGTAGAACTAAAGCTTCGGTGAGCGCCTCAAGATTCTGTTTCTTTTTGGCGGAAATTGGAATAGCCTGCACGTCGCCCCCATGTTTTTCGACTTGAATGCCAATTTGCATCAGCATCTGTTCTGTGCGGTCTATGTCTGCATTCGGAGCGTCTATTTTATTAATGGCGACCAAGATAGGCACTGTAAATACAAGTTATTCAGTACATATTGGAATACACAACTAATCGAACCTACCATTTGCTTGCCGAGCCATTCTAACAGACTCTATAGTCTGTTCCATGACACCATCATCTGCTGCGACGACCAGCACAACAATATCCGTAATATTTGCACCGCGTTCTCTCATGGCTGTAAAAGCTGCATGACCTGGCGTGTCCAAGAAAGTAATCTTTGCGCCATTTTTTAAAAGAACTGAAAAAGCACCAATATGTTGCGTGATTCCACCAAATTCTTGATCGACCACACTAGTCTGCCGCAAAGCATCCAGTAAAGTAGTTTTGCCATGATCCACATGACCCATCACAGTGACCACTGGTGGTCTTGGCACTAAGAATTCTTTAGCTGGCATTGGTTGTGGATAAACATCTTGATCTTCAGTGATTGTTTGAGCACTAGGTTTGCCAATAACGCGCATTCGACGGCCACTCCGTCTAATAGCATCTTGCAGTTTCCCCAAATCACTGATTACCGTATTAGCACCTCGAAATTCGTTAAGGAATAAATCGGATATATATTGGGTATCTCCTTTTAAAATCGTGGATAATTCTCGGATCGTTATGTCTCTCCATACTTCAACAACTTCTGACTTTGCTTTGGGCGAATATTCGATAATTCTTGATGATTTCTATGTTTTAACAATGATATTTGAATTTTAATGAAATAATATCTTTTGTTAAGCAGTGTAGTCAATGCAAACACAAAAAGTTTATAAAAATTAAACATAAGTTATGGTTATTGTAATATTGTATGTAAAGTAAACTTACTCTCTCTTCAGCTGTTCTCCTTCTTTTATAAAGATGATTTGTTGTGTGATATTGCAAGTACACTATGCTACCCAATTCTTGTTTAGTTTGTAATATTTGTAACAATTTTAATCTATTGAAATAAAATGCATTTAATTAGTATTTGAATATTTTGACTAGTCTAGAGTAAACCTTTTATTCACGCCTTGTTGAATAACATGTTTATTTACTAGGAGGCACAATTTCTCCACACCACAACACGCTCTATAAAAGCCATTTTGCAAATAAATAATTACATATTAAATTATTAACTACAGTAAAACTGGGAACTGAGAACCCTGAGAACACTTTTGCTTTCTGCCGACAAATTTGTTGGTTAGATATTATATCATGTGCGCGAATCATGCCTGCATTTAAAACCAGAAAATACACCTTGTTGAAACAACACAAACAACAATTTTAAAGGGAAATAATTATTATTTATTATCAAAGAAGATACAAGCTTGTTTATTGTGAATTTGCTTGTTTCTTAGTAATAGGTATATTAAAGCAAATATATTATGCGCGCTTTGTACAGTGGTTGCCTATGCAAGATTAAATAAATACTTTATTTATTTCTAAATTATTATTAGAGTGCCAAAAGTTTTTTCAATGCACTGGGAATTGATAGAAATAAAATATGTATGTAAAAAAACAAAAGATTTGGGTCTGATTGTATTGGTCAGGCTGCGACAAAGTTCTCACTCCCGGGCGCGATCCCACTACTGCACGACGCGGGGACTTTTGGCTGCTGGGTTTCCCCCCTGGCCCGGTGCGCCCCTCCTTAGCCGACCTGGCCATCCCAGACTCCTCCAGGATGTCCATATCGACGCCCAGCTTAGTGTGGACGCCCAGTCAACGTGAGAAGCCTTGCCACAGTAAGCCCCGACCTCAAACCATCCACCAAATCCGACCTCCCGGTAGCAGGATTACAGAAGTGCGCCACACTCCCAGTCGAAGAACAGCGTCTAAATAACAGAACTTGACTACTATTTTCGAGGTCAATGAAAGTCAACAATACAAGTACGAGTAAAAATATGTATACTAATGACTCATTGTTGAAATTTAACGCAAACGTCGAAGTACTTAAATGATATATTTTTCACATTCTTTTATTTTTGTTAGATTTAATTTTGTTGCTGGTAGGGTCAAATTATCCACGATAACATTCTCAAACTCAAAATGAAAGAATTTGAACTAATTGATTATTTAAATAAATGTAAAATTACTTTTGTCCAGTTTTTTTTTAAATATTAATTAAAAATTATAATATTTTAATATTTTGCTAATTAATTTTCCAAAAGGGCACATTTGAGAACGACTGTCTCAAACCACCCTGAAGAGAAAAGAGTTCCTGAAGACCTGCAACTTTTCTGCTGAACCACTGAGACAAAATTAGGAATTAGGCAAATATATTAAGTAACAGACAGTTAATTATGTTACTCTAGCAAAACATGTAAAAAATAAAACTTTTCAGTTGTTACGAATTCGGCTTCTTGTCCGCAAACAATTGTAAATAGATGACAAACATTTATTACTTTATGATAAACTATTTAAAATAAAATTTGGATGTTTTCTGCAACGAATATATGGGACCTTTTCTAGAATGTTGCATTAGAAAGTTGTATATTCAATGCAAGTAGTATATGTAGTAGGTATATTGTTCATTTTTATTAATTTTACACTTCTACTGAGCAGATGAGTCGAAGAATATTCCATTGAAGTTGTAAAATCACTGGTAATTTCTTTATTGGAATATTGATTATTGCTCATTTTCATCATTTTTCATCTGCGGTACACGTTGTACCATCGTTCGAATAAAAAAAAACGGAGAGTGGTCAGTGAGTTTTGAATCACAACCCCGGCTACACAAGTTTAACTGTTTCGTACAAGTTTTTTTTAACAACGATAACAAGGTAAAATGTTGTTCAAGAAAACTTATTTTATTTCAAGTTATTTATTTTCCACTTTATTCTATATTTATTAGTAAACGCAAGCGTTCCAATACTTCGGCGGCTCAATACGAAGTATATCTCTGCATGATGAAGAGTGATAGTGCTTTTCGAAGTGGCACAATAAATCCAACGATACCGCTGAACTATTTAAATCAGTGTTGGGCGAACTTAACTCATAAATTATATTCCTGCGACGACGGTCCAGTTCTAACAAGCGATGAATTGAAGAAAAGATTCAGCGATTGGAGGTACTGCACCCGTAACAAATAGAGAAAAGCTACGGGTGGTGGCCCACCTAGTAGTACGACGATGACGGCTCTGGAGAAGCGGGGAATTGCGGCCTGGGGGAAGACCACAGTTACTGGTGCCCGGAGCAGGCCAACAGTAATGGCCAAATCTACGCAGGCAGTGTTAACTACCTGCACAGATTCCCTAGGTGAGCGGATTGATCGACTGCATTATCGATCGAAATGCATTAGCAAAAAAATAAATAATCAAATAATATAAATATATAAAAATATCTATTATGTTATTGAATGCCTTCTAAAATTTGCCTATTTATAATTTCTTTCTCCAACAAGTGTCAATCTTCTTGAATTACTGTAGGTTCAGCCGGGTCTACTGGTGCTTCAGGCATAATATTAGTCTTGTTCCGTTACACATCTTACGACACTGCCGTCCACGAATCTACCCCATTGTCCATTGGTTTGGTGGTGTTCAGTGTCGCGGTTCTTACCCATTTTGCTAAGCGATGTTTCTCCATTCTGCCCATCTGTTCATTCCAGGCTCTTCTTTTGTTTCTCAACCATAGTATATCGTCTTGAATGTTTAGAGCTTCTCTAATGACTGCACTCCGGTGTTGATTTGCTTCTCTCTACATGTATCGGCCCTTGCTTCGACAGCGTTGGCCAATATTAGTCAGATGCATGTTTTGTACAGAAATGTTTATTTCTGCAGATTACAAGCGATGTTACTGTTGATATCAGCATGACTATGTGGGTTGATCTCTGTACTTCTCTTACCAAATTGCGATTGTTCGTCTTTGTAGCGGAACATGTTTGGCTTACTTCGATGTACTTAAGTGGCACAGTGGAGTAAGAAACCTCGAATACGATGATTTACGGACGCGATATGCTCATTCTATTCTTGGATTGGAAATATGTACTCTACTTTGTTAAATATGCATGTTGTCAAGTCAAAATCCAAAAAAATAAAAGTAAAAGTCATAGCGCAGGTTTAGTCCAAAAAATTCATTGCTAGTTTTAATTGAACTGACTATAAAAATTGAATATAAAAGTTTTAGTTGAATTTATTGCATGTTTTTTAAAATTATGCACTGTTGTTGTGCCCTGTCTTTTTAACATTCACTCAATACAATAAACGTTAATCGGGGTGAGTAGCTCCCACACTTGTATCTTCGTATGGGTACAGCCAAATGCTGTCCCCACCACTTTTTATGGGTATAAAAGATTAGCGCAATCTGTACATATAAATCTATGAGCTCTTTTCCCAATCCCCTCTGCGTTGTTTGCCAGAATAGTGGCAGGTCTCAAAATTCTGCTTGGGGGAGTGTGGGATGCCCCCGTAATTCTAGAGCACTGAATTACGATTTTTGCTCTCGAAAATTGATGCATTCGTTTAAATTTAAAATTTCAGTCAATCATAATGTAAAGGCCCAAAAGCACATCCAAGAACAACTGTCCTGAAAAGAGAGAGGAAACAAATTTGATTTTTAAACGGTTTGATCAATGTTTTGTTGTTTCCGTAGTTACCACATAAATAACTCCTACGTCAGTGAAATTTAGAGTATAAAACAACATAAGATTGTCTATTTTACTATATTATACAAAATAAACGTTGATTAGTTCTTTATCTTGAGATGGATCTTCCACCATTACCAGCACCAAAAAGATCTGGACGTCATACGCATATGCACAAACAAAATAAACTTCTCAAACATATTGTATGTATATTTAATATCAAAATGACACAATTATTATAAAGGAGGTATTTTCGTTCAGCCTGAAATAATAAATCCCGTCCATCTGACAACAGTCTACTTATACAATAACGAAATAGAAAAAATCGAAGGACTCGAAGCCGCCGTCAACATTGTTACCCTCTATTTGCAACAGAACCGAATCAAAATCATCGAAAATCTGCACACGCTCAAAAAACTTCAGAAGCTTTATTTGGGGCATAATCAAATCACAGTGGTTGAAAACTTAGAAGCAAACATTCTCCTGCAAGAGTTAAACCTCGAAAAACAAAATATCAAAAAGTCGGAATGTATGTGTTTTGATCCACGTTCAATTTTTGCTTTGTCGGCGTCACTACAAGTTCTGAATGTGACCGGAAACAATATCAGAAGTCTATACGGTTTAATGCCCTTAAGTGCATTGCGGATTTTGCACGCAGGTAAAAATAAACTAACCGAGATCTACGATGTATTGGAAACGATCCAGTTTTGGTATTACTTATATGAAGCAAATTTTGCTGGCAATCCTGTTACGAAAAAGCATCGATTCAGAGAATTACTGATTGGTCATACTATGAGATTAAGTATTCTTTATGTCCTGAGTCGTTTTTGTTTTGCACATAAACATATGTTGTAGATTTACTGGATGGTAAGCAAATAAGTCCTACAACACGTACATTTATACGAAATTTCGAAGAAGAAATAAAGAACAAGACTCATAATGTTAATTTATCTAATACCTATCCAGGTTAGTTAACATGAACTATTATTGACTTGCTTATATGCATCTATGTAACCATGATACTTCCTTTTTAAGATTTGCCCACAAATTATTCCACTGCGCTACAGGAGGCTGTTTCCTCTACTATCATCAAAACCGGTTTGTCTGATTTAACTGTGACTAGTCACATTCCATGGAAACAATGTAGGTACATGTCTACTTTAATTACAAATATCATTTATCAATACCTTGTTCTAAACAGTACCCAAACGTATGCCTTCAAAAAAATCGAATTTGCGTCATGGAGGTGACGCTAAATCCACGCCGGATAACAGAAGTTTATTCCCGATGAATTTGTAATACTTTCAAATGTACAACTTGTGACATGTGAACAAATTGGTTGCAAAAATAGCAATAAATCCAAAATGGCGAATGTGCCCACTTCTCTTTGTAGTTCATCTGTATTCATCTTTATTTAATAATCTCGCTCTCATATATATTCATATATTAATCATTATTATCTCGTTTACAATAGAATATCTATAGAATATTTAAAATTATCGTACTCGTAGTATTATAATAATCATATAGTTGCACTGTATTTTGAACACATGTCAATTCTTCATCATGTTTACTTTAATTTACAAACATTTGCAATCTGCGCTATTTGTTCCGCGTACATTTGCATTTCTCATTGCGTCTACTCGAGATTTTCTAGTTTTTAATCTTTATGATCAATACACCCGACTACGTACATTAAACATTTATCATTTACCATCGGTTACCGCCGCTAGGGATTTACAATTGTCTCGGTAATTTATCATATTCATAAAGCATTAAATGTATCTAAGATGCAGGTTTGACAGAATTCAATTGTTTTATTAGGTGTTTTCTTGGGATGGGATCTAGTTATTCTCATCTGTTTCAATCACGTAAAGATGTTAGATTTAGAGTTCGTGGACGTTCCGCATTCGTAACATTTATTAGTTAGTTTTGATGTATAAAAATGCAAAATCTAAAGCTGCTACGCGCACAACATAGCTTCAGTTGCGTGCTGTTATTCAAATGTTTTAGACGTAATTGAAATAAAACGACAAACTCTACAACGACGAAGTAAAATATAAATAAAGCAATAAAAAGATGAAAAATACTTCAGTGAGAACGCTTGGCGTCCATTTTGTTTTATTTTATTTTTCGTGGAGAATTTAGTGTTTGTCTTAAACGTAATAAATTAATGCGACCGCACACCGAATAAAAATACTAATATATTCATTAATCAATTGAAATAAAAAGACAAATAACAAAAGTAAAGTAAAAAAATAAAATCATCAAAAGAATCGTCATCATAACCACAGATAAATAATAGTTATGATCAAAATATTGCCTCTTAATTAAATGTTTTTGCATTCCTTCGTATGTTTCTCTTAAAACAAACTTTACAAAAATAAAAAGCACACATAGAGCGCACATAGCAAAAAGCAACAATTCTTACACGTGTATTATATGCAAATGTTCAAAAAAATTAAATAATATATTTCTTATCGGCAATAATTTCATTATCGTCATCTTTATGTATTATTCCGCCTTTGTTTTTCTTTGTTTGCAGCAAACGTGATACAAAAGAGAGCTATATGCAACCTAAACGTGTAAGTTATAAATTAATTCCTCAAATGCATAAATTGCGTGTGTTGTTTTAAATATTTAAATTTAATATTCGATTTTAAATTTTGCGTCCCAATCCTAGCTCCTATTGCTCTTGTTGTTGTTGTTGTTGTTGTTGTTGCTGCTGAGCAGCTTGCTGCTGGATCTCAATCTTCTCGACTGTCATATCAGGATTCATCGCTGTCGCTTCTTGAATTGCTTCAGCCAATGCGCGGTCGTGGTCAATTGGATCACCGTCCGACTGAATAGTGATCTTTTGTTCGACGCGTGTTTCCACCACTCCATCGCGCTCCGTTTTGTACTGAAATAATACAAACCAGTTAAAATAATTCTCAACCCTACAACATAACCTTATAATTTTAGGTTCAGATAAACTAACCGTAATGGTCTCAACTGTTCGTGTCTTCGAAGAAATCGTCTGTGAACTGACGATCTCCCCAGTGGCAGAGTAGTTGCCATCCTCTGAAGTGAGATGAACTTTGCGGGCTTCTGTAGCTACAACAGGGACGTTCGTAGTACTTGTTCCGGTGATAGTTGGGTCGCCACTGTAGACGACTGTGTCGGTATGAACGATGCTCTCGGGTAGATTCTGCATAAAAATTAAGTATTGACATCTTATTTTCTTCAGAATTTGGCACAAAATTAATTAGTTATTGTTCACAAAATGGCTGCCATATTTAATAGGTTAGGATTTTTGTACTATATATTAACAAATGCACATGCGATAATCTCCATATACGAGTATAATCTGCTATTCTAGACGATACAGCACATACATGCTTAGAAGTTGGTGACTACGCCGACTGTGAAATACTTACTTTAAGCTGTATTTAAAGCAAATAATTGTTGCTGTTCGTGTAAATGCAGTGATTAGTCAAGTTGCCTTACCTTGTGGAACACGTTATCATAATACGGATGATTGGGGTCGTCTGGTGGGTCAATTGGGGTGCCGGAATCGCCTGAGCTCGTCGAGCTTATGCTGTCGCGTCTGCCTAGCTGCTTTATCAGAAAGCCAAACAAAACAAAAACGTGCCATGCAAAGGATTAATTACAAACTCTCTAAACAAAAATCATGATAAAACAATGTTTTCTTGGTTAGTCTTGATTGAATTTGTTGTTATGCAGTAAAAACAAAAAATGCGGACCTGATCACCACTGACGACCGTACTGGTCGTCTTAACTTCCTGCGTGACAGTGCGTTGTTCTTGTCTTGTGGCACTAGACGTCATCGAATGTGCCACGGTCTTTTCCTCCAACTGCTGCGTGCGTGCATTAGTGCCCAAGTCCTCGTGGGTGGTAGCCGTGCGAGTGGTTACAGCCCTCGCGGTCACAAACGGTGACTTGCCATCTTCCGACAGCGCATCAGCCTTCGGTATTACCACAACGAACACCAAAGAATAACGAGACGAAAAAGAAAAAAATTATTTACACTAATCAAACTTGCACTAATGGCTAGCATTAAATACCTTGTTAACCTGGGTAGAAACGGTTACTTCGCCGGTCCTTCCATCTTCTACGCGTTCTTCAATATTCTGTGTGACGCCATCTTTGTTTTTCGTAACAATCTGTTTCGTTGTTGTTTTCACCACCACCGGAGCGCTTTTACCCTTCACACTCAAATTCAACATGTCTTTCATGCTGTCGCTGCCGTACTGATTCACATCGTCATCACTGCTTTCATCGTCTGAACTATCCACACCCTTGGTGTAGGTCTTCATCTCCACCTTGGTATCTTTCAAGTCACTGAAATGGCTCGGATCTATCTGAGCGTAGTTCAAGATTAACTCTCCTGTGACCGGGTCACGTCGTGCTGTATCCGGATCTATATTTCCGGTTTGTGGATCAATGCGACCCCATTCAGTATGAATCTTTCCGGTGACAGGATCGATCTCTCCGGAGAGAGTAAGCACCTGTTTGACTTTTGTATTGGCGCTGCGCAGCATTGGGTCATTGGAATCAACCTGAATCACCTTTCCTGTGACTGGATCAATCATGCTGTACATGTATAGAGTTTGCGTTGAAATCTTTTGGATTTTGCCGGATTTGGGATCAATTTGACAACATTTCGGATCGATTTCTTTTACTCCTTCATTGCCTTCGTTGTGTGAGACGAGATAAATACGCACGATGATAAATTTGCCTGTTTTCGGATCGATTTTACCATATTTGGTATAAATTTCTCCAGTGGACGGATTAATTTCGCTATGCGAATACAAAGGATCACCGTTTTCATCAGCGTACGCTGTCTTATTATAAACCTGCTTATTTTCCGGATCTACAACAATGATGGTAGGATCAACCTTTGTTGATTTACTAATACTGGAGGTCTTGGGATCTTGATAACCATAAATCGTAAGCATGTAACCAGTAATTGGATCTACCTGACCAGTACTATACAAATTCTTCTTGGTGGCATCATCATGATGTACCAAAGTCCATACTTGATTGGTTTTGGGATCAATCTTCAATCTCTTAGCATCTTTCTGGTTAATAATTTCACCAGTTTCAGAAACTTCTGGTTCAGAAATCAAGATAGAAATCACTCTACCATAATTAGGATCGTGTTTGTTGGTCTTCGGATTGGTGTAGCCCTTGAAAATCATCTGCCCTGATGTAGCATCAATAATACCCTGTTTAATATCTTGTTTACCCGATTTTGGATCAACAAAAGTTAAGGTGGCTTTAACAGGGTCAATCTGACCGTATTTAGTATCAACCGTATTATTGTATGGGTTGTATAAACCGGATGAAACGTCTGGAACAATGTGTTTAACATCAATTGTGTTCTTCTTCGGATCTACTTTGCCCATAAACGACACAACCTGCACTTCAGGTTCAACTTCGCTGCCTATTTTGATGATTTGACCCAAGTCGTTGTTCTCAACACCCGTGCGCGGATCCAAAACTCCATGGCTGATATGAATATTACCCTCACCGTCAACCTTTAAGGGATGCGTCACGATTTTACCGGTTTGCGGGTCTGTCCTGGTAATCCTCATCAGTGTTAAGTTAATAACACCATATTTCGTCGTGATATCGCCGGTAGCGGAGTTCTTTTTCGCGTTTGTAGTCTCCATACGTCCATTTGCTTCCAGTTCACCAGTGCGCGGATCCTTACGAGCAGTAATTGTAGTAACTTCTAAGACGGGATCATTCTGACCGGCAATGCTCAACATCTGAACTAAAGACGTATCAGGTTTACCCGATTTCGGATCGGTAACACCTTCAGTAATCAACATTTGTCCAGTGTTTTCTTGTAAATTGGCAGGTTTAGCTTCAACTTTGCCGCTCTTTTGATCATTTATAATAAGTTTGTTATTCTTGGGGTCCAACAGACCATATTTAGTTTCGATTAGACCAGTTTGTGGATTGAGATATCCGGTGGACTCTTCAATATGACCCTTCTCAGCATCGGGTACACCTGTTTTGGGATCAACCTTCGTAGTGATCACGCAAATTTTGACAATTCTCTTCTTAGGTGGTGGAGGAGTTGTCGGGTCTTGTGCTTGTTTCAACCCAACAATTGAGAAAATTTGACCCACGTTAGGTTCAACTTGCCCTGTTGTAGGATCAACTATCTTGTTACCAACAGTGTAAATTTGTCCAGTTGTAGGGTGGACTCTTCCCTCAACAATCTCCTTCTGGCCAGTCGTAGGGTTCTGTGTAACGATAGATCCAGTCTTAGGATCAATCATTCCATACTTCGTTTCGATCAAACCAGTCTTCGGATCTAAAATACCAGTGAGTTGTTCTTCAGTGGCATTATCCATATCAATTTGATGAGTTTTCGGATCTTTCTTCAGAGTGATTACCATAATTTTAACAATGCGATGTCTTGGAATTGGTTGACCGGTCGCCACGGTAGTAGTAATAACTTCCTTCAAAGGAGACGCGTGCTTAACGGGTGATGGTGCCTTCACGGGAGAAGGTTGTTTAACCGGGGATGGAGCCTTTGCAGGAGAAGAAGATTGCCTCACTGGAGGAGCTGGTTTAATAGGAGTAACCACTTGCTTAACAGGAGATTGTCTGCCGACCACTTCAGTTTCAACCTCAACCAAATCAGGTTTCATTATATCCGCAACAGTTGGTTGTTGAGACGTGACAGTATCCACATTTGGATCAGTAACATGAACAGACATAGCGCGTCCGAAATGATTATCAACCTTTCCAGTTTTCGGGTTAACAAAACCTCCCTTAAAAACAATCTCCCCGTTATTAGCATCTACATGTCCCTGGCGTTGTTCAGGTTTACCTGTTTTTGGATCATTAATCAGTAACGTCTCAGCAGTTGGATTTAAAACTCCATATTTGGTGTATATCAAGTTCTTATCACTATCGTACAATCCAGTTGATGTATTGGGTGGACTTGCGTGTTTAGCATCAATAATGTTCTTCTTGGAATCAAGTTTACCGACGTAGGTAGTGATTTGTACCTCTGGATCAACTTCCTTTCCAACCTGAATTGTCTGGAGACACATAGGATCAACCTTTCCTGTAGCAGGATTTACTACTTCGCCAACTTCAATACTACCATCCTTGTTGAGTTTAACAGGTTTCTCAGTAACTCTTCCGGTCTTCGGATCTTTGAACGTCAACCTCATGAGTTTCAAGTTGACTGTACCTTGTTTGGTAACAATCTCTCCAGTATTAGGATTGACTCTACCATTGGATACCTCGGTTCTAGCGGTGGCTGGATCAAGTTTTCCGGTTGCGGGATCCTTCCTTCCACTGGTGATGGTAATTGCATAAACAGGTTCCTTCGGGTCAACCACATTCATAACCTGCGTCAAAGTAGGATCAACTTTACCAGACTTGGGATCAGCAACGTTAGAATCAATAAAGATTTGCCCTGTTGCTTCGTCCATTGAAATTGGATTAGTGACAGATTTGCCCTTAGGATCAAGTTGTTCAATTGTCTTTTTGCGGGGATCAATGTTGCCGTATTTAGTCTGAATTAACCCACTATGCGGATCAACAACTGCATCCAATTTTTCGACAGTACCTTTCTCAGTTTCAATTTTTCCGGTTTTGGGATCTTTCTTTGCGGTAATCACCAAGATTTTAACAATACGTTTTTTAGGAGCAATGACTGCTTCAGGAAGAGCAGTTCCTTTAAGTGGAGCTTTCTTCTCATTTACAACCACTACCAATTGTCCGGAATGTTCATCGCGCTCATCTGTCTTCGGATCAATTACAGGCCCAGCGAATGCAATTTGACCAGTAGTCTTATCCTGTTTACCTTGAATTGTTTCTGTTTGACCAGTTTTGGGATCGGTAATCTTTATTGTACATTTATTCGGGTCAATCAGGCCGTATTTCGAGTCAATCTCTCCGTTAGTGTTTAGAATACCAACGGATTGATCAACACTACCTTCTTCGACATTCAATTGACCAGTTTTTGGATCTTTCTTGCACGTAATAACCATAAGTTTAACAAATTCACCAGTTGGTTCACTGACTGGCTTCTGTGGTACAACAGGACTGGCCACTTTCACCGGACTGGTGGATTTCCTTCCTTGCACCGGCTGACTTGCAGGTTCTGCAATAGGAGCAGGTTTGACTTGTTTAGGTTCTTCGATCAGTTGTTTTACATCCGGATCAACATGCGATTCCTTCACATCAATTGCAATAGTACGACCAAAGTCCTTATCGACTTTTCCTGTTCTTGGATTATAGATCTGCTTAAACAGTAAATTACCAGTCTGCGGGTCTTTGGTCGCTTGTCGCACCTCCGCCTTGTTATTCTTGGGGTCATAAAACGTGAGCGTTTCGTGCACAGGGTCATAAACACCGTATTTGGTGTAAACTTTACTGCTGCTCGGGTCGTAAAGACCGCTTGACTTCTCAGTCGCGGACGTCTTCGGATCTAAGCCCTTCTTGTCGACTTTACCACAAACGGAAGTCACTTGAGCTTCAGCATCGATTTCCTTGCCGATTTGGAGAATTTGCCGCAGATTGTTATCAATTTTACCCGTTGTCGGATCAGTTACTCCTGTCAGAATGATAACATTGTTGTTTTCGTCGAGCTGGATAGGTCTCTCGGATAATTTTCCGCTCGCCGGGTCCTTGTGGATAATCACTTTCCTTTTAACATCAATGAGACCAAATTTGGTGGCAATGTTACCATTTTTAGGGTCAATGCAACCATTAGAAGTTGCTTTATGAGCTTTTGTTGGGTCAAACTGACCAGTTTTCGGGTCGATCTTAGCTGTAACTGATGTAATCGGAACAATAGTGTCTCCTTCCGCACCAAGGCGGATTATCTGACCGAGGTGCGAGTCAATCTTTCCAGTTTTTGTATCTACCACGCCATCGTTAATAATCATTTGTTCCAAGTTATCATCGAGTTCAATTGGTCTAACATCGGATTTACCTGTCTTGGGGTCTTTAACCAAGATCTTTTTGTTCATCGGATCAATAAGTCCATATTTGCATTCGATTTGTCCAGTAATAGGGTCGTAAACAGCGGTAACATGCTCAGGAGTGGATTTTTCAGCTTCAATACGGTTAGATTTCGGATCTTTCTTACCAGTGAAAACAGTAATTTTAATGATGCGTTTCTTCGGAATAATAGCAAGTGGCGTAACTGCGGGATCTTCTTTTTCGCAAAGTGAAATAACCTGACCCGATGTCGTATCACGTTGACCTGTAGCAGGATTAATAATAGCGCCTTGCGAAATGATAATTTGTTTCGAAATTGGATCAATATGACCCTGGACAACTTCTTTTTGACCATTAGCTGGGTCAGTAATAACCACTGTTCCATTGGATGGATCAATCAAGCCGTATTTAGAGTCAATTAATCCAGTGTTCAAATTTTCGTTTCCGGTAGAAATATCTAACTTCGCATTTTCCATATCCAATTTTCCAGTTTTAGGATCTTTCTTACATGTAAGAACAAACAACTTCACCGGACGCGTATTTTTACCATCAGCGATAAGTGGTACAGCAGCAACTGGTGTGGCTCCTGCCGTATTAGGATCATGTTGTTCACCCTCGATAAACGCAGCAGAATCACTTTTAGGATCTTTCTTTCCTGGTTTGCCAGCTGCAGCGGCAGCTCGTTGTGAGACTGGTGACAATTCTTTACTTTTTTCACGTAATTTCTCACCTTCACCAGGCGCATAATTGAACGCCAAACCAGTAGCTTTTTTAGTATTTGGTGATTGGGGTGAGCCAGCGTCCGAAGTTGGTGTGGTGGGTTTTTCATAACTAAATCCACGAGTGTATGGTTTTCTTGGCGTTTCGTCATCAGCCGCTTCGTAGTTGTACGGCTTAGTATATCCAGGCAATTGGGGTGAACCCATTGGAGGACCACCCCCTTCTTGCTCCTGTTGTTGTTTGCCTTCATCCTCCTTGACATCTTTCGCCTTCGCTTCCTTTTCTTTCTTGTCTTTGGGCGATTTCTCACGCTTCGAGCCGAAAGATAGAAAACCGGGACTCTATATCAAATGCAAACGTGCACAAAAATAAATTAAAACTGTCATGCAACTACTTAAAAATACTTTTTACAAGAGATCGCAATTGGCACTTATACACTGACCAACAAAACAAAACAAAACACGAATATTACGACAAACATTGCAGAATATTTAACATTATACAAATAACTAAACAAGAAATTGTTCTACGTTTAGATGGTACCGGAATTTAGAATTTACACAAGTTTATCGAGTAAACTGAAATTATGAAGAATATCAGCAAAACGCACATTCTTTCAATTTCCTGCGATAACAAGGCGCAAATTGCATGTTGCAAAAGGAAGTTGCGGCGATTTTTCTTCAAATCGAGTAACCTGACAGCATTGTGCGGAAACGAGAAAGATATGCGCATCCGGCTGATAAGAGTTGTACGAAACTTGCACGTATTGATCACCTACCTTCGACTTCTCCTTCTTGCTAGGTGATCGTTCGTGCTCGATGTTCGACTCGGTGTCGGTGCCGTTTTGGTCACCATTTTGTTGGGCGTTATTATCTTGGTTCTCTTTATCTTTTTTCTTCAACAAGCCAGCGGGTAGTACAGCGACGCCACCGATAGGTTTCTAAACAAATGCACAACAAACAAAACACAATTAGCATATAGCGGACGTAATCATAAAGCGCGCATTTGAAAAGCATTCGAAGCAGAAGCAGGAAATGCAATGTCATGAAAACAGATCACAAGAATACAAAGAGTCAGAGAAGTAAAGTGTTGTGATGCGTTCAATCTATCGATAAAGCTCATAATACATCATTACATAATTAAAATATCGTTAAAAACAACACAAAATTTTTACGATAAAAAATATCTGTAGCGTTTGTAAACTAAATAGAAGTTGTACGAATACAAAATACGAGAAATTAAAGTACAAAAATACCAAATTACATTGAATGTAAAAAAAGTACGTGAATAATTAAAGAAATGATAAAATGAAGAAAAAAAACACCTTCTGATTCTTATCGGCCACGTAATGGCCTTCCAGAGAACTAGTCGAGCTAACGGATCCGGTGCCGGCGCTACCTCTCCTCGCCAGCTAAACGTCAACGGTGTGAATGAGTGCGATAAACAAATGTTATGCAGATTTTTGTTTCGTTTTGACCAACTTATTTTGTTAAACTGTGTGAAAATCAGTTTATGTGCAGAGTGACTGAAATATAAACATAGAAGCATACCTTGTCTTTCGGTTTCTTCTCTTCTTTCTCCTTTTTGTCCTTTGCTTTCTTAGCCGGAGAACCCTCGATTTCCGGAATGTGTTCCGGTGGGTGTGACATAGTATGACGCTTGTTGGCTTCGTTATAATCATCGTCAGGTTGCACCCCACCCAACGCTACATACAATTTTAAATGTATTAAATTATTTTCATAAACATTATTTTACTTACGATCCATGCTACGGGAAGCCAGTCTTCTTCCACTTAAACTTCTTTCAAACTGCGGAGGCTGCCTTTCAATTGGTGTTTTCTTGGTCTCATAATGAGTTCTACCAGAGTATCGAAATTTCGATCCTAAACGTGGGAATAGTGATGATTTCTGCTGCGCTTCAGGAGACATCAATCTGAAGAAAGTGTGATGTTCAACACAGGTTTTCCATAATTTCTTCGCGGCGCGATGATTCGCAAGTTTAAAACCAATCGTAGACTCGAACTGTTCAAACTCGCCTGGGCGAATCTTAATGTAAAAATTATAACGCTTGTAGCTGATCTTTAGAATCTTCGGCCAAGCAAAACGATTAATACGCAGACGATCACGATAAACCAACAATCCTGAAGCGCAAACACCCAGCATAATATCAACACCCTCAGAGTCCTTTGCAGGATGTAAATCTACACCATACATCGCCAATTTTTTTGCATTTTCAAGGTAATGTAATTCTGCTTCAGCGGGCGTTTGACCTTTATGTGTCTTATGCAGTTCGATCACTTTATCGGTGAGTTCTGCATTTTGATTCGGTGCAAATTTAAAGTCCTTCAAATAAGTACGACCCATTGTATCACCATCGTAATCACCAACTTCGGATTGCACCAGAAAAGAACCCAAAAGGGCATGTGTCACAAAAGAGCAGGGTAGTTTATTATTCAAAATGTCATTGCGAATCTGCAGACAAAGATGATAACGTGTGATGTCTTCCTGCAATTGTGCTGGATCTGGCGGGTAGAATTTCACTTCGAATTTGAATCTCCAAGGTTCATCTGTAAGGCGTCAAGTAAGAAAACAAATAACAAAGAGAAGCAAACAAAAGAAAATCAAGTCAATAAATATTGATTAATGTGAAGATATGATCCTATAGCTCATAAATAAACCCAATGCCAATCAGCAATGTCAACAGGGAGTGAATGTGACTTACTTTTCATAAATTTGGAAATTCTTTTCTCCAAATCCAGCCAGTTATGGGCGTCATGTCGGTCGGAGTAAACCAAACCAAAGTAATCTCTCTCAATAAGATTGATCGCTTCACACACTTTGTTGAGAAGGTCTAGTCCTCTTGCTTTAGGCTGAAAGGCAAATATCCGTGCTAACATATGCAACCAAATTTACTTTTAACCTCATTTTAACACTTACATCAATATAGACATCCAAAACGGCACCATCCAACATGGTAATTTGTGAATGAGCATTACGTCCACTGGTTTTCGTCGGGGTTTTGCCTTTCGAAGGCGATGCATTTTCGTTTTCAGCAACCATTGTGGTATTTTTATCCTCAGGCATCACAAGCCAAAACAATCTGCAAACAACCACAGAAACAAACCATTACCAAACAAATTAGCTGTTTGCTTAGATTTACAACTATTTATCGCATGATTACATGATTACATAAAACTCACAATGAATTTAAATATGTCGATTAAAGTAAATTACTAAAGTCAATTTTCATAGCGTACAGGAACTGCGTAGGGGGAAACTAACACTGAAAATAGCTAGTAATAGCAGTGGTTCACCAGCGGGTGGTAAACTAATCACACCCGCGTGGAAAATTCGCACGAAATTGCATGGGGATTGACGTGATAGGGGTGCGTGCAAACCATCCGACACGGAGGTGCTCAGAGCGCTGCTTATCGACTCGGTTATTTTATTAGCGCCAGACATCGCGTCGCCAAGATTTTATGGAAGTTCACAGCGAGTCAAGTAAAATTCGAATACAGAAATCCAGATTACAGTCACAGTACTTATTTTTCCATTTTTTATTTTCTTTAACCCGAATGCCTTTGTTGAATGTTTAGGTATCAAGTATCGTGTGGCAACATGATACCTACAGAGTGAACTTAGTGGTAATCCTCGTGACGGGCGTATAATGATGCACTTTAAACGATGACAATATGACATGATAATAAATTCGTTCAATTTGTCGGCCGCAATTTACAAATTAGCATCGTGTGCGCAGACGAATATTAATGTAGACCGAGGTACAACAGACACAGAAACACATACACATACAACGGAAGCATTTTTCTATCAATTGATGTTCATTTATGTTGTATTTTAATCCGAAACGAATTCATCATTTAATTTTAAGTGTATACTAAGTTGTCTATATTTAAAGCTATTCAGTACATGAGAATAAAATGTGCTTCGCCAAGAACTTGCAACAAGCGAAAGTGATTTTCACGCGCATGAAAATATTTGGTGAATTTCCAGAAGTTGTGCAGCAGTTGTTTCGAATGACATCAGAGAGGCAGCAAGCCTGTACCTAGGAAGTCAAGCACACGACGCTAACCCACATCGTTTCGCCAGTGCCATGGTGCCAGTTGACACGAGGTCGTTCGCCTCGCCATTATTCTCGATCTTATGTGTTCTATATTATGTTTTATATTCTTCGTGTCGGTAGTGTGATGAGTGCATCTTTCGCGTGAAAATTGCCTGCTATATAAATATGCAGTGCCAAAAAATACGCATTGCCAAAATGGTTCGGCTTGAGTGGCAAAATAATTAATATCCGGGCTTTTCGATGATTTACGATAGCGCCCGGAAGTGAAGCCGGAAATTCATTCGCTTTTGGTATGTTTTAACGGGAAAATAATTGAATTCTCGGGGCTTTCAGCAAAAAATATAAATATACCGGGTGATAAAAAATGATTAAAAATAGGTATCCTCAAGATTATTATTATTATGAAGACATACCTACTCCCTGTTTGTGACTGAATATATTATACACATGACATGCGACATCGAAATTCACTCACGCTGATGACGCCAAAGAATGATGTAATGCGCACGATGAGAAGATTTTATGTTCATTCTGTGTAATATTTTTCCTAATAAAAAGAACGTGCATATTTCATTCGGGATTAATTCAGTATTCAAATAATAAGAAGCAGACGTCTCACACCTCAAAAATAGGCAACCAAGTGTGCATCGTGTAGTTCAATATTGTTATGACATTAGCGGCACTTTAGAAGCGATGCACCTGTTTCTCTGAAATTCCTTCAACTTGCTATTTACTACTACATCACTTTTAACTCCCCCCAGTGAACCAAGCAATGTATCACTCTTTGAGCGTGTCTTCGCGTATTTATAGATAAAATGTCATCAAAACTACGACGCATAGCACATTTAATATATTTCCAAACGATTTATTATTGTGTTTATTTTTGTATTTCAGAGATTTTTGTTTGTTCGATTTTAGCATGTCGTGTGTCGCGTGTTTGTGTGCACGTTAACGGAGTCATTTATTGTGCATTTATTTATGATTAGAAACCTAGGAGTATCGACAGGCATTGTGTGTTTGACACATGCGCGCCACACTTATACTGTTATTATGACTTCGTGCAAAATTGTACTTGATACGTGCTGGGTTCGCGCACAATGTGCAACTGTTTGCATTCGCAGTATTCATGTTTATATTTCTATAAATCAAACAATAGTAAGACGTGTTGAAATAGGCTACAATCATGGGTTTACCGTCATATTCAAAAATTTTATTATATTTGCGGGGTAAGAATGATTAATTTTAGCTACTCGACTCGATCCGACTCAAAACTACTCGTTATAAACGATTATTTCATATATTGATGCAAAATTAAATTCTTCGAGTACATCATTTTATTCATCAAATTATTATTAAAAAAATTATCAACAACTACACAAAATTTACAAATATCCCAGAACCGCTAAAATTACCATGTTTTATGTACATATATAGGAAAATTTAGGAAATTAGATTCAAAGTAGCTTTAATTTCTACAGAAATCATTAACCATTCAACTTGAGGTGTGTCCGGTGACAATTTGGGTATAGGTGCAAAAGTTGGAATTAATTCCACATAAACCCCTAAGTGCCCTTCAATTAAAGACAATAAATATTTGCGAAGGTACGCCAACAATGGGTTGTTAAGCACGCACGAGCCGGTCTGGCGCGCCGGCCGGTCGCTGCCACCTCATTGAGTCATCGATTTTCTCTTCCTTTTCCCGTCATCGTGGGTGCTTCTCATATACACAAAACAATCAGTCCTTAAATCCGACTCCATACTTAACACATATATGTATTCATTCATTGTATAAATTTGCACACTCTATCGATAGGCTCCACTCTTTATGGTGAAAATGAATCATTTCGTATTTTTTGCTTACTTTTGCATTAATTACAATTACAATGTTGATTTTATTATTCATAACATTTCTAATCTTAATTTCTAATGCATGTGGTTAGATTACGAATGCTTTCGGGAATATCTATTTATTTATAGAAATTCTGTAATTATTAAACGATTATTCAATTCTTTATTAACAAATGAATGACTAAGAATGATTCAGAATTTAATACTTGTAGAATAATATTTCTCACAGGATAAAAATAGTAAAAACAGTGTTGAGTTTTGTGTTATGTTGCATTCTCGTAAATTGCGCAATGACAAATTAATCGTAATTAAAGGTCAAGAATCAAGAGTCACCAAAAAGCAATTTTTATCAACTTAAAAACGCATTAAACTAATTTTATACTTCAAAAACAGCCCGTAATCATAAAAAAAAACTAAATATATATATTTTGTACATTAAACAAAAATGCAAGTTCCTATTTAGTACAATTTGTAATTGTTTTAAATGTATTTTAAAATGTTATAAGCTCACGACGGTGTGAAACTATTATTTCCGGTTTGTTGCTAGTGTAATGTGCGCGTCTGTCGCACGCTGTGACTGTGACATTTCAAAACAAGTCTCCGCGGTGGCCAAAGATACACACATCCGCATTTAACCCGGCTGGTTATGCATAGGAGGCGTACGACAGAAGTAGGTGAACGAAATTCCACCACAACAAAACAAAAAAAACTGGTGTCATAAAGCGCGTGCGAGCGTGCTGTTATGCAGGTAGCACTAAAATAACAAAAGACGAGCCGGGAATTTTTAGTATTCATAAAGCGCAAAATTGCATTTCCTGTGTAGTAATAATAATAAAACAAAACACAAAAAATGAAATGAAACAAAATGGCGGTGACATTTTTACGTCGCTGAAAATAGAAGTAGATATTAAAATTTAATGTGAAATTGGTTGCCAACATTCTTTTACTACCAGTGTCAATTTTCAGGCAAATAAACAACATAAATGTCGTTTCAATTTCTACGTCTACGAATGACTGAATTCTTATAAATATTTGATTGAGATTCATGAAGCCTCAGGCATCGCGGTTCGCGTTCACGGTTAACTTGTTGCTCGTTGGCTATCGTCGGTGTGTTGGTGTTGGTAGCACTGTTGTTGTTCACGGCATGCATTAGCAAACGCGTCATCTGAAAACTATGCCGGTCGGACGCTAACCAGCCATCAACATTCATATTTCAATGCTTAATGGCACGACTAACAACAACCAAACAACCGGCAACCACACGAATTACACACACCGCGCGCTAGCTCATCCAATGAACAAGCAACACTTTGAAGCTGTAACAGTAGCATCATCGTTATAAAAAAAGTAACTGGGATCGAAGTGAAGTGAAGCAAAGCAAATTGAAGAGTAGAGAGATGCAATGCGTCGGTATCATTCGGTAACCAAATTGAAAGGTCACAAAGTCGAAATGAGCATGAAACTGCTCTATAAATATAAATGCTGTAATTGAAACAATGTTATATTGGTTGCCTATATTATACCAGTGAAAATAATAGGTTAATTAAATATGTATATACATTTGCATATTTTTATTAAAACGCATTTAAACGCATAACTAAAACCCCTCGATGATATCTGTAGTAAATTTATGCAGTGACCTAAATATTAATCAACCTGCTGCGAAACTACTACGATTTTCATCTTTTTGAGGTATTACCGTAAGTAATTTTATTGGTGACCTGGTTGAAATAAAAACATATTACTCACACATGATCATCTGTGATCTGATGAAAAGTCAAATAAAGTGCGATATTGAATTAACCTAGAAATTATCGAAGAAGTGAACGATGCGACGCGCGACATTGTGACACCATGAAATCATGAGATGCACGGCGAGAAAATTGAGGACGCAATGAACGCAAAGCGTAATGCAATCTCTGTGCGAGGAAACTGTGTCAACAACTTCAACAATTCACCAAAAAAAATCAATAAATTATTATCTACAAACTCTATATTTAAGGTTAAGTTGGTTTTTGTTAAGGATAATTTTGACAATGCAATTTGTATCGCACTGTCAATGTCAAAATTAAAACATAACCAATCTTTATACAACGTGTAAACTATGTCGCAAAAAGTACACGAAACTTATCACAATAGAAATGTTTAAGAAATGATTCATATAATTAAATATAGTTGACATTTTTGTGCCGCCACGCTGGTTTTCTATTCCCATACGGTGATAGTTTATAGTAAAATCGTTCGTGCGAAGTTGAGCGGTGTCTAAAAATAGCCGCACTTTTTCCGATTAGCAGTGATCAAAGCGAAACCATCGAAGATGTGCTCGTACGATACCGGCACACGAGAAAATGGGTGAACACGTAAACACGTGAACGGGTGAACATTCTATCGATTGCAAATTCTAACATAAACTAAGTATGTATCCAAGTATTCAGAACACATAGTTTGCCCATAATATTTTATGCATATTGTTTTTTTGTTTGATTTGAGTTTGTTACAAGATTGCATGTAAAAACAAACTTGAGATTGTGGCGAATATAATAAAGCGTAGTTGAACTGAAAATCTGGTGAAAACTCGAGCACGCTGCCAGTTGTGTTATAGTTTTTCAGTTTATAAACGCGCGACACGCACGTTCCGTACTTAAAATAAAAAACAATGAGTGATTGTAACCAGTAGCAGGCAGCAACATAAAAACAAGATTGGTTGAGATTTTAAAATCACATATAATTAAATGGCACTTTAATCTCGGCACATATGAAATTTTAAGAAAATTTCGTGTGGCGCAAGCGCAATAACTAAATTATCACATCAAAATAAAAACTTTTATTTTTCTTTTGCTGAAATTTTGGTGTAACCAATGAAAACGCGTAGCGTGGTGTCGCCATGACCAAACAACCAAACAACCGTTACTACTTTGTTTTCTGCTGCAACAGAGTCAGCGGAACACACCTTGCTGTCGACCGACCGACCGAAAGCGTACGCGCACGGCATACGCGTACGCACCGCGTCCACCTTACAGGTTGTCGCTGGACTAACGCACACATGCATACACACAAACAATAACTGATACAAACCAATTCGACCCTATTTTCCATCATTTACTACTATTTTTGATTGAATCATCAAAAACAATTGAGTTACTATCGAATAACAATAATAAATAACCAACAATTGCATGTGATGTGTTCTGTTGGTATGTTGTTGGTAGGGGAGTACCGCGAGTATGAAACATATTTTGTTACTCACAGTATCAAACAGCAAGGGTTATCGTTTATCCATAGAGCGAAACGTAGTCCTAGTCCTAGTCGGTCGGGGTCGCTGGGACGACGGGCAGAGGCGCGATTTGTTTACGGGAACGGCACACACATTCGCAGCGAACTGGGATGGGCCACCATAAACAACCGCACGACCGCGCGCGTTCAACGGCAACGACGGGAGAAGGCTAGAGAGCCGCGCACTCACACACACTCGCTCGCAACACAACACGACGATGATGCCACGCACTCCGCGGCGCTAGGCAGTTGGCGTTCGACTGAATCGGCGCGCACCGCCACGGATTGACCCAAGCGCCACACAGGGCCATGCGAGTGAAACGCAAAACGCTACTATGTAATTCCAACGTTACAGCGCACAGACACACACAAATGGTTGGAAAAAGGCTTGAAAGTCTGTTATCGCTCACCTCATTCTAGTTCTTCAGCACCGGTTGCTTCGTGTTACGTACTGGCGAAGTGAGGTTGGCCATAGGCCACGTTTAGCATGGTTAGTCCATGTAAATTACTCGACATGCATTTGTCGATAACTTATTGCGCCTCTGAGTATACTCATCCTACGCACACCATAAACCCACACACTGTTTAAACTCGATTCTTTGAGCTTTTTATTAGTTCTCAAATGCTTATATTACTCCTTAAAATGATTGAAACAAATTTGAATAGTTTCCAAAAACATGTATATTGGGTTGCAGATTAATCGCAATGCACTGAAAGTCGAAATCTATCGATTTTTTCTGTTTCCATTTCATTTACTAATGCTACATAGTTTCACCTTAACATAAATTTCCTCATACGTTAGTTAGTTGCACATTCATGCAATATCAAAATGTAAACAACAATCATTGATACACATGTATTATCAGTGAATTAACACTTAACGTGTTAACCAGCTCCCTAGAACTTGAAAACTCGTTGAATTTACTTAAACGCTGTATATATATATATGAATATAAAAGTAGGACACAAACCGTAACCGGCGTCCGATACCCTTTTATTTTACGATCGTACGATGAAAACGCTCGCTCATTCTCTCATTCTCACCGAAAAGTGTTCGGCTACCGACGGCACATTTTATTTCGTCGCTAGCATTTAAAAAGTTACGTCATACGTTATACATAGCAATGCTGTCACGCCCAACTCGATGATGATTTCATCCGCGTGTGCTATTCGCATGATTCGCATAACTTATTGTAAACAAAAAACAAAATGTGATCGAAAGCGATTGTAAGCAACACATTTACACATTCGTAATAATCCCACTATTGATGGATAGTTATTACCAATTATTGCGTGTTTGCACTATTCTTGGAACCATTTATGTGAAATTATCATTAGGAATGTGTATACACTTACAATAAATTGGACGCAGTTTAAACAAATTTAGATATTGACTATCTGCAACCCAACACACGTCGTCCTCAAATAATTTACATAATCCCATTATTGAAGAAATTTTTTAATAAGTTATTAGTAAAAATACCCTTTTAAGAATTTTACTGAAGATTCGCTCGATAATTATTGATTTTATCTTTAGAAAATTACTAGTCTAGAATCATACATTAACAAAAGTGCGCTTTAACGTATCGCGAAACGATAATTTAGGTGAGTTTCTGAATAATGGCGGAACCTAAAATGCCGGCTACGCTGAGTGTTTGGTCATCATCCAGTACCTTCGATGGATACGCTGTCATCAGTGAGAAGGTACTCGTCTCGTATTGTGGCCGCGCTGATACAATATAGTTACGCACGTCTTGCACGGTGTGAGTGTGATTAAATTCACCTACGAGGCGTGAACCATCTGCCAATCTTATTTGCAAACTATAAACATAAACGAATTATTAATAAATAAATCAAAATGTTTTTAATGTTTTGGGTCATACTTAGTTGTTGGTTGCGATTTGTCCACGTTCAAAATCACCCTGGCGTTGTCTTCGTTCACAGCAGAATCCTCAGCACTTGGGGCACCAACAGTGAGAGGAACAGGACTTCCAAGAGTGTGACCAGTACCTTGGAAAACATGCCTAGACTGTGTTTCGCCTGATCGAACAAATGTCTCCATGCGGTGGTCTTCCATACTAACATGAACCTTTACAATTTATGTATTTTTAATAAAATAAAAAGAAAGATATTTTTCTAATTTAGTTGTTTACCTCACTTGCCCCCCTATGTAATTCGCGGGGAATCTCTCCACGACGAACACTATTTAAAAATTCCTGATTAGCAGGATCAGTGTACAGCCTTAAATCACCACTATCCACACTAAAACCTTCCTTCCACAGCTTCAATGTGACTTGTGCAGGTTGTGGAGGTCTGGGTGTACCAGGCACCTCCTCTGTATCTTCATTGGTCTGTCCTAACTTGTATCCTGTCCCTTGGAAAGCTTTTCCTCTACTTCCACCAGGAGCAGATCTTTCAAGTACTTCTACTCCATGCCTATTCATTGAAATGTTTAAATTATTATTTTGCATTAAGTAAAAGTATATGTAAGGTGTACTCACTCTTTAACTGATTTAAACATATCTTGTACAAAATCTTTCTTTTTAGGCCCCAAAACCTGTTGTCCACTATGTTCAGACCCACCAGCATAGAAAGCTTGCCCTTCTTCTTCATCATCACTAGATTGATTCAAGGAATGAATAGTAGCAAACTTAGAACTCGGTTTTTTCGATTGAGGCCTGCCTTTACTCATGGCTGCACTTGGTTGCTGACTCTCTGGCTGATCATCAATGACTTCCATGTCAGAGTTGGATTCCTGTTCACCATCGCCGTCAAAAAAACTAGCCAGTGCCATCTGATCGCGAGATCAAACATCAATTCAAGATTATAATTAGATTAGATAAAAATAATCATTTATACGTCCGCGAAAACAATAAATAAAATTTCGCAATACGAGAATACATTGTATATCACAAAACATGAACTAACCTCTAAATTTCCAGTCGCCGAATCCAAAAAGAAACGAGCGCGTTCATCGTTAGTGCCTGTAACAGCTTTGAATTGCGCCAATTTTTCTGCATTATCACTCATCTTGCCACATACACACGGCAAAACTAGGAAAGGAGTTTGAGAAAATTTTGATTAGTCAGTTTGCAGAAAGATGAGTCGAAAAATGACGAGTGTGACGGGAAGTTTTTGTTTTCGTAGCGCGCACCCCCTAGCAGTGCAAATAGTTAACATGTGAAAACGTAGAACAGGACCGGACTTCGATTAATGTAATAATGAATGACAAAATGTAATGCGAAAAATCACATCAAGCGTATACTTTTTGATTGTTAGTCTTTACAGTCCTTTCTTTTGTAATCGACCTGAAGAATTAAATCGATTGCTTCGTTGATTTATTGGATTGTTGATTTCCATCTCTTCGGGAATAGTCATCCCACGTTCACGCACCGACGATTGAAGGGTTGCCTCACTACGATTACTGTTACTCTCGCTTCCTAATTCATGACGTTGTTCTAAATTTTGCCGTAACTAAAATATAATCAATTAACAAGTTTATAACTACGTTTAACTGTAAAATAAATACAATGCGGATACGCTCTTCTATGCTATCTGTAGCCGATGCCCTCTCCGTTGCCGATTTATCATCACCTGTGTAAATCGGAAATTCATACTTCATGGAAACTCGTTTTGATTCTCTCAGTCGTGTAGGTGTACCAGCGGCTTCACTGCCTCTGGATGATACCGATTTCAACATAGCGCCACCCGAAGTGATTTTCACTTTCGTATCAATTGGTATAATCACTGGAGTGATCTCCACCTCTTCCGATTCGTTGGATTCATTCGAGATCTCAGTTTCTCGTTGCCTTTTAGTATTAAGTAAAGTCGGCTTTAGTTGTGATGATACATTTGTTGGTGATGGACTGTTTACTATTTTCAATATTTGTTCTGTTTCTGTTCGTTGCCCAGGTTTCGAAGGGCGTATCGTGTCCCGAGATGGCCCGGCACTAAGATCTACTGCTGTTACTGATGCTCGTTGTGGTGGTGGTGGTGATGTTGATGGCAATGAGTTGTCTATGTTGACGTTTTTGATCAACTCTACGGAATTTACTTGTATTGCGGTGGTAGGATAAAATGCGTGATTCAGGTGCATGCAATACGTAGGTCCATCACAACGTTCGGAATAAGGGATTGGGTTGCAGCAGTAGCGTGTGTTGTAATTGTTTTCTTGGTTACCGAAAGTTCCAGAGCAAATATCAAAATTCATTTTATCACAAGCGCAAAAATTTTCATCTTTATCTTCAATTTTGTTGCAAGCATTGTAACAATTATTGGAATTGGTAGGAATATTCAAGATGTTCATATTAACACAACTGGATAGACTTGATTCGTCATATGGGTAGGTATCTGTAGAGTTATCAGTTTGCAATGGCTGACAACTAACTTGTTTACTACTGCAGGAAATCCCCATACAAGTACATGTAAATTTGTCCAACGAACTAGAATCTTGTTCCTTAGTATAATTATCTCGTTTAGCGTCGGTGGCTTTATTTTCAAAACAAGTCCGAGGGCAACAGGAGTATACACAAGAACGAAGACTATTTTTAATTAGCTGGGCTTGTTCGTGCATTTCTCTTGTCCTGCACTTTGCTTGTTCTGCAATTTGTTTACGTATGCATAATTTAGGTAGGCTGCATTCTGCAGGCATAGTCTTTTTTTCCGAATGATACTTTTGTGCTAATTGCTTGGATTTTTCGTTTAAACATTTCGAAAAAGTCGCTTTTGGATCACCATACGCACGGAATCTACTAACAGGTGAGCGACATCCGCAAACACCTGTGGTGGTTCTAATATTATCAACTGATTTAGGTTTCTTCTCTTTATACTCCTTTGAATCCACCTGAGAACAATTACTCTCTTTATCTACCATAGTATTCCCATTTGTTGAAACTTCTTCATATTCAGAACTGCTTTGAGAAGTCGCTTCGTTATCTTCTTCTGATTGAAAACTAGAAGTTGACTGTGGATTTAATAAATCGGAAGGAAAAGGTGTTTGTTTTCTGCGTGCTATTCGATCGTTGTTTTTTCCGTGTTTAACGAAAAGGTAATCCTCGTAGCTTTCAAATCCTATATGATCACTTCTAGGTATTTTAGATGATTTGGTGTGTGTTGTTGCTGGTGATTCCGGAGGCCAGTCCTGGTTACCTTGGACCTTTGGTTGATCACTGCTTAAACTATGATTTGGTGATGTACATACATATTTAGACTGTTTTTCTATTGCTTCTTCATCCACCTCATCACTTGATGAGCATACAATGATAACACACTCGTTTTTATTTTTATTCGTCGCACCTTCCGCCTTATTGCAATATTTCATGTTCTTATCTAAGAACTCACATGGACTCCTATCAATTTTCCTCGCCATGGCGGTAGTTCGTTTTGCAGGTAAACATTGGCAACAATTTGTTTGCCTTTTGCTACACACATAGGTACCTTTAGTTTTAGCATCAATTTCGGGTGTGGTAAGTTTCCGTAATTTTTGTAAATGTTTGCTGTAGTGAATAGTTTTATTAAAATGTTTAATGTATTTCCGAAGAAGATGATTCTTTGAATCGCGTAAGCTGCACAAACACTCGTTATTCCTGAGTAAATTAGAATGAAGATCTTTCGATTGTTGACTTATTAAAAGGTCAGCTGAATCCTTTACTGAAGTGCCGTTGGAGAAAACTGGTGAGGATTCTTCTTCTGCATCTTCTGGTGTTTTATATTCTTCTTCACTTTCCTCTAACTCTTCTAGTTTCTTAACAACCGGTATAACACTTTCAGGTTTCAATAGGACTATGTTTTTTGAAGATTCAGGTACTGCAGGTATTGCCACCTCGTGGTCACTTGGTTGCTTGTTTTCTATTTTTTCAGGGTGGGCACAAGTCGAAGCGGAGCAATTCGGGGAACCACAGTCGCATAACTTTTGTTTCGTCGGTGGTATAGCCTGCGACGCGACATATATTCCTTCCTCGTCATTACCTTTCAACATTTTTCGTGTGTGGTTTCTTTATGTGTATGATGAACTGCTACATTTTTAAGCACAAACATAATTTACGAATGATTTTGAAGTTTTACAAAAATAATGACAAATTATATCTGATAATGTCAATGCCTAACGTCGTTCGTAAATGGTAAAGAAGCAACCATAACAACAAATACAATCACCAAAAATCGGTAACACCACAAGCTAAATTTAAATAAGTGGTACCAGCGATTATGATAGAATTATAAAAATAAAAATACTTTTAATGTGACAGAAAATTTAAAAGGATATGTGAAGTACGGTTCTGGATACATTTACAAATGTTGCATAGACTGCATCACGGGCTGCATACTCCATTGCACGAACTCTATTGCAAACGTTCCTCTGAATTATATGGTTATGTGTTACAGGCATTAAATATATAAATTCCAAAATAAAAACAAATTACTTCTTGTTATGGACAGAAATCTTGATGAAAGACTTCGCAAACCACGGAGGGCCAAGGGAACACCGTTTGTTCAAACACGAAACTACCTATCGTTCGCTGCTTTAGCTGTTGGTGCTTTAAGTTTATATCTGTTTGAGTAAGTTATTCAAGGAATATTACATTTTTGATATTTAATACTTAAATTTCAGAACAATCCCCGCTGTAAGACGTTTGAGAGAAAATATACTAACAAACGAACGTTTTAAATCATCGCCTGAAGTACAAGAGCACATCCAATCTATGCACATTTCTTTAAATGAACCAGCACTAAGGCAAGTAATAAGCAAATATCAACTAAAGAAGGAAGCTGAAAGATTGGCAATCAACAATGAGGAAGAACCAAAAGAACAACCATGGTACAGCATCCTCTACCAGACGAACCAGATCCCAAAATAAAGCAAATAGGTGTGTCCAAGTTTATGTACTTTAAAGTAATAATTGCTGAGTAATATGTACATTACAATGTAGTATATTCAAATAAATGATTAGTTAGTTAACAACTTAATAATCTAGATCCTTTTTATTTTCTTTTGCCAGAACCAACTCAAACACTGAGACTATATCTAAGTTTTTCAAAAAAGCTGATAATGGAGATAAGACTAATCACAATCAGTCTATTTATAAGGATGCAGTTACTGAAATTGGGGAAACACCTCAATTCAATAGTAGTAATGTTAGTGATGTTGATCAGGAGTTTGTATCGATCAAACCAGCGAAAAAAGTCGCAGAAATATTTACGCAAGTTAAAGAAGCAAGAGTTAAACGGTCAAGTCGATTGAAAAATATAGCTGTAAAGAAACCTGTTGCTAATGAAACAAAAAAATTGATTCATATTGGAAAAACGTCGGATGTTAATGTGGAACATTTGCAATTAGCAATGGCATTGTCAAAAAGCATGGAACCCGAATTAAGTGCTATTAATAATGATGAGGAAGATGTCTATCCATCAACACAGCAGATTACCGAAAATGCTAGGCTTGAATTGCTTGGATATAGGTTTAAATCATTGCAAAGCACATCACAAAAGTTAAAAATCAACGAAAACGTAAGAATATTTCATTTTATTTTATCTTTTATTAACTCATTTTTTTTTATTTAGTTAAAATCAGTAACAAATAGAAAAAAATCAAAGTTTCGATATGTAAAGCCAAAATTATTCACGACAACAAATGAAGAACGGCAAAAAATTATTCAAAAGAAAGTTGAAGAAATATTATCATTTACAGTGGCAAAGTGTTCAGTTGATGAAAATATTCAACCAGTTCTGCATAGTTTTATACTACAAGATAATGTTAATGAAAAGAAGAAAGTTTTTTATTTATCGCAACAAATTGAGAAGGAAATTGATGATTATTATGTTGATGCATTAGAACTTGAAAAAAGTAAAGCTGCTTGTGGGTATTTACTTAAAAATTGGGATATTATTGCCGGCAGAGATAAGTCTCCACAAAAAAACACGCAAAAAGAGAAAGAAGCTAGCGTAGAAGAACATTGTATGCAAATAGACAAATCTCCACAGGAAAACAGGCAGGAAGAAAAAGAAACAATCGTAGAAGAATATAATAAGGAAATGGATATGGATTTATCACAAAATAACAGTAGCCAAAACACATTTGTAACAGCTAAAAGTTGCAGTTCATATTTTAGTTCAGTGTCACAAATGACCCAGAAATTGATTAGGAGTGATTCGCCCGATTTATTTGCATCATCTGATGAAGATGTAGATATGTTAGAGGATAATGTGTTTACAAAATCTACGACCCAAAGTATAAACAGCAAACAGTATGATGAACCTACTACACATAATTCAGTTAATTATAATTTAAATTTTAAAGATAAAGAAAATAATGCCGAAAATGTAGAAATAGCTGATGAAAATCAACAAATATTTGATGGTTTAAGCAGAAATGATGCATCTCATTCTTTATTGGGTAATATAAATAAATTAAAAGAGCCGAATAAGGGCGAAGTGCCAAAACAAATAAATATTGACCATAAAACTAATGAAACTGTTGAGATTCAAGAAGAGGAAATCGTTAACTGTCATGTAACAACATTTAGTGCTAAGAAATTTCAGAACTGTGCTTCTGCATCATTTTTAAGTAATATTAATGCACAAAACTTGAACAAATCCGATGCTAATTTTAATGATTCCGATCAAAACTATGAAGTTGATGATAATGGGATTTGTACTTACGAAAGTTTTTGTGATTATGATGAACCCAACTTTGATCAGTCAGTCCACAGTGCCGCATCAGAAACAGAAGATAATATTAACGAATTAACAAACAAGAAAACAATTGAAAGAATTGCGAAGCAAACTAACGCAGGTGGCGTTGCAAGTTCGAACATTGACAAATACCCTGCTTTGAAAGCTTCTAATCAGGAAATTGACGAAAATAATGAATCTACTTTTAATCACTCTCATATTAGCCCCAATTTAGCATCACAATATGCTAATGTTACACACCACGTGCAAGCATTATTAAATTCTGAGTCTTTTGTTAATGATTTGAAGTCAATTTGTATTGAGAAGTACTTTAACAGAAGTAAAAAAGTTGACGAAAACCCTGATAAATTATCGCCAATTAAAAATGCATGCCGGGAGGTAAACAAAGATGAAGGGGATTTATCACAGGCGAAAATTGTTGCGAACACTCTTGAAAGTGATGAATGCATTGATTTATCACAAGATTCTGATAACGATGACGACAGTGATCACCTTCAAACAAATATGTCTCGAACTGAACCAAGTTTACAAAGACATTTGTCAACTGTATCAATGGATTCCACAATGTCCACTAACGACAGCATTTGCATCAGCGATGAAGAACTAAATTATTCTTGCTTGAATGCTACTCCGAAGCCCAAGCCACAAAATACTTGGCAGTTTGAAAGGCTGGCGTATAAGAAAAATAAATTTGCAATTTCTGATTCTGAAGATGAAGATGCTGATGTTAATGTTACCGATAATAAAATGGAGGAGAGCATTAATGTCACTCGCATATTAGCTGCTATACAGGAAAGGAAATGTAAAGAACATCAAGATTCGCTAAATAAACTAAATACATCAGGTATTGTGAATTTAGAAGACGATGAAGACTCAGAAAATGATAGTGAGTTACAAGAAGCATTGCGGTTGTCAGCAATTGAGGCGGAGAAGGAGGAAAAAAGGCGCCTAAGTCAAGAAACACCGGAAAACACCGAAAAACAAAATAGTAGCTTAACTACTTTTATACAAAACAACGACCACGAATTTTCTGATAGTTTTCCATTATTAAATTGTGATATTAGTATAAATATTCCGAAAAGGGACGAACACCATGAAAAGCAGGATTTACAATCATCAATTTCTATCAATCCTGCTGACTTAAACGTTGAAAATGATTTTGCTGATAGTTTTCCAGTATTGGTGGATGATATTGATAAAAATGTAACAGAAAATAATTCGGATGAAAATTTCCCTAAAAACGACGAAAATAATGAAAAACAAGATATGGAGACATCAATTCCTATTGAAACAGGCTATTTTAATGATGAAAATGACTTTGGTGATAGTTTTCCGTCTATTAACGACGGTTTTGATCATTCAAATTTGATTAAAGAGACAAATGATGAAATTAATGATACTAATATTCAAATTATTGGGGTTACGCCAGAAATAAGTGATGATGAAACGGAAATTAATAAGGATCTTGCGGATTGCAATTTTCCCTCGTTTGATTATGATAATTTTGACCATCGTGGAAATAATACAATTGAAGTTGAAATAAGCAAGCCAATAAAAGAACCGGATGAATTTGATCTTCTGATTGAAAATGAATCAATATTTAACAGATTATCCAACAACGCGAAGCCACAATGTCGCCGTGTTCAAGAATTAATTGGAGAAAACCAAACCCCTGGGAAACAATCGAATACATCTCGGAGTAGTCCGAATAAGCGAGCAAGTGAAACATTTGAGGATACGCTTGCTAATCTTTTGGAAAACACGAAGGCTTTACAAAATTTGGACCGCATCGAAAATATCCAATTGAAAACACCAAATGATGAAAATAAGTCAAATAATATTATGAATTCTTCATCTAAGCAAAATTCTGCTACTTTTATAACTCCAGGTACGCCTGCGGATGGATTATATGTAAAAACTTCAAATGTTACCCCGATGCCAATGTTTGATAAAATGACTACTCCAGAAATACACTTGGAATTAGATAAAATTGGCGTGAAACGCATGAAGCGCCGTAGGGGTGTTCAAATGTTGAAATATGTTTATAATTCGATGCATGTGCCATTAGAAAAACAACTTGTTATTGAAAATGTAGAATATCCAGAAATTGATATAGACAACTTCGAAAGACCAAGCAAACGTCGCAAAAAATTGAATTACGATGATGATGCCATTGAAGAAGTAGACGCCATTGACGTTAATCATGCGAGGCAAATTGAAATATTGCATAGTTTACAGGCACCAATGCAAGGAAATATCGAGATTAACAGGAAACTAACTGAATGGTACGTATATTCAATTTTAAAAAGATTAAAGCGTAAAATCTAACAAACATTTTGTTGTAGTGAACCCTGGAGGACTTGATTTTCGAAAGAACACAATCGAAACGGATTAAATCATGCGCGTTACCGTTTCATATCGCGTGGCATAATTTCCTATGCGTGAATCGTGAAATTTGGGAGAATGTCCTACTTTATGAACCTTTGCAGGTCGAAGTCATATACGCCATGTTCAAGGAATTGGGTTTTAAATATCACATACAGGTACAAATGTGCAAAATTACAATTTAAAGGTTTTAATAATTCTAACCCTTTACAGGATATGATCACGTTTTTCGATAAGAAGTGCATCACGATTCGGATAAAGCAGAACAATTGAAGGAAGTGAACTAGAAGAACTGCCATACATTTTTTTGCTAGGTTATGTGGGTTATAAGGCAATTGATTTTTATATGTATCTACTTTTTCTTTATACAGTTTAACGTTTGAATTATTTTTTGTATTGTTTCTATTGTAATGAACTTGTGAACTTGTAAAATTTTGGATTGTGCACACTTTATAAATATATATCTAAATACGTCTCTGTTTTTCTTATTTTTATAACCTGCATGACGTCAATCTCATACAGTAGTTTATTGAAGGTCGCAGAAGTCGTGTTAATTTCATATTATTTCATACAGTTGTTGCGCGCTACTGTTGTGATAACAGTTGATTTAGGTTAGAAACTATTATATTATAATAAATTCATACGTAATTAACTGTCTTACTTGCGTCTTTATAGAAAATGGCGTTAAACGCAACCGGTAAGTTGCTGAAGGCAACCACATCGCCGTTGCGGACAATCGTAGCTGCGTACCACCCCAATGTAATCGACCACTATGAGAATCCTCGTAATGTCGGCTCTCTCGACAAGAAGGACGTCACCGTCGGTACTGGTTTGGTTGGTGCACCTGCCTGTGGAGATGTGATGAAGCTACAGATCAAAGTTGATGACAATGGCAAGATAATTGATGCTAAATTCAAGACATTTGGATGTGGATCTGCCATTGCAAGCAGCTCTCTAGCCACTGAATGGGTCAAAGGTAAATCAATTGATGAGGCAGCTAAACTCAGAAATACTGATATTGCAAAAGAATTGGCTTTACCACCAGTGAAATTACATTGCTCCATGTTGGCTGAAGATGCCATTCAGGCAGCTTTATCTGATTACAAAATCAAGCAGAAGAAGAAGGCAGAGGCTGCAGGCTAAACAAAAGGTTTTGGTGAAAATTTAAAGTTTGTTTAAAGGGAATTTGTGAGAATCTATAGTGGGCTTAGTTTCTGATACTCTGTAAAAATTGTATGTATAATAAAGATTTTTAGGTGAATTTTGCATGTGTTTTGTTATGACCACAGAAGTTAACATTAATAGTTTAAATATAATTTATTAAAATATGTTTATCATTACGTTTTAGTCGTTAGGCGCTTAAAATACGTTGATACATCATATAAGGTCACAGCTTGGTCATTTGCTAAGTTTTTTCTTCTTTTTTTGTATCACCATCATATTAATTTTACCCATTAAACAGTTAAAAAACGTTTTAAAAATGCAGTCACTCAATTTCAATCATAAGTAATACTTTTCATTAATGATTCTCTATGTGCTCATGAACTTCAAATACAGTATCATCCTCATCATCTTCATCCAGAGGTAATGGTAGCATTTCAACATCTCTTCTATTTGTTAACACACCATATTTTCTCACCATTACATTTGGTTTGTTGCCACCTTTTTGTAATCTATAAAAAGTACAATAAAGAGAAATGACAAATACAGTAAAATTAAAGAATTTTGTTACCTGTACATCCTAAATCCAAGGAATAACAACAACAATAAAGTTCCCCCAAGGAGGACATAGAAACCTCGTTGTAAAGCACCAGATTGCATTAGATCATCAGATCCATGCGGAAATTTATTAGCTTGCGTTGTTGCTTTGATGTCATTGTGACTGCTTGTTGTATTTGTAATCGGCAATGCATTAGCTGGATGTTCTTGAGCGTTGTTTACCTTGTCCATATGCAACACCGGCACTGCCTTCGAATCATTTTGACTGTTTGTGTCCTTCTTGAAGTCAATTTCAGGCTTAAGTTGGCATAAAACGATTGTTATATAAAATGATAGTGATAGCAGTATGAAGATTGCACTTTGTAGATGCATTTGTGTGCTTTGTTAAATTTAATTAGCGCGCACATAGATGAATATTTGCACTATTTGTTTAATCATCGCAGCGAATTTGGCCCTGTTGGAAACCCGACGAGCGATATATGCGACATACGTATCACCGGAATTTTAGGTTATGATTGCCGATCATAGATTGTCGACGTAGGTCAAAATTAACAAAATCGGCAGGAGTGGATCAATGTTACTTATAATAACACAAAAAACTTATAGTAAAGAATCATCAATACAAATGGATATCAGTACATCAGGAGTTAATGTTAAAATACCATAGTTTGTTTTATGCAAAAGTTTTATATTTCGGAACTAAATTACAATAATTCAATTATCTAGTTATCAGGGGGTGAAACCAGTGTAGTTTTATGTTAGTGGAGTACTATAAAAATTAATTATACACCCAGAACATAACCTAATATTTGTACTCTTCAACAATCTATGTTAAAACAATGCTGTTTGTTTTTCTAATCGTATTATATAAATTTTGGTATAAATTGTCTAAAATTACGTCATTGTGATTGCGAATAAAAAGAAGTAGGCGTAACTTACGACTAACGTCGCGTCGCAATAAAAACACACGCACGCCGCTCGCCGCCCCCTCCGAGTGGTCGTCATTGATTGCCGCCGGCGCCGCGCGCCGCCACCAACAATCCACCGCTCGGCGGCGCGCAGTTCCATCGTGGGCTTTCAGTTCATCGCACTGAGAGTGTCCGCGATGTCAGACGAGTGCGAAATGGCGGCGACGACGGTGGCGAGCGACGGCGGAGAATCCCAAGACGTCGTCGGTGGCTTAAGACGCCGCAAACTTGTAGAGTGCGCTCAGGATACGATCGAGCAAGGTGAGAATACTGTGCAAAATTTGAATATCCTGCTCCTCCACCACCACCCTCTCTCAATCAGCATCATATAAGTGTCGTGTTTATTTTTAGCTTCCGAATTGATCAAACGTAAGATTCCGTGTGTCGGGCACGTCCTGGCCCCGAAGCGTCTATGGCTAAAACGCGTCTCGACCCCTAACTGCGACGTTGTCGTCGTATTCCCACCCAATACTCAGGATTCTGTCTTGTTGTGGTTGCTCTCGCGATTACGGCAAACGCCAGGACTCACCGTGCACGTTCGACATCACGCTTCAACGCAAAGCAGTGCTTTTTATCTAACTGCTCCTATTGTAGTGTGAGTAATATCATGAAAAGTAATAAAATATATACCCGTACTAAAATTTACAATCTATTCATAATTACGCAGATTATTAAGAGCTGCCGAAGAATACCACCTCCCAAAGGGATTGAAACAGTCAAAAGGTGGAGGACTGAAGGAGTTTAGCGCCCAGGACCTGCAGTTATTTGAAGGATCTGATAACGAAGCTAGCTTTTTCACGTCACAGGAACGCCAATGGCTCGTTCTGCGACTGTTGGAGAGCATTCGAGCGAGGGCTAACGATGGTGGCGCACTGCCAGGACTTAATTTGCTCGAAGGACAACCGATAGGTAACCTTATTCACCTCATAGATTACTGAATCAAACAAATCTACTGGAAATAGCAATAAATCTAACCTATTTAATAATATTTTTACATAATCTTCAAATTTTAGTACCAAAATGTCTAGCTGCTGGAATAATCTCACAAGTATTCCCCTACACGAACCGGCCGCACTAGAAAAACTCCAAAACTCTTGGGTACGAGACATTTGCGCCGCGCAGCCTCTGGACGACATCGCCGAATATTTCGGCGTCAAGATTGCGATGTATTTTGCTTGGTTAGGACACTATACAACAGCACTGAGCATTCCAGCCGTCGTCGGCTTTCTATTTTGGGTGAGTCTTTCACTGTTTCCATTACAACTTTCAATTAGTAGACAGCGCGGCGCCTTCACCATATTGTTATGCGTGCGTGTACGTATGTGTACTTGAACTTTGTAATTTGAACGTAGTGTTTCATTTCATTGCGTTTGCCAAAAACCACCCACCGATACACCACACCGGAAACGCGCATAGTACAACAGCGAGATAGCGCCATTAGTTTCCTCTTCAGTGAGTTGAGCATACAAACGTGGATGCGAAAGCAAACACAAACATTCAAAGCTAGTAACTTTGAATAAATTCCAGCAAGGTTTTACATGCATGAGCTTTCACGTCTTTCGATACTTTATTCAACTTTGTTGCACTTATTTTATGAGATTTTATGACGTCCCAGGAGCTGCATGGGTGTTTAGCGCTTAAGTTTATGATTTACGACGCTTCTTGCAACTAATATTCCAGTTTTACGCTTTAATCAATATTTTCATAAATCAGGTGTGCAAAATGTACAAATTTTTATTTCGCTCATCTTTAAAAAATGTAAACTTTATAGTTGTGTTATTACTTGTGTTTACAGCTTTGTTGCAATGGCAAACATCAAACATTGGAAGATGTAGGTTATGTGCTCTTCTCGGTATTCAACATTGTCTGGGTGACGACGTATCTTCAAGCATTCAAGCGATATTCTGCCGAGTTGGCCTTCCGATGGGGCACGTTGGATCAACGCGATGATTTACTAGCAGAGCCACGATCATTGTTCAGAGTATGTTTAATCGTTTTTCTATAAATATCATTGTGAACGTGTTGCAACACTTCAAATGGCATACAATTAAGGTTATGTCGATTTGGAGGTAATGCCAGCCAGAAAGTTTGCATGTATGTATGGGATATGAGATTTTCGCATGAAATTTTATTCAAAACGCAATTTTAACAGGTTGATGTCATTTTACGACAGAATCAATTTTTATGACTATGCACTTTGATATTTCAACTTCGTTTTATGTCTAAAAGTGCTTAAAATCGCATTAATCACTCACTTTTTATTCACTTTTCCTATACTCGATGTGCTTTTGTTTCGTTTACGACGACACGCAACATATGATTTGCTCATTCGTGGAGTGTGAACGATGAACGATTGAAAATTGAAAAATCCATACTTCAAACTACCTAGTTCTTTTCTTAAAAAAAAACTAGGAGTATAAGAATATTTTCCAAAACAATTTTATACAAGGTGAATATTTTTTATAATAAATATTAAAAAATTAACACCTTGTATATGTGTATGACTGAAATGTGTGAAAAATTAATGAATGGACAAAACTGTGTACTGTGCATGCTGGTGGCTTGCTGATTTCTTAGAGAACTCTCCTAGTTAAAACACGACTTCGCTTCGGCCTGATGTGCGGACCTTGTACAGGTCTCACGTCATGTGGTGTGCTTTCAGGGACCGTTGGTGCCGTCCCCGGTAACGGGACGCCTGGAACCATGGCAGCCCGGTTGGAAACGACATGTCTATCGCTACTGCGTCAGTGTGCCCATTATTGCCGTTTGCCTCTCAGCAGTCTTCATCGTCATGATTGTGTCGCTACACATTCAGGTAAACATCCTGTATATTTGTAGAACATGTTTGTATTTCACCACATTGGCCGCTTACGGCTGTCATGAATTATTGATGACGGATGTCCGATTTTATTGCGTTTTCTCACGTCGCACTCTCTCGCGGATTCGCATTACATGATTGAAATTTCAACGCCGCCCCCGCGAGACCGCAACCACTCACAGCCGTTTCCGCGCAAATGTCGAATACACGTCGATAAATCAATCACACACGCTCGAGTTGAATTCGTTTCGTGTTTATTCATTAGCTTACCATTTACATCGTTTACAATAGGTTACGGCTTGTTTATGTTAGGCAACCATACGTACTTTGTACACATATGCAACTCATTCTAATTTATTGGTATATTTTATTTATGATTGAAAATCTACCAATGGCTTGAATGAAAATGATAGGATAATTTAGAAAATCGATAAATCCAATTTCGAGGAGGATACGCACGTCCGACACGTCTCGTTTGAAGGAAATAAGTTTTCCTATTCTATACAGGGTGTTTTAATTTTACAGGATTGGTGGGATAATCAATTGCAAAGTCGTGGATTCCCAATGTGGTTAGGATACTTACCGAAAGTGATGCTAGCCGTAGTAATCACGTTAATGGACGAGGCCTACTTCAAAATCGCGCTGTGGTTGAACGACAAAGGTAACCTAAAAAAGGTTTCAACGCTTGGCACATTTTTGTACATTATAAGTTGAATATTTTCACAGTATCATAGAATATTTCTTATGCATAATTTACGCAATTTAATTATGTTTACATTTGAGTTTAAAAGATGCCGTTTGACATTTTTGTAATGTAAAGTTAGGTTATGTATATTTTAATTTTTATTTTTGTATTAGTTACGTAGTGTACGTGTAAGTAATGTATTTGTAAGTAAGTGAAGTAACGTGAATTGATAACGAATTTTGTCGCGTGTTTTTGCTCACGCTGCCTCGCATATTACCTTCTTCTTCTTCCACCACCTTGAACTTGAACCTGCCAGAGAACTACCGGCTTGAAACCAAGTACGAAAACCACCTCATCGGCAAAGTGGCTTTGGTTTGTATTCAATCTCTCTACAGATTAACAGAACACCCCCGAACTATCGTTGTCGTGTTTGTAAAATTGTCGTAACCTCGTCTACGTGTATGTGTGTGTTCATGTGTGTCTGGAATGTCAAACAGTGAATTTATGTAAATAATGCAAAAACAAGCAACCAACTACTAAAAAATTTACTGTTTCATTCATCTCTGCATGCTTTACTATTGTAAATTTGTAATTACTGTTGTAAATTTGTTTCAATCATTTAATATTTAGCTAAATCAACATTAATTTTATTTTTATTTTACAGTTCCAATTCATCAATTCTTTCCTATCGCTGTTTTATATCGCATTTTACCTTCAGGATCAAGCTAAGTTAAAAGAAGTAAGCAAAAAGTGATATATCCTTAATTATGATCTACCAATGTTGTATTTTGTTTATTAGCAACTGGCTGCGCTGTTAATTTCGCGCCAAGTAATCGGCAACCTGAAAGAATCTGCATTGCCGTATATTCTCGAACATTTCAAACTTGCCAAGATCAGTTTTGATCTGTGGGGTGCATTGAGCCCCACTGGGACGCGCCCACCTCTCGGCAGCGAGCCCAAACCGGAAGAGAACAAAGATGCCAAGGACTCGAAGGATCCGCAACCAGACAAACCGAGAGATTCTCCGCCAAGTGACAAACGCAGCATGAGTCAAGCCGAACTCGAAAGCTCATTATACAAGGTAATATAAAACTTTTTAATACGCTTTGTTTCTTCCGCGTCGAGCTATGAGTGAATGTAAGTCTGTGTCGGTGTGACGAGTGGTTTTTTGATTGTAATCGATGTGTTTCTTTTTGTTGCGTGCCGTATTTTACTCTGATACTGATACCTACACACACAATGCAATATTTACACTTCGTCATAAACTCTAATGGCCTCGATTGCGTTCGGTCAGTTGGGTCGATCGGTATGTTTTCTGAATTTTGCTTTGGTAGTGCCTTCCTAGCTAGCACGAAAACTGTAGATGCTCCGATAGGGATGTTATGTAATGAAGTAGAAATAGGACGTACAAGCGCTAGAGGACAACAAGTGGCCGTGGAAAATCGGAAACAGCAAACATTGATTTTATCTATGTGGATTTATAAAAATATTTTATTTATTTCTGGTTGACGCCACTGAGAATTTCATAGAAATTCCGCACACGTTTTTGCCATCCACTAATTTGCCAAGAAAAGAATTGTGAAGCGTTCTGGAAATTTCTTTCACGACTATCTCAAGATTAAACTTTTTATATATTTCGTGCGAGTGGAGTTTCTAAAGCAAGATTCAACTAAAGAATAAACCAGAAGTTATGAGTTTACAAAAAAAAGATAAATACCGAGTGTTGAAAAAAATAATAATTTAAAATTTTTAATTTCTGCTGCCATTAATGTCCTTATCGTTAACACTATTACATAATCATTTTGTAGGCATAACTAGAGTATCTTATGAGGTAAACTTTATTTTTTAATTTTTAGTTAAAAAGAAAACAGGCATGCAACACATGTTTTCAGTTATTATTTTAATGGAAATATATATTAAAATACATAAATATAATCTTGTAGTATGAAGGAACATTTTCGGAACATCTGGAAATGACCATACAACTGGGCTACGTGATTCTTTTCTCTTCGGCTTTTCCGCCCGCAGCAATCTGCGCCATTTTGAATAACATGATCGAAGTGCGAAGCGATGCCTTCAAACTTGCCTATGTATGCCAACGCCCATTCGGGCAACGAGTGCCAAACATTGGTACTTGGCAGGTATTTAATTATAAATTCTGCTACATTATAATTTATAACTTTTCATCTTTTCTCTGTTTGATTTAGCACTGCATGGAATATATGAGTATAATAGCAGTATTGGTAAATTGCGCTCTGATTGGCCTCTCCGGACAAGTCCACCGAATGTTCCCTGACATGACAGCCACGCAGACCATTCTACTGATTGTCGCTTTGGAACACATCATGCTCTGCATCCGCTTCATCATCACCTGCGCCATTCCGGATATTCCAGGTTGGCTTGCAACTGAAATGGCTAAGATTGAGTGGGCCCGTAGGGAAGCGAGTCGTTTATCAACAGCCACACCATCGCCGGAGGATGTTTCAACCAAGTTAGTTGGCAGGTAGGCCATTTCTATGATTACACATCTATCGTATAGTAGAAATTGGCCATAGTTGTGTAGTAGTAGTAGTAGTGTTGTTGTCTTGACTATACATTATATTGTAGATTTTCTGTTTCACCAAGTCATTCACTGGTGTCGGGCGTGCAACATCAAGATGTCAACGTCAAACGCACTGAGGAATCACTACTTCCTTTCCTTACTTCGTCCCCGTCACCAGTGTCTACTACTACTCCTTCTACTGCAAGTGTAGATGCTCGGAAGAAAGGTTCTAACTCGAGTATAACTTCCTTGTCAACTCCCACATCTCCTAAACCACCTGTGTCTATTACTTCTGATAGTATACAAGCAATTCCTCCATTCAGACCTAGAAAATCCAAAGAGTTTGTTCCACCAGCGCATACGAGCACTACTGAAGCAGAACATCACTTAACAATTGGTCCGACTGGCGGAGCTGAGTGGGCGAAGAAACTCAAAGAAGAAACTGATATTCATCGCAGTACGGATTGTATTACTCCTAAACTAAGCGCGGATGCATCTAGCTCCGATTCGGATCTGTTGAAGTGTAGTCCCGTGTGGCCACCACGACCGAGATCTCCTTCGGGACAATCGCAAGGACCCATTGCGGCGCTTAAGCCTAAACCTATTACAACAGAAGCGTCGTTGAGTGACAGCGTTAAAAGTGTCTCGAGTCAGGAGACTGCCGATGAAGCAGCTGCTAGAGGTAAATTTTATTCTTTATTACTTTTTTACATTTTTAGTTTTTGAGGTATTTGCATTTGAATATTTTTATCAGCTTCAGAAAAGAAATAAAAATAGTTTAGCCTTGTCTTATAGTCAGAATAAACTTTAAACACTGGTGATTTCTGGGAGTATAGTTTGTAAACGTTCATAAAGTTTCTAATAAGTATCTAAGTATTTTTTAAGGGAATTTTGAGATAGTTTTAAGGAAATGATAAAACTGCCAGTGTTGCAAAAGGGTGAAAGAGTAAAAAAAATAATTAAAAACGACAAACCAGATGATATCATGACTCGTAGATGCCATGTGGATACGAATATGAGTTGATTCTAAACGATTATCTACGTTTTCTTTGGTGAGACTTTTTCAAGAGACACGTTTTTAAACCCTAAGATTTAAAACCTACTATCTATTGCAAGAGAGTAACTAATAATAAACTAATTAATGAGAGAGTTTCAAAACACAACAACGCCAGAAACCATGCAAGACTTTAGTTTGAAATTTAAAGGAACAACATATTTAGCTATGATTTAGTGCAGTGTATATTTTTGGTCAGGTTTTATTCAATATTTTTTTAATAAAATGAATAAGTTTGTTTCCCATTAAACTAGCTCTTTATAATAATTATAGATAGGAAAAAAAAACTGTACTGATGCTTTGTTTTTCACATCGATCACTAAGGGTAATAGCCTAGGGACCTAGTACATAATTCAAATTGAATTTACAGCCGCAGAAGAGTTGGCAGCAAAGAAAACTCGCGTGAAGCAGAGTTTAATGAAACGTGCTCGTTCTGTGGCGATTTTCTCACTGAAATTAAAGGAACGCAGAGCGCGTGAGGCGGCAGAAAAGGCTGCTAAACCAGTGACCCCAACTGCTCCACCACCACCGCCTCCACAATGTGGTGGTGGTGAGCTTAGCTGCATACCAATCGAAAAAGTAAGGCCTCTAAATCTAATAAATGCTTACATAACTTAAATTTTTTAAAACAATTTCTAGCTGATTCAATTGGAAGATTTGAGGGCAGCAGCGGCAAGCCGTGGCAGCCAGAGCGGCCCCTCCACGTCTTCCTAGTGATCTTAATCGTCAATTTACAAATGTGAAACCTGCATTCAAAAACCCGATTTGAGGAGTACAAATTATTACAAGACTCATTGATCTCACGACGGACGCATGTCAACAAAACGATGACGGCGTTTGAAATACTCTTTACCCGAAACTAAACCAATGGTAACGAACTTTTATAGATGATTTATATCAGGCTGTTAATAACACGACACTAACGAATATTGAAAACAAACCAACACACATACAGCGACAATTAGCAGCTCTGCAGGTACGACTTGTGTGGCTTTAACTAATGGACTAAATATTGTTAAGTAAAAAACGCAATAATAAAGTGCTTATTATGAACAGGAAAGCATGGCGACAGTGGCCAGTAAAACACATGCTTTCAGTAAATCAATAATCCAGTAACAAAAATAAAAAAGTAAGGCAAACAATAATTGACTGTGTATTATAGATTAAATTGATTAAATTATTATGTAACAGTTTGCTGCAATCGGAAATGTTATAATGCGTAGGACGAAGCAATACGAAGCAACGTTTAGTTTCAGTTTAGCCAACTGACAGATGAAAACCAGACCATAGCTACTGAATGTGTCACTTACTTATAAACGACCTATCAAAACTTGTCAGAATTGACAAAACAGAGGACTAACCGATTAGATGAGTAGAGATCTAGTGTTACAAAACTACAATTAGTTCATAATCAAAAGTAGTCTAAACGTCAAATACACACTCTTCACTTCATTCATCTCAAAAACTAAAATGGTGTAAAAGAATTATGATTTACCTGATCTCAAAATAAAAAAAAGTTGTTATTTCATCGAAAGTCCATGAAGATGTTATTCACTCTCTTGGTGGCAAGACGAGAAGAGAATCAATGATTGTAATCATAAATATATTTTGCTATTAGACGCCTTTTACAATGTAAAACAAACAAAACGAACAAACTTTTGTGCGAAATGCAAATTTACAACGCAAACATGTAACAATAATTTTATCAGTGAATCGAGCGGAGGAATCCCTACAGAGAGCGCAAAATCACCTTAAAATATTGATTCTAGTTTAGAGTTATTATGACGGTGTAGTTTTAGAAAATCATATCTAACTTAAGTGTATATTTTAAGTATTTACCAATTAGTCACACATACGAACACGGACACAAAAGATACAAACGAACGAAAGAAAACAGAAATTAATTAAACATAGACGGCGACGTGTAGAAACGTTTTTTGCGTTTATTTTACACGATATTTTTGAGGTATTTTTTGAACGCTACGTGTATATGCTTGTTTTGAGGTTATGATATATTGGCTTCCAATCATACTTGTCACAATGAAGAACACACCGATAACGTGCTACTTATTACTATATTATTAGATATACTAATTCTAATGCTACAAATTATTAGACTTATTTTGCATCGCACACACACACACTTAATTGTTATCAAAAAGACTGCTTGATATAATTTAAGCTTCCCACAACTCAAAAGTCATGCACTACGCCAACAAAATGAATGAATTATCTTGAGGCGACATTTGTGCATTATCAGAAAAGGATGACATTATCACGCCTGCATTATGTTCTCAATGACAAAATGCAAATAAAGACATGAGTATTATATTTTGTTGGCCCGTTACAAATGAAACCAGTCCACATATCTCTGTCCTGTTGGAATTCTAAAGTCTCAGAAACCAATACTATACATATTTATGTTTTTTTTTTCCTACTCTTAACACCCTACACGATGAGATTGAACATGGAGTAGTAATTAAGAAGTGTTATTGTTGATAAAATTATGAAATTATGAAATTACTCAAACAAAAGTGTCAACATGAGAAAACAAGCAGAATGAAACGAAATAAAATTAAACATTGTGATGATGCATTGATTCCGCAATTGAATGTCCTGTTTTTGTAATGATAATAATATATTATACATGTTTGCTTACATGTAAGCTTGTTGGTTATATGCATTTATTAAAATAAAGTGTTTCATAAATCCAAAACTAATTTTTGGTGATTACTACATTCAAAATAATAATTTTTTTAAATGTCTTTGTTTTTGATTACGTAATTCATGTTTATATTTTAATCATTAATTGTATTAATTTGTACGTCAATATAAACGATAATTTTTGTTGAATATCATGTTTCGCCCGAAGGCCATGGTTAAAAATATTTTCTGTTCATTTTATACAATGTTTTCATGGCTCTAGAAGTAAAAAAAAAACATTTTTGGTAAAAATAAAAATTCTGCAATTTCTATTTTTGATTAGAACCGGATAATGTTATCAGACTTCTAATATGTTTATTGAGATAATCATTTCTTATGAATTTTAGTAACGAATGTATTTCCAAGTGTGAAAACACACGTTGAATCATTTGCGGTTAGGCGTTTCAGTTTACACAAGGAGGCTTATGTTGATATAGTATCATTCGGAACTTTTAAACGTTTCGTAATCTCAGTTAGCAGTGTGCCGCAAGCCGACTCTCATGTAATTTCATTCGTGCGTTTAAAAATGATGTGCTCCATGCGTTGTTTATTAATTTTAAGTTTGAGTGTCATTTTTGCACACGCAGCCATTTACAACCCAAATTTAGCCATTAAATTAAAGGGCAGCACACCTGATGACTTTTTCGGATACTCTGTAGCATTACAACAAGGAGCACCTCCTAGGTAATAATATAACTTATGTTTACAGCAATAAAGATAAATTATATTTGCATAGGGTGATTATTGGCGCTCCAAAACATGGATCAAATAAGGTGGGATCTGTTTATGTATGCCCGCTTACAGGATCCGATTCAATCACTGATAATTCTTGCCGAAGTTATTCTATCAGTGGGGAACATATAGGTAAGTTATCAGTTATTTTTATTAGATAAATAAAAAGTTTACACTGTGTGTTTTAGAAAATGCTGAAAGAGTTTTATTCGAAGACAATATGTTTGGTGCTTGTATTGACGGCGGAATTGACAAAAACGATGATATATTGGTAATTAAATAATTAAAAATTAACTAAAACGAGTAACTAACACAAAAACGTTAGATAGGAACACCGAAACTCACTGAAGATGGTGGAGAATTGTATTATGTAGTTGGAGGAATTTTTAAACTATCCGAAATAGAAAAAGGTAATTTTCAAAGATTACCCAAAAAGACTAGCGAAAGCGTATTAACCCATAACGGAGAATATTATTACGGCAATGCACAATTTGGATTCAGTATACATGCAGTGAATTCTTCGGTATGTAACTTGTGCTATTTTAATATGTTTAAATTTTGTGGACATTCATATAGGATTCTCTCTATGGTACACCTGGATTTAGTCACTGGCGCGGTGATGCATTCCGCGCATATTTGACTGAAAATAAGAGTCCGGTACCAGCATCCCGAAGCGCTCCACGTCGCGTAAAACGTGAACTTATTGAAAATACTATTCAATTAATGAAGCTTACCGATCCTGATTCCTCGCTGGCAGGATACGCTGTGACATCAGGACAATTTTTTGGACATACATCGTATGTTGTTGGTCTACCCAATGGTAAATCCATGATGGGGGATATAAAATTATACTTTAACGAAAACGGAAAAACAATTAATGAGCGCGTATCATGGCCGAATTATGAATACCGTCAAATCGCAGAGCATTTTGGTAGTACTCTTGCTGCAGCTGATATCAATGGTGACGGTTTTGAGGATCTACTTGTTGGCGCGCCAAATGCAAATGAAGATTCTTATGATAATGGAAAAGTTTATGTTTTTATTAGTAATAAACATAATCGGTTTGAATTACACCAAACTTTAGTTGGGGAAGCAAAGAGTCGTTTTGGTACCTCTATCACCAACTTGGGAAAAATCACATTAGATGCTTACGAATCAATTGCAATTGGTGCTCCATATGAAAACGGCGTAGGTGCCGTGCGAGTATACGTCTGGTATGAATCTAAATTAACTTTAGATTCAGTAGTGTCCCTTAATGAATTTTCATCGTTTGGCTACAGTTTATCACGTGCTGTTGATATAGACTCCAATAAAGTTGCAGGTACACTGATTTAAAGGTAATGTTTTAAATCTACTTGTTGATTATTTTTTAAGATATTGCTGTTGGTGCATATCTGTCAGACGCCGTCGCAGTCCTAAAGGCCAAGTCAGTATTCTACTACAATGTGACCCTAGAGTACAACACATTATATTCTGATCAAGTAGATAATAACCTGCATGTCAACATCTGTATACAGTTATTTGGCATTCAAGATACGATCCAAACAGAGAAAGTCGTTGAATTCGATGATAGAATTAAAAACGTCCAATTCGACAATCAAACGATTACAGTTTCAAACAATGGACCATCATGTAAACGTTATGACTTGGAGATTTCTTTAAATGCACCACGCCTGAAACCACTGAATGTTATTATAAGACTTCAGGAAAATACCTGTGATACATGCCCAGTACATTCACCAACATATTCTAGGGTATTCCGTGAGAAAATACCTTTTAGTAATAATTGCAAGCATGAGACTTGTATACCTATACTTACAATTGAACCAAATGTTGTTAAGTCACTTGTGGTAGGAACACAGGACAAATATGAGCTGATTGTAAATGTATTAAATAAGGGAGATTCCGCATTTTTATGTGAAGTGGACGTTCAGTCATTTTTGCCAGTTGGTATTACACCAGTTAATTCAAAGCAATGCACGAATACTCTGTGCTCATTCAATTATATCATGAGTAATAGTGGTATTACTCAGGCGTATACTTTGGACTTCAGTGGATGGTCAGTTTACGAAACTAAACTAGATATAGAAATTTCGACGACCTGTTTTAATAAATCATCTACAACGAGCAGTGCAACCATTAATCTAAAGTATCAGTCTAAATTGACTGTTGAAGCTCCACAACTGAACAAACAATATGATTCTAAAAATATCAGCACTTATAATATAGATAGCGCTGCAATTTTTCATGTAACGAATGAAGGACCGAGTTCTCTCAAATCTGCAACTTTTATTATTAGTATTCCCAGAATATCATCAGAAGAACAAATTATTGATATATTTGAAACAGAAGATAATTCCTGTCTAGCTATTGATGCATTATTTGACACCAAAAATGAGTATCAGCAACCAGACAAATCAGACTCAGACGACAGTCCGACAGTTGCAGGATTTGGTAGTGCTTCTGATGCAAGTAATACAATTTCTTGCGATGACCCTAAAGTTAAATGCATGCAGATTCAATGTAAGGTGAGAAATTTGCAAAAAAATCAAATGGTTAGGTTCATTATACCTATCAGATTAAAAATGAATGAGATATGTAAGTATGAGTTAGGTTATGTAAATTTTAAGGTTAAAGATTATAAGCTATTTCATTCTAGTGAAACAATATTATACTACATTTAGTATTAAGAGTACAATTACGAGACCATTGACCAAAGAGGAGTTTTATAGTGAACTGGATGTCATTGATAGACAAACAATTATAGAGGGCGTTGCAGTTTGGATCATAATTGTTGCTATATTAGGTGCATTGCTGTTGCTGGCCTTACTGATATTTGGATTTTACAAGGCAGGATTTTTCTATCGAGAACAACATGAACGATTGATGGAAGAGAAGGAAATGGAGGAAACAATGGTTCCAATGAGGAATACAGATGGAGGCGGAGCACCTGGCATGAGTAGTGAAACAGAAGTAAGTAAAATTGTTAAATAACTTGTATTTCCAATTAATAATATTGGGTAATTGTTTTAGGATGAAGCTAAAAACTAAACTTTTGATACAAAGATAAATCATGTTTCGTAGTACCATATTAGCGTCTTAGTAAACTATATTCATTAATATCATTAAACAAAACGACACACATTTACTTAAAATATATTTTCATGTTTTTTGTTTTATTATTCTAAGTTACAAACGAATTCAAAAAATGAAAAACACTACAATAACTTGTTACTGTTTTGTTCTCTTCATCCTATTATGTTATGTTTAGAACCAAGACTATTACTGTATGTGTAGAAATATAATACAAACTTATATTCTAAATTGTCGCAATGACTGATCGTCGACACTGATCGGATCGTATTAGCACTTTGCCGATTGGCCTCAACAAACGATGCGAACGTCACAACTAACTGAATCAAAACTAAGATTAATAAGTAACATATACACAAATACATAAATACAACTAGTATTTACAGGTAAGGATTCCGCTAAGTGATTAATATGTTACAACGCATATAAAAATGAAATAAATATTAATCGCTCTCCATTCTGCGATTCAATAATAGTTAAAACAAAGAGAAAATAAACGTAAAACACAACAAACTACGTGAAAAATTGGTGTGGCCTATCTGAAGGTGGCTTCCGCAGGAAAATGTTTTCTTATATTTCATAACAATCTGCAGGCATTCTTGAGCACGTTTCGCTTCTTTTTGTTTTTATTAGGTCGAAGGATAATTGTTCCGTTATGATGGTTCTTATGATTGTTGTGGTTTAGACTAGGACTGAAGGCACCTGCAATAAAATGGCATTATGTCACACTCCATAATAAAAAAATATATTTTACTGACTGATTGTAATCGGATGGTGTCCATTGTTGATTGAATAGTAATCATCGCGTGGTTCTCGCATTTCTTGCAGACATCGCATTGCTAAATGTCGAAAAACGGCCGCCACGTTGACGTCCTCCTTGACAGAAGTACGTAGAATGCGGCAACCCAATGCACGCGCTAGTAAATCAGCTTCCTCGCTGTGAAAATACATAATACCATTTTTAATTTGCGTCGTAACATCGTTTAGAGCTTTATTAAAATGTAAATTGATTAGAATTCATTTATTACTGGTTTTTACAGTTAAGAGCAGTTAAAACAGCCGAAATTATACAGTGAACATCTGTCGTGCACATGTTCAATATATAAAAAGTGGATTATATAAATACTTACGGATTGACGACGCTCTGATCAAGCAAATCAATTTTGTTCTGAACTATCACAGTCGGTATTTCGCCGCATTCATTTTCAACCTGCAAATTAAAACAAAAACAAAAATGTTTATAATTAATTAAATTAATTTATATTGCATATTTTAATTTAACCTATTCACATTTTAATCTATATTTTTTGTTTGTTGCTCGCGTATTTTTTCAATATTTTAATTAAAGTTGAAGAGGTGCACCCGAAGGCGTAATCATCGCGTTCGGCTTGGCCGGTGGCCAGTGACGGTCATGCATGCTTCTTCCGTCTTTTTGTACTTCTTGAATTCAAAAGAGCGAAGACGCATACGCTGAATTAAAGGCAATTATTTATCAGCTTTGAAATTTGAATCTAAACCGGAGTCAATGGTCTGTAATTTTCAATTTAGCATTGCTCCTTCTTACTTTAAGTTTCCACGAATGCGCAGCCTCAAAAGAGTCCCTGTCCGTCGTTGAGAAAGCCAAAACGCAGGCTTGCGCCCCACGATAATACGCTTTCGTAATGGCATCGAATTCTTCCTGCCCGGCAGTATCCCACAACATCAGTCGCACTTCTTCTCCGTCGACTCTATAAATAAAAAATAGAAAAACAAACAAAATTAGATTAATTAGTAAATATGCATGTTTTCAATAGTCATCACGCAACAAAAACGGTCCCATTAGAAAATACCGTTGCTGATGTTTGCTTACTGTTTCACCTGCTCTTAGACCTAAGCCTTAAGCCACTTTTGCATTAATATTTATCGCACACGCACCGCAAAAGTGGTTTGTTCTCAAGGGAACATCGCCGCACAAAGAGCAATAACGCGCCGCGCCAACTCGTCGAGAATGGCATAAAAGTGCAGTGCAAAGCGTTACGCTTTTGATTCGCGACTCAAACTCTCAGCATTCGCAAAGCGTTGAAAGAGTTAAGACTATACATAGAAGCACAAACCTCGCAATTCAACTTGGTAGCGAGGAAACGCTAACGCTTTTTATCATGACGTGTCATGAAACACGAAAAAATTTATCTGCACGTTAGCAGCACGTCGTTATTAATACATAACACGATTTCATGTGAAAATTAATTGAATCATCTTCATAAATAACACCTTATAATTATTCTAATTATATAAGACTTTACTTAGCACTTAGAATCATAGCTCGCACCCTAGTACACGCTTAGTTCTTGGGTATAAAATAGCACTCAGAGTGGTCAGTCGTGCCAGAATACTCCATCAAAATAGTCATAAGGGACCTTTCTCATTTTGGGTCTTCGGTTCCACTTGGGACGCGAATAGGAAGCATACAATTTCTTATTTCATTTCTGGTTTCGTATGTTCAGAAAAACGTGTAAAACAAGCCGTAGATGTGTTGATTAGCATATCCTCAAGTCACTTCCTGCGTATTAACATTACACGAATATATACATTCTCCTAATACAGTAATATAGTCATTTTAAAATCATAACTTCAGAAAACCAAAACAAGAACACGTTTTAATTGCGACTTTCTGATTGTCTCGTAATATTATAACATTTCCAACACCACAACACCACAATATTCTAAGCAACAATCATGTTATTGGTACCTGCGCTACCAAGCTGCTTAGAGTGTGTTTGGTCGCCTAGTTTTCGACTTTAATAGGCCAAACAATGCGTATTGTCTTATTCAGCGCGTCTGCGAAGGCCTAAAAAAGCCGAATAGCTGCCAGATTGTTCCAGCGGTGTGAAATCAAGTGTTTACAATGAAAAACATCCCAAACAACACACGACGCGTAATAATTCACCACATGATTACACGATGGTATAATGGGCCAATGCATTGTAATCGTATACAAGGAAGTAAGGCGGGAATCAGTAAGCAACGATGCGAAAAGCAAGAAAAATCAAAGATTAATGCGTTTTAATTTGTCTGTCATCTGATCATTAATCATTTTGTGCGTACGTAGATTTATTATTACGTGACATGAAGACACCTATTGTATGCAACCGTACCTGCAGTAACCTAAAAAATTGTGTGAAGCACAAAAATCAACCAAAAGAAAAAGGAATGAATAAATTTTGCTTAATTATCTGGGACATATTTAATGTTGCTTTGAGTAATTACACTTTGTTCGTTTGTCGAGTAAAATAAATGTTTTCTCATGAGCATAACTCTTAGTTTTTTTGCTTGCATTTTGCTCTATTTCGTCTGGTACAGGAAACAAACCATCGGCCATTTTGGATTCTCTACAATCGAGGTTCAAGCTATTCATAATAATTTTTATTGCTCATCTTTTGTTAGTTTTCTTAAAGCTGCTTTTAGTATTTCGTTCAACTTTGTCCCGCTTTGTGCTTAACACCGTTGTAGTTGTTTAATTTTATCGCCTATTTTTCATTGTTGTGTATGGGTTAATTATTTCCAGTTTTATGTTAAAAATAACGCATTTTAAGTATAGTTTTCCATCTTAGTAGGTGAATTGTATGTATTTTCATATATGAATTTAAAAAACGTATTACTTACTCAATTTGTCGTTCGAGAAAATCAACGCCTATCGTCTTCTTGTAGTCTTTGGTGAACGTGCCGCGACAATAACGTTGAATCATGCTAGATTTGCCAACGCCGCCATTTCCTACGATAACCACCTGCAACCAAATGTTCATACACATTAAAAAAAAATCATTCTTCATTTTTTGGTTAATACTATAAACTACTGAGTAAATTATACCAAAGCAATCAAAATATAATTCTTTAATATTCATGATGATACGTGGCTACCTCAGGTTACCATCTTTTTTAGGTTGTTACCTGTTGCTGCGGCTCGTTATACATTATTAATAACTTCTGTGATCAAAGCGTGCGCGAACTCAATTAAACGGCCATCGTATACTATTAATCACATAACCTCACAAAATAGCACCAGATTCCTACCGGGGATTATAAAAAAAAATTGGATGAGAAATTGACGTCGTAATTGAGAGATGCTGCAATGTTACAATAAAAAACTAGACACGTTTATAATGAAATGAAAATTATTAACAATTCGTTGAACGATACGCTCTGAGTGGATATTTATATAAATGCACACAAATATTAAGTTTATGTTTAATACATATGTTGTTTTTGTGAGTATGCAGTTCAAAATGGCTGCTATTTGTGACGGTACTTGATTTCGGTTAATTACCGCTCAAAACAACCGCACCAAATTCAATGCGCTGTAGACGAACTCAAGCGAGAAACAAGTGGAGTTATCCCGATAGTAATACATCCGTGGTAGGCATAGCAACGCAAAAAATCATGGATGTAAAAAATAACAACGCTGAGGCAGCAGATGTTCGATGGATGGTAAAATATGTTCGTTTAGTATCGAGTTCGAGTGTAACTAGAGAACTTTGCCATTTTACTGCGGAGTGTTAATGAAGGTAGCCGTGTGTAACGTGATGTGTAACATGAATACGAGAAATTAACCGAGGTATAACTTTCAACAAACATAAGTTACATAAATTAATCAAAGAGATTTTTTATTTTTGGTTGACTGTAAATCACAACAACCTATGTTTAACTATTGCAAAATAATAAAATTTTATTTGATCTACTCTTGATAACTGATGAAGAATGAGCAATAGAGAATGAGTGATTAAATTCTAATTTCTGGTCTGTAATTATAAACGCATTCAAACACGTGTATGTTTTGTTGTGAAGCCTACGATCGGGCGTTAGTCTTTTGTCGATGCAAATCGCAAGATTGTGAATAATAAATTACGAATACTATGACGGCGCTCACCTTGAGGGCCACCTCCAGTTCCTCTTCCCGCATGATTTCAGGCCCACCGGCCGTAGAGTCCCTTCAGCAAGGGGCTCATCGGCGTCGTTGAATCTCTGAGATACGGTGCATTACTCTGAAAACAATAAAACAATCATTTAACTTAAAGCATTATAACTTTTAAAATTTTTGTATAATATGCAACCAAATTTACATAAAAGTCATGTGAAATCCTAACATAACCAAACTTTAATTATTATTAAAAGGTTATAAAAGCTTGACTACATCAAATTAATTATGCATTAGATAATATTAAAGAAATTACCCAACGCCGCCTCAAAGTTAAATTAATTTCATGTTTTGTGTAGGCAGTGATGTTCTCAACGCGTTATCCGTTTGTTCAAATGTAAAACAGCTTTCAACGTGGAGTTCATCCGCATTAAAGGATTATTATCTACCAAAATGTTCATTCACGCTGCACGCATAATTCTGCTCGTTTGTCGCCGCTGTTGACAGGCGCGCCGCGTGTTCGTTATAATTAAAGAGCCAAGAGTGAAGCTCTTCCGATCGCAGAAGAAGAACGGGCGAGATTCCGTTAACAGAAATTCCAATCATTAACTTTGGGCTGAGCGCAGGTCGTTACGTTGTTAAAGTTACGCGGAACCAGCGACTTATATGAGCATACACACGCGAACAAGGTGCACTTGTTTTTATTTTCTGCACAGGTGGAAATTTTCAGCTAAAAATAAACTCAGAATTGCCAAAAACCCGAAAATTTTATCGTATCATAAACTCAAGATTTTATTGTTTATAGTTTACAGTTAATTGTAGATTACTGATATGCAGATATGTTCATAAATGTTACAAAATAAAATTAAGTTGAATCTATTACATTATTAATGCCAATTTACGCCGAAACCAAAAATAGTGCTGCCAGGGCAACAACTTTATTATCTTCATGTAAATACTTTTTAAAAGTTAGGGAATGTTTATCCAAAATTACCCGCAATTAAACTATTTAAACATTTATAAACTAAATTGTAACTTCAGAAACGTTGACTACATAAAATACTGTTAATGAAAATAAACGCAAACGTTTATTTCACGTTATTTGCATACTCGACGAGTAGAACTAAAATTATAAATTTACACGAAGTGGTCATTATCGCCGGTTGGCAATCGTGATAATTCAATTGGGATGCGAGCGCTTTACAGCTAATTGTCTTATCTCACTCTTGCAAATTGACAACTTAACAACCACTACTAACGACGTAGGAATTCTTAACTTGCTCTTGTTCTTTTTCTTAGTGTGCCTACAAACTGTACATTGTAATACTTGCAATACTATTGCAGAAACAGAATAATTTTCCAATCACTTTTGATCGTTAGTATATCCTTATATGAATATAGGTTCGATTGGAACCGAAAATCAAACAAATTGTGTTTATAAATCATATATTGGTGTAATTAACAATCATTTCATCGTGAAATCGATGTTGTACATTCGTATTCGCCGTTAGAATAACGTGAAATTAAACTGAATAGACTTATAAGTGAAGAAAACTAAGAAAAAATTACATAAAACAAAACCTAACCTAATGAAATTAATCCTAACCATATATTAAAACTTCTAAAAATAATTTATAGCTGTGATTAATATTAATATCATGATTTTATTTTAATTCCTACGTTTGCCGTTTTGTATCCGTTAAATGTCCAATGATTCGATTCAAATTTGAATAAACTACTCTTTGAAGCCGTTATTCTGATATCAAGTCAGTCAGAGCTTCCTGCAAGCAATCCTAGTTTATCGACTGCAAGAAGACGAAGAGACTAATGGTTATAATGCATCTAAAGGTCGAATCAACTCAGAGTCAGCCTTGAAAATGTCTGGAATCTGATAGTACTGTACTCTAGTTTTTATTTTCATAAACCCAGCGTGCCAATTATTACTATTATCGACATTATTGCAGTAGTCAAACGAACAAGATCTAATTTATAAGCGTTATCTATTAAAACTGTACTCTCATATCCTTTATGCGTTCATATGCAACCAATAACACACTAACCTTACAATATTGGTTATCTATTAATTAGTTTTAAACATTACGTATTTGAATAATTAGAAAACACTTTTAATTAGTTTTAAGATAAAATGATTGACTGAACAATATCATACACTTGAAAAATTTAATTACCCATTGGAATATATTAAAATTCTCCACACATTTGTAAATTAATTACGCCTAATGCGCATGGTAAAAAAGTACAAAACGTATTGTGGTAGAAATAGAAATAAACTTTGGGCCTTTCTCTGTTTTCACTTTTTCCACATTAATTAACACAATGCGTGTGCATGCGAGTTGTAATTGCGAATAATTGCTCTAATCACCATCAACCATTCGAATTTAGTCATTAATGCATGAGCATATAAACATCTAAGAAATAATAATGGAATGTAATCGAAAGTGTAAAATATTCATATACATATTAATATTTTACTTACATAAATGCGCATTTTATATTCAAATCATTTGTTTAAAATATAAAATATGAAGAAAAAGCAAATGGGGATAAATAAATGTAATTATGTTAATAATAAATTATCGCAAAATCATAATTTTGATCAAAAAGTGAAAGTAAATGGTTTAATTAATATTTATATACAAAGTTATGCAAATAAATCAGTAAAAATTACAGTAATGAATAAATTTATTATATTATTAGTGGATTGAAGTGAAAATTGTTTGATCATCTGCCTGTTTGCACATTTATTGTTTGTTTTCGTGGGTTGGTGCTTGTTGCGCGTAGTTTATTGCTCGTTAAACACTGAGACCAACGCAACAATCACATTTGCATGCCGCGACGTGCGCGATTGTAAACATCTGTCGCTTGAAATGAATGCAACAACGGGCGCTAATGAGCGTGCGCATCAGACATTTGCGAAATCAAGATAAATGTTTACTTGGTTTACAATGGAAACACACAAGGTGCGATAAAACAGTACCAAAAGGCATTTGCAATACAATCAACAAAATAAAATAATACAATTACATCTATATATTCAAGATTTCAGTAATTTTAGGACAACAAGCGTCGTGCCTTTAAAAACATCATTTTTATAGATTATCTTATGTGTTGTGTTGATTTGGAAGCCTATCTGTACTAAAATAAAATATATTCAGAGGTAAAATATGTTATTATTAAGAATTAAAAATGGTTGCAGTTTAAGCGAAGAACCTGTAGCTTCAATTTATTTTTTGATGGTGTTTTTGCTGCCAAGTGACAAATTACCAGCCTTACCTACTTCCAACCGTGTCAAAGCGCAATGAAAATTATTTATTAAATATTTCGCCACGGCTGACAATTACTAAGAAGATAATCCGGCTATTCTACACGCATGGTTGACAATTTGTCAACGACACACAACAGTATTACAAATTACTTAAATATATTTGCTTTTCTTGTATGAACCGGTACAAAACATACAGAAGCACAATTATCTACGTACGAGTAATTAATTTACTACAAAATAAACATTTATTTCACCAAGAATTATTATTCTATTGTATTATGATTTATCACTGATTTCTTCCTTCATCAATCGTCCTCAAAATATTAAATATTTAACTGTAAGTTGCAAATTAAAGTTTTGACATTTGCAATACAACGCAAGAGTTACGATGCGCCATTTTACATTCTATTGTGCTTTATTAGCAGAAGAAACAGAATGGTAAATGCACATTCTTCAATGAAATAACAATTTGCAAACTAAACAATAGAAAAGAATTAATAGTTTAACAGTACTAGGCATATTGGAGTGTGTATCAAATAAATGTAAAATCTTGCGATCAAAACATATACATTGATTCAAATATGTCTTTCACAGTTTACTTGCTTTCTAGCTTTTAACTTTTTTGTGTTTTTATCTAAGTCGCTAAATAAGGAATGTAAAAGTGAGTATAAGCATTTGTACACACATTGAAATGCAAGAATTGCAAGTGCAAACATGAAACATGCGTTGCAGGACGCGTTCCGCCGGCTCGATTCTGCGTTTGACCATGTGTGATTTATGATCGCTTCCAGAATGGGATATAAAGTTCATTTCAAACAACCGCAATGCGAAACGAATCTTCGGCAAAACGCTCACGATCACACCATAAGCCTGAATCTGCTGGACAAGCATCGTATGCAGTCATTCAAAATGGCGGATATAAAAACGAAAAATGTAGTTAACCTTATTCCTCATTTAGATATGATTTAGAGGTTAAAAACTTTGAGAATAACTAGAATTGTTGCTATAACCTCTATTTGAATGCTGTTTGTGCTGCCTATATACAAAATATTTTCATTTTAAACATTTCCATGAACAATAATCAAAGAAAACAGACTCAAACATTCAGTGTGTATATATCGGTTTGTCGCGTGTGTACATCGAATTAATGTTATGTTGATGTTGGCTGAGTTTACGTGTGGTTAAGCAAGACCAACTGGCTTAGAAAACCATCTGAGCATTCAATAACTTTCAACTGTTCTTATATCATAAAATTGATTTACAAACATTAAATGAAAATTTTGAGTCTAAATCTGTTAATATGCAACATTTTCAATAATACAGATCAAATGTAATGTAAATATATTAATCATACCAACCTAACCTAACTTATATTATAATCTCCCTGTAAAATAATCAAAATTAGAAGTAGGACAATAAGAGAAATCTCATGAAACGATAAATTGGTCAGTTGAGAAACATGTACTTGGAACGCGTGTTTGCGATGTTTCGTGCGCGTCCCGTGAGTTATGCATCTAGACCGGAAAGAAACCTCCTACATTAATGGCTACTTATTTCTCCTCTAACGCTGCTGCGATTTCCACGCAATTCCATTCCGAGTCGTCTTGCGATTGTTCAGTTGTAACTCACGTGATTCCTGCGAATTCAATAAAATTCGGTTGCGTGTCTGCGGTTGATGGTGAATTGAACATAACCTCCGTCAGTTTTCTAAGCTTTTATGCGTCTTCTCGACATCGTGTCTTTTCGTATCGAAACATTTAGCTGCAAATAGTCCGGTAGAGTCCAATGAGTAGGTGCAAGTACAACGACTACTTAACTTAGCCCGGCACGCGATAAGATTG